GGTACTTGCAAGGAGATGCTATTTAATTGGAAACCACGTAGTTTATTCTTAAAAATTAAACTGGAGGAAGAACCAAGCAAACAACAAACAAGCAAACAAACAAAAAGCCCACAGATAAATATAATCATAAGGCCATTTTCTTCATCAGCTTATAACAAAGGCACAGGTTTTTAAGATCACGCCCGACCTGTTAATTTCACATAAAGGGTGTTAAGCACACGGCGCTGCTCCACAGCAATCTGTACTACAGTCAGCCTCCAAACACGCCTTCTGTTAATTTGTGACACTGCATATTTTGCAACTCAAGAGCAAAGAAAACCATCACAGTAGAAGCAGTTCATTCCGTCTCCAGGTGCCTCATGAATATTAAGTAGGAGCAGCTACGACCTGCTACACAAAAACTTCACAACTCTGCGGGGAACTGCCCCTCTGCGAAATTCACGGGGCAGTCACGGATGCGGGAAGGGACCTCGGCACCCCTCAGCGGTGGCAGGCGCAGCTCCCCGCCGCACACCACCTCCAGGACCCGCTCCCCGACCCCCTCTAGCAACCACTCGATCAGGAGACGCCCCTTTCTCCCGAAGGGCTCCGGGAAGGCAACGCCGCAACCCCGTCGCCCCTGTTCTGTGCCGGCAGGGCAGCTGCGCGCCGCCCCGCCCCGGCGCGCTCCCTCCACACCTCCGCCCAGCCCGGCTCCCGCCCTGCCGGCCACCGCCCTGCCGGCCACAGCCGCACCGCGGATCCCAGAGAGCGACTTCAGCCGGGGCAACCCGGCGACGGGACCAGCGGAAACTTCGCGGCCGGGGCGCCCCTCACCTTGATGATGCTGCTCCTCCGTGGGGTGGCCTTGGCCGCTTCCAGCAAGGAAGTATCAGGGTCGGATGCCGCCGGCGGCCCCAGGCTGCCGCCGGGGAAGCGCTCAGCGGTACCGACGGCCGAGACACCGCTGCGGCGCTCCCGCCTCCTGCCTGCGGCTGCCGCTGGGGCGTCCAGCGAAGTCGACTCGGACTCCTCCTCGGCACGATGAGCGGCGTCGGGGGGAGCCCGGCCGGCCGCCGGTTGCTCTCTGCTGCCAGCAGCTTCTGCCATCGCCCCGCCGAGCGATGTCAACTTCTCCGGTGCGCTGTGAGGGCAGGGTGGGAGGACACGCACACGGAGGGCGTCCCGCGGCGCTCCCCTCACGACACAACGGCGACGGCGGCAACTTTCTCCGGTGGAGCCATGCCCGTCCCCCACAGACTCCGCAGCACCCCCAGTGCGGGGACCGCGGGCGCGGGTAAGCGCCGCGCGATCGGCGAGCGCAGGAAGTGCCGCCGCGGCGGCGGCACCGCTCTGTTGTGACAGCGGCCGGGCGTGTTTTGACAGGCGGCGGTGACAGACGGGGCGCTGAGCCACTCAGCGCTGCCACGGCCCCCCGAGGGGCGCCGTGCTAGCCAATGGGTTTCGTGAGGGGCGTGCCCGCGGGACGCCTGGATGGGCGTTCTGGGCGGTGCGCGGCGGCGAGCTGCTGAGGGGCAGGTAGGGCTGGGGGTGAGCGAGCGGGGCGAGCTGTGGGACTTGATGGCGTCCACCGCGGCGCCGAGAGAGAGGGCGCAGGAGGGACCGTTTTGTTCTTCCTCTCCCCCCACCGTCTGTGGGGAGCGCGTGTGCGTGCCAGGACAGCCGAGTCAATGCTTCCCCGTGCATTTTGGGGCAGCACCCGTGTCAGGGCTGAAGCAGCCTGTGAGGAAAAGAGGCTTATGTTAACCCCGCGCAACCGCGGAGTTCCCCTGGACGTACTCGCACTGGGAGCGCAGCCGAGCTCAGCCGAGGAGACGAAGGGACGGTGCCGGGCTGCCGGCGCGTTGTTACGAGGGAGCGCTGCCGCCCCTGCGCTGATGGTGGCGGTGGGAGGAGACGCGCCCAGGCCCCGGTTGCTGCGGGTGGGTCAGCAGAGCGGGGTGAGGCGTGAGGGGCGCCTCACAAAAGGCAGCGAGGACTCACGTTGGCACCCTCCGGCGCTTGAAAATGAGCCCAAAACAAGGCGGGCTGCGGCTTGGCCGCCTGCTCCTCTCAGGGCGCCACCCTCACGGCCGCCGGCCCGGGGCAGCGCTTGCACCGCCGCGCCCCTCAGCTTCGAGCCCCTCAGGGTGGCCGGTGCGGTGAGCCCGCCGTTACAGAGCCAACACCGCCCCCTGGCGGCACGAAGCGGCCGAGCCGGAATAGCCGGTCCCGGACGGGAGGCGAGGAGGAGCCCTCCGGTAAGGGTTATCTCTCTCCTGGCAGCCAGGCCATGAGCTGTGGTGAGCCGTGAAGAGTGAGTACGAGCACGAGCGTGGTGCTGCCCTTCACAGTTCTCCAGGTGGGGTTTCGTTATAATGAGGTTATCTACGTGAGCATCTCGGGAAAGATGGGGTAGAGGGGACTGCAGCGAGGGTAAAAGTGTGGGGAAGGGAAAGCAGGAAAGGCAGTCGAGAAACAGGGATTATTATATTGAAGGATGGAAAATAGGAGGCATAGGGCTGGGCGTGCTGACAGTCACTGGAGGCATAAGACTACTCAAAATTAGCTATCGGCTTTAAAGCAGTAAGACTCAGTGGAAAATTTACTTTCTCTTTGGTTTCTAAAGTAATTTCCTAATGAAGGTGTTGGGCACCTGTTGGCAGTCAGTGATTAAACAGGAAAGAGTAAGAACCTCCTTACCCCAGCCAGTCATTAGCAACTAACAAATGCCTAGCTTCAGCACATAATTGCCACTTAAAGGATGTGAATTTTTATATATATACACAATGTATAATATACAATTCCATATAAAATCCCAGAACTTCTTTCAAGGTTACAGAGGCATTTATCATATTCAACTAAATACCACTGAACTTTCTTTTTCCCATGAGCTTCCATCAAAATTTGATGTAAGAAATGTCATGATACATGTATAAAACAGTTGTCTTGTTGGGAGGGTTTTTTCAGTGAAAAGGCCAGAAAATACCTAACCCAGAAAAAAAGATACAAAATATTCACATTGAAGAAACATTTACCTTAAAAAAAAAAAAAAAAAAAAAAAACTGGAAAAAAAAGGCTGGTAAGAGAAGAGAGGGCTCAACCCCAGCCTGCATTGTACAAGAGAGAGAACATGATATTAAGTTGTTGCAACAAAAGGAGGGGAGGAAGAACTAATAAAAGCTTTTAGCTACATCTCGACTTACTGTCACACAGCCTGACCTAAGAAGGCTAATTTAAAGGCAACGGAAAAGGTAATTACCATGCAGTATATTATTAGAGAGTATATATCATGTAGAAATATGTCGCAGCTTTTTAATATATTTTGTGAAACCGCATGAAGTTTAATCGCCAGTTTAATTATTTGGGAACAGCAAAGTACCCTCATAGCTGGAATCTGCTGCATCCACTAGAAACTATTTGTAGCATGTTGCACTGGCAGATGCATATAACATACTAAAGATGTTAAAGATTAAATGTCTTAAACATTTCAAATTAGGTATTTGTTGTTAAATGCATTTGTCTGCTGAAATAAAAAAAATTAAGATCATTTAATTCTCACCTTAAATTACAACCTTGACATGTGAAGCCCTTATCTGAAAAGGGTCTATAAGGAAGCTACAGATTTTAAGTTTCATAAACATCAAGCCTCCAGGAAACATGAATCGTATTTGTTTTGTTCACAAAATGCACAGGTTTTATAATTATGCATGGTACAGCTAAGAGAGAGTTTAGTTAAACTTCTCTCCAGAAGAGAATAAAAGGTTGACTCATTTTTAGTGCTATATTTCTGACTACACATGTATGGATGCTTCTGTTTGTAAATGTGGAGAACCACGAATTATGAAGGAAAAGAGCAATTGGGTTTGATACTACTTGATACCTAATTTAAAAAAAAAAATAAAGTTAACAAGAGGAAGATTTACACTAACAGGTTTGCATAGAAAGTTAAAAAGAATTAAGGTTGCTTGGTGATAAATGTATTTAATGACAGGGACAGATTTTCCAAAACAGTCAAGGAATTCACTCAAGCTAAGAAAGGCAAGATGATAGATTAAAAAAACACATCTATTTGTGTTTGCCTTAACATATGAGTCAGCAAATGCCTGCACTGTCTAATGTGCTTTTTTGTACGCTCAACTTACTCCATCCTCGAGGCACCCAACTGTTCCTTGGTGGGCGTATTTTGTGTCATAAAACAGATTAAAATACTGTAGTCTTGGAGCTGTGCTGCAGTATAGCTTACATAAGCCAGTAGTTTCCACCTAGACAGTGCATTTTGGGAAGCTTTTAGAATTAAATTTTCTACTGGGAGCTGAAAGTGGTGCTCCTATACCAATTGACCATGGTCAATGAAGTGAAAACTGACATCTTTTCCTGTATCAAGAACATCTAATATGCAAGACTGGGAAAGAACAATAGGGAAGAAGTTGCAATTTTTCAAGTATGCATTCACAATGATAGCAAATCATAATTCATTTTCAAATTAATGAAACTTGCAAAGCTATGATGAGAAAATTCTTTAAATTAAATGAGGTAATTTTAAAAGTAGTGATTTTTTAAGTCTCGGTGGTTATTGTGTCTGTTTGTGCTATTATATCCTCAGTATGATATTATAAAACAAACAAAAAAAAAAAAGCCCACATAGTAATGATATAATTTATTCATAAAAGGATACACTCATTGCTAAACTTCACTCGGGTTTTGGCAAGACAACCACAAATCATATTTTGCCTACAAAACTATTACAAAGTTTTTAGACTGGAAAGAACCCCAGCAAATTCAAGTCAGCATAAAGCAAATATAGTCAAAAGGTCATAATTTTTCATTTAAAACATATAGTGTGTTTTCAATTTTTGTTAGAGTTAAAAAAAAATGTTTACACTGCTTGAGTCAATGCCTCCTAATTTTTTGCTAATTCTTTCTTTCCTCCTTTGTGGAAAATGCCTAACTGAACTTAGACATCTTATGGTTTTTTTAGATAGTATAAATGTTATGTCTTCTTTAACTTAGCAAGAAGTACTTTTGTGATATGCCTCTATCTTAATGATGTTCTTGTTCCAGCTGAAGTCACTGATGAATTCTTTTCACTGTCTGATAGTACTTCCAGGCTATTTCAGTGTTTTTAATAATTAGAACACTCTGGTTATGGAAGATTCCTGCCAGTTCTTAGCTCCAAGGAACAATCCTTTATTTTAGCAGTGCTGTTTGCTGTAACAGATACACCAATTAAGTATGAGAAAGGGTAAAACCAGCACCTCAGTTAGGTCATGTTTAATCCTATTTTACAGCCACTTTTTGCTATAAAGACACAGGCCTTGGAGTGGAATGTATTGATCTCTATATGGAGGTCAGTGCATGAAAAAAAAATATTAACACTGCAAAGAGCCACCCAAAAAACTAGCCAACACCAGAGTGAAGGTTCATGGTCTCAATGCAGTTTAACATCCTTTGGTGCAAACATTGCAGTCATGTAAAATGCCATAGGACTAGGGCTTCTCTCACTGTGTGAGACCTGTGAATGAGACCACTTTCCTCACCTTGAGTCCTATCCCAGTTCTTCTCACCTTCCTCCAGGCATTTTACTGCCTCCCACCTCCTCATCCTCCAAGCTGTAGCAAGGTGTTCTGGCACTTAATTCTCTTCTCCCTCCTTCCCCTAACTGGATCCTCCCAGTTACTGCTTCTATCTGTTGCTCACCAGCTGCCATGGACCCCTCAGCACAGGAGATCTCAGAGCACTACTGGACACCCTTGCCAGCATGGCTGTGGCATTTTTTGCCACCAATCACAGTACTTCTTTCATTGCTCCTGCTATGGACTTGCTTTACCCATTTGCTCCCTCTCCAGCAGGCTCAACTCTTGGCACTGTGCGTTCAATTGAGTTTCCTTCAACCCAACCTGGGCATAGTGATGGGTTACTGCAAGGAGGAAAGAGAACATCATTGCTCATGGCTCTGCTAGTTGACTTTGACCATGATACAGCAAAACTGCTCCACAGCTGCAGAGAAGACTGAACGGAGCTTGGGCTAGGTAATGCTTGGCATGAACAGAGGAGTAAAATCTGAGATACAGAGATTCTGTGAACAAATTTTTCAGAGGCATAGCAAGTAACAGTATTTGAAACAAATTTTGAAGGCAGGAAAGAACACACCCTGATAAGGAAGTGATTCTTATACCAAATTCAGCATCATTTTTTTCTAGGGAAGGATGGTAAAATGTTACATGTTGGTTTGGATTTGTAAATAATCAAAGCATGCTTTTTTTCCTATTCTGATTTTCAAGGGTAGATGTTTGACAATTCATTTCCCCTATGTGAAGAGTCACAAAATGAGTTGTACATCCTTCTTCAAGTTTTTGGCCAAAGTGATCAAAGTTCGGGAAGTTAAATAATTGAAAATAAGGTTTTTAATAGACAGCATCAGATAATCTCAGCAGTAGTGCTACAACCTAGCTGAAATATAGATAGAATTTGTGCAACTAGTGAAGCTATCTCAAGTTCCCATGCTTAGTTGCTACTTGCTCAAGTTTGGGGGAGGGAAGAGAAGGCATATTTTGTACATTATAACAAATTATTGTGAGGATTTGGGGGAGTCTTACATATGAGTTCTTATTCAAGTCTAATTTTACTTAATGGCTCTTGTTTAAGGTAGGTGGTAATTCTGCTTAATGAGAACATTTACCAATGACCATTATTTTCACATAGCTTTTCTTAACTCCTCTGATTGTTCCTCTTAGTATTTCTTTGGCTATGACACATGCAATGAAATCTAATTGTAGTTGTTGCTACCTTTCAGGCAGTTAAAAGCTTTGGAGGAAAATTCGTCATATACAAAGCATGGAATGTAGGCTATTCTGCCTGATAATCAGACACACAACCTCCTTCTTAATGTGTTCTCTCTGAAAGATTTTTCATTGCTTAACTAGGTTGGATTATAAACAAATTAATCAGCTGCAGCCTGGACCACTGAGGCTATATGCACTAGCTCCCTCCATCAGGAGAAAAGACTATTCATGAATTATATCTGGGGGCTCCTGACAATGGAAAAAGCATCAAATAATCTAATAGGAGTAGATCTCTACAGGGAGAGCATTGGTGCTGAGAGCATGATGTCCATACCATAGGCATTTTGTGTGGGGGTTACTTGAGAAAAGCCTTAGTTCAGTCCAAGTAACCCCCACAAGGTACACCCGAAGTATGTCAGTGTTAGCAGTACATTCCTATCTGTGCCTGACTGGCTACCCAAAGAAAGAGTGTGAAGAGCTATACCCATACCTGACTCATTTTAAAGAAAGCTGGTTTCTTATGAAAAAAAGTCAGAGCAGTGTTTCCCAGCAATGTTTTTGACAGCTTCTACAACCAGCTTAAAGAGGTAATAGAGGCGAGCAGAGAACAGGTGCCATGTAAAATCTACCCTTTTTATATGGGAACTAAAGTTATAGGCAGACTTTGTCCTAGTCCCGATACCACTTCTAAATAGAAGCTTATACGCAGTTAAGTAGATAGGTTTGAAAACCTGCTACAAACATTTATGTCTTCTTGTTTCTCATGCATGCAAATTTAGCCCGTATCTCTGAATTCATTAGCAAAAGTCATCTCAAATAAAAAAAAAAATTAAAATATCTCTAATTATGATTAAAATGTAATCCTCAAAATTACTTGGATCTCTCTGGCATTAATTGAACAGAATTTAAGAAGATTCAAAATACTTTCCATCAGGGATGGAGGATATTTAATCTTTTATTGCAAAATCTCTTATTCCTTAATGTCAGGTTAGAAGATATTCTGAGGTCGTGGAAAAGAAAGGCTAATGACTAATCTATGTAAGCTTATTTTCCTGAAATTTGCCACTGTGGGAGTACTAATGTGCATAAATTGAAAGCATTGTTAAGCACTGTTTGTATCTTTTCTGAGTGGGGTTAAATAAGCTGGTAGTTAAAATTCGTAGCCTATACTAACTCCCACTGTATCGACAGGATTAGCGAAAGTGAAGCATTCTGCAAATAAAAGGCCAGGAGAGTTTTATGCCCAAATGCAGAGATTTACAAAGAAATCCACAATAAAAGTGAAAAATTCTACCTGTGTTGAACAAAGTTAGAAAGACAGATATTTACATTATGGTTTGGAAGAATCCTCTAATTCTAACCAGTTACCCTCTCTTCATCTCATCACAGATGTAGTGTCAGATTCAGTGGCAAGATTTGGGAAGGTGAAAAACTGAAGTGCATTAACACTCCAGGCTATGCTGCTGTTAAAATTAAGCAGGATTTTTCCCATATGTGCTCTTCAAGTGTGATGTCCAAAGATGCCAAGAAGTGTTTTTATGAGCAGGTATTAAACATAATGAGGCTCAGTGAACCGCACTTGAGCAGCACTTCTCAAAGGTTTGTGATTTTGGGGATGACAGGGAAAATGAAAGGAAGAATGATGTCTCTTGTTTTGTAAATCCATAGGTCTATAGTGGCCAAAATCATAGAATCATAGAATAGTTTAATTTCTTCCTATAAGACACTACAAATAATAATAATAAAAAAATTAAATTACCTATTGGTCCAAATACATAGAAACCTTTGATTTGAATGGAAGGCAAAAGGTAAAAAATATCTCGGAGCTCACAAATGCTCTGGGATTGTATTCTATAATATGCAGGAAAAAAGTGAATTGCAAATTTAGCAAAAAAAGTAATAACAATTATAAAATAAAGGAGAAAATATCCTCTAATCATTCACACAGGCAATATAAGTGACCTTATAAAGCTAGATTCTAACATATGGAAACATTAATACGGAAAAATCTCTTGATGTTACATAAAAATAAATTTAGTGCTAAGAAGGCAAAGATTCACAAATCTTTTTAAAAATCACACCGTTGAGTTCTTGTTCTTCCTACATATTCAATAATACTAGAATAGAATAATAATAGAAATTTTCAGAGGAAGGGGCCTTCATTGTATAGCTATTTCAAACCTCCAGATGAAATACACTATTTCATTATACAAGTAGATTATTATGAAGTGTTGCCCATTGAAGTTTGCAAGGCGTATTTCTCTAAAATTAATAAGTATCAGAAACCAGTATCAGTGCCTAAAAAGGATACTAAAGTCTGAGGCTGTGAAATGCAGTGCTTTCATCTCTGCAACTGGTATTTTACAGTTACAATTTTCCTTTTTACCATTAAATTCCATATTTATTTCAATCAACTGACATGGAAAGTAAATCAAACCATAATGCATATGAGACCAAGCATAAACTTTTCTTCCTGTACTTGGCTGCCTTCATCCTACCTCAGTTCTCTTTTGACTCCTATTAGGTACTCATGTGAAGGTGGAAGGAAAACACTGGAGAAGACAACACTTCTCAATATGTTTGGTATCTTCATAACCATTCTAAAGTGATGCCAGTTGGGGCTGCAGCTATAGAGGCTCTTCACTTGCAGGAGAAAGGTAGATGGTAGGTTGGTATACTGTTCCACGCAGTTCTATACAGTATATTGTGAGAGAGAACAAGACCAAGTGATTTTACTGCTATGTTCAACCACTCAGAATAGTGTTTCTAAGCAATAGCAATTGTGTTATACTTCTTTTTCACTTTACATGTACAAGTTTTGAGTAGCAGATACTAGCTAGAGAAGCAACAGAAATATGCAGGGATATACACAAGTATTCCCCCATAAATGAGGCAACTGTTAAAACATAAATAGCTGTCTTGTGTGAATCTGAAAAACTGCGTGTATGGAGTAAATTACCATGAGCATGAAAAAAAGAAACAAAAACATTGCAATGGGCAACATTAGAATGGCTTAGTTCTTTTACTGTGTTTGCATGCTGTTCTACTTCAAATCACTTAAGTCAATAGAGAGAAAAGCTTTTGGGACTACTGGATCTATAATACAATAAATAAAAATACAACATGACTCTAAAATTTACCCAAGTATGTGGAATAGATAAGCAACATCCTATCTTCAGCAAGATTCTTCTTAACTTCCTTCTTTATTTTTTAATTTGGAATCAATAGCTATACATATAATGACATTTGAAGAATTAAGTTGTCGAAGGTAGTATTATGTCCTGGGTTCAGCAGTAGCAGTCATTTTTTCTCCTTCTTAGTAGCTGGTGCAGCACTGTGTTTTTGACTTTCAGCCTGGGAACAGTGCTGATAACACCAATGTTTTTAGTTACTGCTCAAATGTTTAGTCTGACCAAGGACTTTCTGAGCCTCATGCTCTGCCAGGGAGGAGGGGAAACCAGGAGGAAGCAGAGACAGGACACCTGACCCAAGCTAGCCAAAGAGGTATTCCATACCACAGCACGTCATGCCCAGGATGTAGAACCAGGGGCAGTTACCTGAAAGGGCTAGTTCACTGCGGGGTTGGACTAAGTATTGGTCGGTGCTCGGTCAGGTTGGGTATTATCAGTCAGTGGGTGGTACTGTATTCTTTTCCCTTGTTATTTCCTTTATCATTATTATTATTGGTGGTAGCAGTAGTGATTTATGTTATACCTTAGTTACTAAACTGTTCTTATCTCAACCTGTGGGAGTTACATTCTTTCGATTCTCCTTCCCATCCCTCTGAGAGCAGGGGGAAGAAAAGGGGGGGGGAGTGAGAGACTGCGTGGCTGATTTATGGCTGATTGGGTTTAAACCACGACAGATTAGAACCCAGAGCCATTTTCTTAGATGACAGTCAAATTAATTGGGAAAGAAAGAGCCTGTTTACCTTACACAGAGCCTTTAACATCATGGCAGCATATAGGTGTTATTAAATTGCACTTATATCCATGTAATGCTACACTTTCAGAGCAAGCAAAGCCTATTACTTTATTTTTTCCCACCTGTGTTTCATTGCTTATAGTCTTTTCTACTCATTTATTTCTGTCTGCAGGCTTTTATATTCAGTTCAGTGAAACATGTAAAATATAGTATTATGACAGCTGCAAAAGAATATCAAAACCCTAAATTTTATCAAACTCAGCATAATCATTAAATTTTTGTTTGACTAAAGAAGACATAGTAGGGGAAAAAATGAGAGGCAAAGCCAGTAAAGGCTGTCACACTAAGTGAATGAGGAGTCTAATAATTTTCTCTTCACTCACCAAAATGGAGGTCTATTAATATTTCCATGTAACACTTATCTGTAGTGTTTTGCAGAGGACTATATTTTTATAATACATAAACGAATGAGATTTCTCAGTAGACCTATTTAGTATTTCCTATCAATAACCACATTACCAGATTTACAAGGGATTGTAATACAATTCTTCTATTTGCTAGGGACACCTATTAAGTATTGATAAGCTTTACAGTTTCACTCAGATGCTACTACATTTCTAAGTACTTTTCCAGATCTGTTACTTTGAATAGTATCTTTCATGTTTTACTTGTGACAAGTTCCATCAGCAATGGAACTTTCATGAAGCAGTTTCCACAGTTTTTTCCTGCTTAAGCACATGTAAAACAAAATGCACACAGATGCCTTTATAAATAAAGCATATATACTCTGAACTGTAAAGTGAGACACAAAACAAGTCAGTCTTACGTAGCGATTTAGTTCCAATAACCTATGTCATGCCATCCGTTACTTTTGGAAAATAAGGTTTTTTAAACTAAGCTATAAAATCTAATTATGTCTTCAAATCTGAAAGAAATCACTCATTGCCCTGACACATTTTGACTAGAAATCATCCCTAATAATGTTAATGATTTGCAAGGATGGACTGAATGAGGATGCTTTCATTATGTAGTAACAAAACCCTCTGAAAACAGCATTGGGAGAGTAGTGCAGTGTACTGCCATTCAAGTCTTTTTCTCCTCTGGATTATCCATTGCCGAGGGTGGGGAAAATGCGGAACTTGGATAGGAGTAGAACAGCTCAGCTTGATGGAGCCATGGGAAGCTGTGTGCACCCCATTCACCCACCCCAGTACTCAGCCCTAAGAACCCCCCAGACTCCACTAGAGCCCCCAAGTTCCTTCCAGTGCTCCAAACAGACCTGTGCTACCCGGTACCTCCCCAATGAACATAGCATCCCCTGAAGCACCCATACACTCATATACCTGTGAGAGCCCTCCCAAGAGTATTCTAGAGTCCTGCAGTACCCTCAGTACCCAGTACCTTGCCTGTAAGTTAACTGTAAGGGTTAATGGGGTAGTGGATACCAGTACAGCCATTATGAGAAAAGGGTGACAGAGACAAGAGGAAGTGAGCAAGAGTATTCTCAGCAGGTAGACACAAAGAACAGAGAGAATGGTGGAAACTGGGATGGGCTGAGGAGTCATAGCTCATCTAGAAAGGAGATTTGCCCACCTAACCAAAGAAGAGGAATAATGTGGAAAAAGGCCTGTAAGATGGAAACATACTGGAGAAATATGCACACCCATTTGAATAAATGGAAAACCTCTCAGAAACAAGTAATTTCCTGCATTTTTCACATGGCACTGACCATAATTTTTTTGCTCCTTAGGTCACCAGCATCATATGACTCTAAGCACTGCTAACTCTCCGAAGGTCTCTTCAAAGTCCTTGAATACATAAGAGCTCTTGGCTTTCTGATTTGTTCTGGTTAAGGCTCAAGGTGTAGAGAATCCATTCACAAGAGAAATCACTGTGTACACCTTCATAAATTATAGATATTATTTTAAATACAGTTGTAGTCTGTACAACAGAGGCAGAAGTCAATCTTTTAGTAACATCCTGAGAGACATTTTTATAAAATTGAGAGCAGGAAGTAAGTAATCTGTCATCAAGTACAGTCTGGCTCTCCCTGTCTGACAACTGGCAAAGATCTACAAATGCTCACATTTCCATGAAAGGATCTGAAGATGCTGGTAGGAAAGCTAGCATTATTATCTACAGATAAGTCATAGACGCAAAAACAGGTAGCATGTCTTTTTCAAGGTCAGGGAATCAATCAGTGAAACAGCACTCTGTTGCCTGGCCCATGTATTACTCTTAAAATCATCCTTGTCTTTTTCTGCCTAGAGAATTCCTTTCCTGTTTTTTCCTCCCAAGTAATTTTTTTCTCTCTGTTTTTCTCTTTTGCTTTTTCCAGTTTATCTTTCCTCACTTAACCTTCAGACTTCTTCTGATCCTATAAAAAAGGACAAAAGGCAAGAGCCTACAGGAACCAGCACAGTCAGACTCTTGTCTTTGTCCAGCACTGCCTTTTAATTTGTGGGAGAGAACAGTAGGAGAGATCATTGCATGCTGTGTATATTGCTGACATGCAAAGTCAGGAAAAACAGGCACACTCCTGACTTCCTTTGAGAGTGGCTCCCTCAGCCAGGATACTATTCCCTTAATGAGACGCCACAAACTGCTAGGGCTGCCCAGCAACTCTTGCTGTAATATTTAAATCCTGTATGCATGGCAACATATTTTTGCCAGCTCTGCCAATTACCTTAAATTTATAGACGTGTTGGATTTTAAGGTTTTCAGGTTTTAAATCAAAGAATCAAAAATAGCTCAATCTTTCTCATTTCTTTGCAAAAGTCCTATTTTTGTCACTATTGCCTTATTTTAAATGTAAATCTCCCAGATTTAGATTTGGTTTTTTTTTTTTTGTCTTGAGGAGGAGGTGTAATGTAGAGGATCTAGCGATTAAAGCTATGTAAAATACACTTTCATGTTTCTGAATGTTTCTATCTTCTTTCAGCTGTTCTGACTTAGAATTCCCCAAATCAAGCTATAAAGCATGTGAAAGGCTTGGCCTACTCTGCCTTTCACATTATTAAAACGTAGTGCTGTTCTTAGGGTAAACTATATTCATAAAAGTCAATGAATGCAATTCAGCAAGGTTCCTTAATCTTGCAAAATAACTGTTTCTAAAAAATATCATCAGCTCTGCTAAAATTGCCCTTCCTTTTATACAGTTTTCGCAGCCAGCTATAAAAATCACTCCTAAGATTTAAGCATTATATTGCTGTATATTACCAGCACAGAATTATTAGAAACTCTTAGTTTTTTGGAGGTGATCTTATTCCTGTGGTCACAGTAATGTTGCAGAAGCTGGTAGATGTTGAAACAACACCAGAGAAGTGTAGGGTCCTGCAAGTACTGCAGGTCTGTGCCCTTGCCTGTGCTCACTGAGGCTTAAATGATGTAATTTTGGAAGTGCTGTGGGGTTTAGGCTGGGTCAGTGTAACTTGCACAGAGCAAACTTAAGCAAGACACAAAGATTTCAGTTCAACTAAACATATTTTACTGTAGACATCATCAAGATAATCTTCTTTGAAGTATTTAAAATACCCCAAAAAGTAAACCAGAAGAGTAGCCAGTGATAAATTGACCCTACAGTGAACCTAACATTGCATCTCAGCATTGAGCTGCTGTTACTAAACCTGTGAATGTTTGATTACTTTGAAAACAGCTTTCCCACTGGGTGGTTCTCCCGGCACACATCTGTCTGCATTCCAGCTCTTGCTTTTGTCAAATCAAGGTGTTTTTTCAGCCTGTACCTTATAACTACATTGATTATGAGCTTGACATTTGAATCCCTCTTTTTTTGCCAGACCTGTTTATCAGCAGAGCTATTTTCAGGGCAATCTGCATTTGCAAACAGGATGGAAGTAAGGAATGGGAACAGGTTGTCATGCTGTTAAGTGACCACAGAAGTACAGCTGACACGGGTGTTACTATTGGTGCTTCTCCTCCAGTTTGGTAAGGGCTGAAAAAAAAGAGTCGAAATAATTCTGAGTGGTCACGAAGGTGTTTTCTAGCTTCTCTGCTGGCTGACCCCAAATTACACCCCTAAGGCCATCCCAGGCCTGCTGTTGCACAGCCATTTTCAGGGCAGCCAGCCTACTTGAGAGCCTCTGTGAACCTTAGGAAGCCTTCTTGAGTTGCAGAAACGACTATTACTTCTTTATGTTGACAGTTGTACAGTCTAGACTATGGTTTTGCCTCCATCATGTACGGGCCTGGTGAGCCAGACCCAGGAAGTGCCTCACTGGTTGAGACCAGAGGCCAGGTAAATCGCATGGCCTCATTTACCCCCTTCGCCGGTGGAGGGGTTTGCTACCTGCCTCCCCAGTGGGTGGGGACAGACCTGGAGGGAGGTTCCCGTGCTGCCTCAAGGCTACACAGCGCAGGTCCGGGCAGTAGTCTTGGCAATCTTGTCAGGGCGTCCATTCCGGGTGCTCGCCGGTGACACGATACCCACAGGAAGGGGAGGGAAGAGGACACTGGCCGCTTGTGACCCCCTGGCACACGGGCACAAGCAGCTCGGTAGGCCGTCGGGAGGCGGCTGGGGAACGCTGTACCGACTCTGAGGCCAGCGACGGAGAGTAGCTCCCCTCTCCCGGCCCACCCCAGCGCCGTGAGGCGGGGCGGGTGAACGTGTGGTGAGGAGCCGCAGGGGTCGCCCCCGTGCTGAGGAGAGTAGCGCGAACGAGGAAAGGAAGCGAGTTCTCCGTCGGCAGGGGGGCTGGGGAGAGGGGGCCAGCTGAGAGAGCGGGACCCGGCAGGGCCGCTGGGGCGAGGCAGGGTTGCTCTGTTCCCCCTCGGCCTCCTTCCCGTCACCGGCCTCTGCTCCAGCCCGCTTCCCCCCCACCCGCTGTGTGTTCCTGCGTCCGTTGCAAGGCCCCTCTGCCGGTGCTCGTCGGCTGGGCGCGAGGCGGAGCTGAGGAGAGTTGGCGCGTGCCGGCAACGTGCCGGGGCTTGAGGCGGCGACGGGGAGATGGAGCCCGACAGCGCGGTGAGGAGCCGGGAGCGGTGGCAAGGCCGGTTCCCGGGGGGCTGGGGCGTTCTCCGGGGAGAAGGCAGAGGGGGGCGGCGGGTGGGAGTGCAGCTGTCCCGCTAATGCGCCCCTCGCTGAAGGCGGCGGCCGTTGCGGGCTCGGCCCCAGCGCCGCGCGAGTCCGCCATTTGCTTTGTGGTGTGGTGTGGCGGGCTGGGGGCAGCCTCAGTTGGGCTAAACCGCTCGCCTCGAGTGCGCAGCGGTACCTGGTACTTAGGAATGATGGGTGTCTGGTTCATGACGTTGCGGGATATGAACTGTGAAAAAACGGGCTGTTCAGGGAGTAAGGTGGGATTGATATTTAGGTATTTGTGGTGCTTGATTGCCTGATTGTGGATGTGTTCAACATGAAAATGAAAATTTTATCAATTCGGTTAAAGAGCAGTTGCTAAACGCAAGAAATAACCGAGAAAAGTGGCTACCCCATCCCTGGCAACGCTCAAGGCCAGGCTGGACAGGGCTTGGAGCAACCTGGTCTAGTGGAAGATGTCCCTGCCCATGGGGGACATGGAATTGGATGAGCTTTAAAGTCCTTCCAACCCAAGCCATTCTGTAACTCTATGAAAAAACATAGATGTATATACGTATCCATACTGTTTAAGGGGAAAAAAAAATCTAAAAACTGTGTTTAAAGACCTGTAGAAACTCAAATTATTTGGTGATGTGCACGCAGATCTTTTAATATTGGGTTTTTTTTACTTCTACATTGGCATTAAAGAGGAAATTATTTTTGAGACAGTTATCAGAATACAGATTTTAACATTTTAAATTGGGGTTTACTGTATTGGGAGTTCACAAGTGACGTGTTCAATTCCTCATTTCTTCCATTTGGGATTTGGGTTTGTTTGACTTTTTTTAATGAGACTTAAAACTCTTGGCTTGTATAGAGAAAATTAAATTTGAGATCCTTGAGGTAAAGAATGTCCTTTGGCTGTGGTATCAACTGTTAATTGTAACTTTATAGTTAAATTTTAGTGCTGTACACAATTGCCAGATGAATATACAAGTAGAACACTGTATTCGGTGTGAGAGATGAAGAAAGTAACTTGATTTATCACCCTTCAAAAGTTGTTCTTTACAGATGTTCCTCCTTCTAAAGCCTTTGGGACTGTAGTGATTATGATTGTTCCTTGCTTGCAAGTGATGGGTTTGGTTGGTTTGGTTTTGTGTTTTCAGGTTAGGCACTACTGTTATGGTAGTGTTCCCAGTAGGAGCAATGCAGTAGCTGCTTGCCTTTTACTCTGGGCTCTTTCCTTAGTGGTACTGTCAGGACACTATAGCCTACAATTTGTTTTAGTAAACTTTGATTTAGTTTAGTTTAGTTGGGGACAGACCAAGAAAAACCACCATGGCAAAAATGTTCTTGAAGTCTCTTGCAATTCTTACTGGAGAAGTATGGTGATGGCACTATATGGCTGCTTTACAGTTATGGTTAGGATTGACTATGCAGTTTCCAGTGGAATGGGAGTCTGTATTTTTTCCCAGTTCATATGTGGAAGTTAAAACATCAGTCAGGCTTCACTGAATAATGGTTTCCATGAAGTTCCCACTGTACTGTGTCCCTTTCCTTTACCAGGGCAAGGGCAACCTGGTAGTTCTTCCACAGAGAGAATTTCTGTTTGAATCACTGTGTACTGTGTTTGTAGGCCAGAAGGGTGTTGAATTAAAAGACTAGTCTTCAAGAACTGTTATCAGGTGTAATGAGCTTGTTGATTTTATATGGTGGAATTTTGTGTGCTTGGCACTTGGAAAATCAAGTAGAAGCAGTTGCAGAGGATCAGAGTTTTGTAGATTGTGTGTGTGTGAGAGAGTGTAAGTTGAGTTGAAAAGGCCTTTTCTGTATGGGTTTAAGCTAAGGGGTTTCTAGTAGACATAAATTAATCTCTGAAATAGATTTCATAACTTGGGATTCATACAGCAGGATGCTGTGCAAGCAGAAAAACTAAGAATAGGCCCTAAAAGTCTCATTCAGAAAAGTGTTAAAATGAAAGTTAAACTGAAGACAATAGTGTATCACTAAGTTATTGAATTGCTTAAAACTAAGCTTATGTTTAAATGCTTGCTGATTTGCATTCTGAATAAAAAATACATGGTTCGTGTTCAGTTATTCAGCATTTGCTGTGCCTCCCAAAAAAAAGATTTTTTTTTTCTGTTGAGAAATCTATGTGTAAGATAACTGAAAATATTTGAAAATATTTTCCTTCCATCAGCAGACACCAAATCAGATGCAAACAGAATCTTTATATTCATGTCCCAACACTGCGTCTCCAGTGCCATTAAATAGTCTGACCAGTACTCCAAGGTTTGGAACAGTTACTCCAAATCGCGTCTTTGTAGGAGGAATTGATTTTAAGGTATTTCTTCCTATTTTTCTACTAAATGATAATTTGTATAAAAATCAACAGGAAAAAAATGTGGGATACAGTCATGTGTGTTTGTTCAGGTGGTAAAGTGCCCTTCACTGCAATGTTCAAATGAGCAGTAGAGAATAAAACATTAAGCCTTGATTCATGTAACTGTACTACACAGTTGTCCATTTGTACACCTAAATGCTTTTGATATTACTGGTTCTTCAGAATTTTCTCTTTTTCAAAGAAGATGGCTTTTGTCATCAGCAGAGTTTATGGTAGAAAAATATGTAGAAGCGTTTTTATTGTGTAACACTTGATGTAATTTAATAAACTGTGACCACAGTGTTAAAGATTGAACAGAACAAATGTCAGTAGCTTCTGTTCCTCTAGCACTTTTCTTCCAGTTCATACAAAGAAGGAGCTACAGTGCATGTATTCCTCAGTTACCATAGTAATTTTCTTCAGAGCAAGTGTTTGTTTTAAAACAAATATTAAATCTTCTCTGGGCAATTTACAGTAGTGATCTGGATTCTTAGAATGCTCGTGCCTTCACATATGCCCTAAAAACCTCAAAGAGCAGTGAATATTGAACCATTTTGATGTTCAGTTGCTTTCAATGGTTGTGACAAGATACGTACCAGATCTTCAGATCAGCTACTCTTTTTTTTTTTCTTTCTTACCACTTCAGATTAGGAGTTGTCATTGACTTTTGCAAAACATCCTTGATCTGCTTAGCTGTTTCTTTGTTCCCACCAAGAGTATATTCTTTGTCTTAATCCTTCTAGGCTGAGGACCTTCTGAGTGGTGACTCAGATGAAGAGGAGGAAGAATGACAATTTTGCATAATAAACACAAGAAATTCAAGGTTCTTCTGGCTCACTTGGATAATTTATATACAGGCGTTCATAATTAAGGCGATGTTGTACAGGGTCTTCAGTATATTTGGGCTTTGGCAAAGAGGCACAGTAGCTTCTTGCATTAATAGTAAGCAAATTACTAGAGCTGTAAAAAGATTTGTCTCACTTTCTTGATGGCAGCTTAAAACACTTATTCTGCATAATATATCAGTATTTTTGTTAATTGGCATATTGTTCATTTTGAAGCGTCTCTTGACTTCATGGTTCACTTGCTATACATCAAAATTTATTATGAATCTTAATTGCAACAACAGGAATTAAGTGTGTTTGTATCTGTGAACATAAAGGGATTTCATTGGGAGAAGAAACAGAAGGTGTGAAACCACTTACTGACATTTTAGCAACTCTTCCAATTTCTATGACTTAATATCAAGTACAGTTTTAAATTTCTGTTCAAATTGTAGGATATATATGTCATTCTTGGATTGTTTTCTGATGGGCTTCTTATGGCAAAAAGCATTGGGGTTTGGGGTATTTTTACCCCAAAGGTCTTAAGTTAGCTGGGGGGGAGGGGTGGTAAAAATCTATTTATTTATTTTTGTGAAAAAAGGAGGCACTTAATAGAAGATTATTTGTTTTCCAACAAGCTCTTTTATTGTTTTACCAGTTGGTCTGTCACTTTAGCAATGATTGCTTTTTACAAGAGGAAGCATCTCGCCTTTTTAAATTTAGAGATATAAGTAAGACAGGTCACAGTTGGGTACTTTTTCATCTTGGCCTGAAGAACTCTTTCTTCAGTGGTGTACACCCTGCCTTTCATAAGAATTTGACAAGTACCTTTGTCCTGTCGTGAGCAGGAAAAGTCCTGAATATGTTTCTGTCAAGCTTTTGGATACCGTGTTTGTCCAGATACTTGCAGATTTTCACTGTGAATCTTAGAACAGTGTTTCCTTCTTATTCCCCTTTAATACACTGCTCTGCAGATAAACCTTTGGCTTTCCAAGTTTACAGTCATGTGTAACCATCCCTGATGTCCTTGAGGTGTTGAACGACACTTTCACCACTGATCAGTCTTAAAGGCTCTTTGGTTGTTTCTTGGCCTATTTTAGCCTTCAACTCTTTTGTCATAGGCTTTTTTGCTCAGCTTGTGAAGCAGCTGTGCTACATGTAACCTGGAGCTTAAAAAAAACAATCTCCCAGAAATGAGAAATTTAATCTACAGGCCTTTTGTTTCTAAGCAGATAGTTTTGGTGTTCATTGCAGATGTCCTGGGGTCAGCAGTAGCAGTGCTACACCAGCTACTGCACCAGCTATTGAGAAAAATGACTGCTACTGCTGAATCCCGGACAGGAGAAAATTTTAAGGAAAGGAAAATCTTCACTGTGAGTCTTTCGAACATTGTACATGCTTTGCAATGTGCTTTGTACGTTTTTATGTGCAAACACTACAGCATATGCTGCACAACTGGTCTATAGAAACAATCAGTTGTTTGCCTGAACCTGTTTTCCTGTGTGCACAAGCTTTCACACTTCCCTTTAGGTGCAAAGTGTGATCATCTATTCAAGAGAATGGTTCTGGACTCCAGAATTCTTTTGACCTGTTCATGATGGATAGTTTCTCAAACAACAGCTTGCAAGGAGAAGACACAGTTACTGAGCCATAATAAAATCTTGATGCGTTTCACACCTACTCAGTGCACTTCTATCTGATGTTTCTCCTCCTATCTGATGTTTCTCCTCACGCTTTCAGAGCGACTGGGTATTTTCTAGTGTTTCAGTGCCTGAACACTCGGATTAACTGGGGAGATAATGTTCTACCATCATTGCTCTCTGCTGGACTTGGGTGTTACAGCGAGCAAGCTGCATTATTTGTTTTTGTAAAATGTGTCTGGAGGGTCGAATTCTTCAAAAAGAGCATTAATTTCATATTCTTTCCAGTTATGAAAGTTGTTCAAATTAGGTTTTGTTTCTACTAAGTTGTTCTTGTTTCTTAAACTTGGATGAAGCAGCTAAGCCTTTGATGTGCAGGAGGGGATATATAAAATTGTATACACACAGTTAATAAAAGTCGTTCACTTAAAGGTAGAGTAGTACTTCTCATATAATTCTTCAGCGAAAAATATAGCTGAATATGGAAATTGGTTGAGGCATATAGGCATCTATGTATGTAAGTGTACTTCTTCCAGCATTAGGTACAGTATTAACTAAGGACCACGTAGAACAGAACTTTAACATCTGAAATATGATGTTTAGGGCACTCTATTTGATATATGCTTACACAGTAGAAGAAAACTGATTCATAGAAGGTAGGTAAGTGTTCACATAGCTGTTACATTAGGAACTTGTCTTACTTCATGCATACTCAGAAGCGAACTGTTTCCTCCATGGGGATTTAGAACATTCTCCATTAAAAGGACCTTTGTTTTCTTAATTTATAATGGCAAGTTTCTGTGGTGTGTGTATACATATCTGCAGAGTCTTATATTAAATGTACTTTTGAAAGAGGGATTATAGATTAGATGAATTTGACCATTAAGTTGCTGTTGTTTAGCAGGGATCTTTTTCATATATGACCTATGCATATCCTTTCTGGAAGCCTGCATACTCTGCTTCTCTGAAGTTTGAAAGCATCACAGTAATGTTTCATATTGTAAATAGCACTCTAGTATGTAATTTATGGAAACTAAAATTCACATCTAGTAAACATGCTTCAATGGTCTTGCCTGTAAAAGTTGTTATGTAAGTCCACTAAAAGGTAAGTTATAATATTTTAGTGGCTTTCTAGCATTCGTGGTGTATGTAAAAACGCAGAAATTAAATAGGAGCTGTGAAGGCTCATACATGGTAATTTTTTTTTTTTCTATCCAGAGTTATCAGTAGTTTGTAGAAAACTTTATCCAAAGTATATCCATTAAAAATCTTACAGTAAGTATTCATTGAATAAAACAATATGCAAACCAACTTCTTTTTTTTTTTTTTTCCCCTTCTTGATTTACTGTACTAGACTAATGAAAACGATCTGAAGAAGTTTTTTGCTCAGTATGGCAGTGTGAAAGAAGTGAAGATAGTAAATGACAGAGCTGGAGTATCAAAGGGGTTGGTATTGTAGGATAAGTATGTTGTGGGAATTGAAAATATAACAGAAAGCTGACTGACTATAGTAGATTTGATTATGAATTCCATTGCTCAGAATATTATTTGTTTTGTCATTGATGTTCCCCATTAATCCATGTATGCAAAAATGTGTTCTTGCCCTTTAACATCTACATGTAAATGTCTTTGTAGTTCATAACTGTAAAACTCTATACTTACATTATTATAAGATGAAGGTGTGTGCAGCTAGGACAAAATCGGTAATCCTTTCAGGGTTTTCTTATGACAGTATTTTAAATAGATAACCCTAAAATAGTAGTTTAGTTATTAAACATGCGTATTTCTACTACTGAAAGCCAGTGCGGAAAGGAGCCGAAGAATGGAGGAAGAGGCGAGGTACATCTGATTATGCTGGAGTGCATGGCAATAATGTGAGACTTTTGTGTGAAGATTTATGGAACAAGAACATAGGAGAGAAATTTGATAACGAATTGTGACTGCAGAAAAGGGAATTAAGACTAGAAGTCAACAATAAAAGAAATGCCAAAGAGCAGATCTGAAGAAAGATTAAGATTGGGTAGTAAGGTTATTGCTAGAACCCAACTAATGCAGTGGTCAAGGAAGTAAGATGAGTAACTGTACTGCCACAGAACGGTGGAAAGAGGGCTGAAGCAGAAAAGAATGTTCATGAGAATTTGTACCTGTAACAGTTCACTTTGGTCAGAAGCTCTCTTCTGAGCAGTAAGTCTTTGGTGTCTGAATCTCATCATTTTATACTGCCATAATATATATCGGCAAATTACATGCTGAGCTGCAGGTCTTAGCATAGCGTGCTATACCTACATGGCACGTTGGACTTGGTTCTGCTGTCAGATCTATTACCAAGCCTCTTACCCTTTTACTAAATTCCAAGAGATACCTGAGACTTGCAGTACATGTGTCCATATAATACAATAACCAAGAATATCCAATTATTATGCAGTTGTGATTGCCAATATATGTCTCACAGAAAAATGTTGGAAAATAATTGGTTTCAACAGTGTTGGTATTTCTGTTGAAATCCAAGCAATCCATTGCATCTCATTGACAAGTGATTTAAGAAACTTCAAGGGTTTTGTGACTGATTGTGTCTATTAGTTTATTGTCCAGACAGCACATAGAATGAAAAGTCTGTGTAGATAAGGTCCCAAGCTAGGTAAATCGTCTCTGTGTTCTTTGAACTTGGAAATGTTTACAAATCTGTTTAGAGAAGGCAATGGAGGAAAAGCTCGCAGATTTAAAAGTCAAGCTGGTCGAAGTCTTATTGGGCTCTCTACTCAAATAAGCATTTTTGAAAGTACATGTGTTGTGGTACAGACCTGAATTATAAGATGAGATACTTTGCACAAAGCATGTTCGATGGCATAGGTTTGTGGGAATGAATTGAGGGGGTTTGATACAGCAGCAGTTTGTGCAGAAAGTCTTTTTGATTTGTTGCAGTAGTTACAAAGTATGAGAACACACAGAACTCTTGCTTAATGCTAGTCATGTGAAGAATGACAAGAATAAATCATAGATAAACACTCTCTGCATTGCTGCTTGATCTGAGAACTCAGTATAGTGGGTAGTGCTTGTGCAAGTATAAAGCATTCACTGAATGCAAAGCAATCATTGAAGCAGGTGGGAGCTTTGCTGTGAAGTACAGTATAGAAAAAAATAACATCTCAAGTGTTTCATCAAAGTCTTTGTTTAGTAGAAATGAAGGAACTAAAGATACACACTGAGTAACAAGAGCAATGCGGAGAGAGGTATGTGTAGCTTTCCACAGGGGCTGCTCATTCACTTGCACTATATGTCAAGAAATGATGTGCAGTGTATGTAAAAAAAAAAAAAATAAATAAAAAATTCAGAGGGTTAGCTTTTATAATTCTTATTTAGGTATGGCTTCATTACTTTTGAAACTCAAGAAGATGCACAGAAGATTTTACAAGAGGTAAGTGATAGTCCCCATTATGTTTATCTCTTAAATTAAATACTTAATTTAATATTGGACACTAACTAGCTCTTACTGGCTGGCCGTATTTTGTTTGTCAGCTTGCATTTGAAGGTCTCTTCAGTCTGGTCTGTGTAGTTGAGAAAATGGCTTAGAGAGACCTAATACAAGATTTAGGCTGAGGTCTTCTGGAACTAGGGGAAAGAGTTGCCAGTTTGTAGTACAGCTCTTGACTTTGACATACAGTCTTTACTTCCCTACTCTGTATGTGGTCCGTTGTGCATATAGAGCCATAAAGACTCCATCCTTCACAATTGCTTTCATTTGCTCTACTAGAAAATAAATTGCTGTCAAAGCTTTGTTGGGCGTTGGGAAGATAACTGCTGTCTTTCGTGCAGACATGTTTGATTGCCAGAGCTGATGTAACTCTCTAGTGGTAAAATGAAAAGATGCTGCTGAGAATCATAGGTACCAGTTGTTAGTCAGGAGGCCCCATGAGGAGTAAGTAGTACTTGAAATTACTAAGAATTAAGTTTGTGTATGTAAACCCTTTAAGTTAGGATAGAAAAGTAATTAGTATAGCTTTGGGGGTTTTTGAGATGCACTCTAAATAAAAAGCAGGGGAGGGTGAAACCTAATGAGTGACTTGTGTATGTCTGATTTTGTTTCTTTCATGTCTGTGTAGAAAACGTCTTCTTTCTTTAATTCTAGGCTAAAAAACTTAATTATAGGGATAAGAAATTGAATATTGGTCCAGCAATCAGAAAACAACAAATACGGAATCCTCGTATGTATTTTTACTTGCATTTCAGACTGAACACTTATGTAAGAGGGGTACTGATAAGTTTTTTGTCAGATTACTTCTTTATCTTGATCAAGTAAGCTGTTAAGATTTTTTTGGGGGGAGACAGAACGAGGTTTTATTCCAGAGAAGATGACATCTCCTGCCAGAAGCAGTTTTATTTCTGTAATAAACAACTGAAAAAGTAGGATATGAATCACCAACCTTTAAGGGAAGCTCCATCAGGTTTTGGCATACCAGGGCATGTTGTTCTGTTACTCCACACTAAAGGCTGTGTGTCAGAGCTGTAAAATACATTCCTTTTGTAAGTGCAGCAGGGAATGAGGTGTACTTTTGTAACTTTGCTGTAGTAAAAAAAAAACCTCACCCCACACTTCTGCTCATCTGCATGGGGATCTCTCCCTTTATTTGAATAATGATGGCTGTCAGTACCTATTAGAGTACTGACTGTGCAGGTGAAACTCTGCTTTGGGATCAACCCATGCTGGCTTACAGCACCACCATAATGGCAGCATTGCTGAGAAGTATCCCTGTTGCTGACATCTAGTTACCAGTATTTACTTTTGCCAGGCCATGTACCATCACAGAAACAGACACAGCCACATGGTGTGTGTGCTGAGAGAGGAGGCAGTACCTTGTAGTGAAACAATTTGGTTATTTTTAGTGCTTGGGTCCTGTATCAGCTAAATATGAGTTTGTGGAGGTTACCAGTTAAAATCTCCTACAATGTGAAGTTATCTTTGAACATTTGAATGTCAAAAAAATACATGTATCTTTGGTGAGTAATTTATATGCATGTTATCTTTTGTACCCCTTTCCCATCTACCTCTGGAGATGTCCTGTGACCATCTGCTTTGATGATTTTGTGTTTGAGAGGGAATTGAGATGGCACTAAGCACGCTGCTCCATGTTCTTTCCTTTGAGTGCTTTGCTCCTCTACAGATAAAAAGTGACCTTTTCTTCTTTTTTATGGCCTACAAATGTAAAAAAAAATAAAATTTTCCGGTAAGTAAACTTTAAAATACTAATTTCAGGTTCTACTGTAATACCAGAAGCTGCTACAATGTACTTAACTACATCAAGTGGATATCCCTACATATACCATAATGGAGTGGCTTATTTTCATACATCTGAAGTTGCTTCTGTTCAGCAGCCATGGCCAGTAAGTCAATTATTTTTGCATATGTGCTTTTCTGTGGACCAGGATGAATGCAGTGTTTTGAAGTCCATGCTGCTTCCAGTTTCTTAGGATGTGCTCATGTTTGATGTTTAAATGGCTTCCTTGTATTAGCCTGTTTATTTCATGTTTTTAAGTATTACTAATTTTATTGGTCTTCTGCAGGGGACTTTTGCTTTGATATGACCCATAGGACAGGGTAGTTCAGAATCAGTGTGGGCCCTGCTGCAGGAGAAGTTTTGTTTTTTCTAAGGAGTTTCTGGTGCTTTTGACTGCTGATTGGCTCCATTTATTATTCCTCTATGAATGAGGTGTTCTTGGGTGTAAATTCTTACACTGAGGATGAAAAGAGAATGTAGTACTAGATCAAGAAAGCAAACCTGAAATTGGGTTATTTTACAGTCATTCATACTCTTTTTCAAGAATAATAATTTGTTTAGAAGGAAGATAATTTGATAGATTATTTGCCTTTAGTAGCCTTGGGGACCTTAGACACCATTCACAGACATATATGAGTGGAAAATCCCTTCATGTTGGGGAAAAACTCAGTGGAAAAATTAGTAATGAATAAAAACAAATTTCCCAAATTTCTGGCTCATATCCACTGTTTCAAACAAATAGCACTGAATCTTTTCAATTACAAATTGCGCACAGTAGGCTTTACTAGTCAGAACTACAGGTTCGGAGGGCTGTGTTGTCCTCTATCATGGCCATACATTTTTTGCCCCCCTTTCTTTCACTGATTTCTTTTTGAACCTAAACTGGGCCCACACAAAACCCAGGCAGGTTTCAAGCTCCTTAAACTGGCTGACTGTCAAATCAGATGAATGCTGAGTCTGGTGTGAGGTAGAGAATGGGAAAGGGAAGCTTGTGTTGGGGCTGTGGAGAGGGTAGGAAAACATCAGTGACAGCTTAGAATGCTTTAAGTATTTACAAAAAAATGTATCTATAGTCAGGGTAGTGGATGGCCTTAGCATTTCTAGATGGTGATAGCCTAATGCTTTCTGGAAAGAACTAAGTAAATACACCAAAGATGGTTGTTTCATCTCTAATGTAGTCCCTTAGAAACAGTGGCTTTGAAGAATCTAAGTGTAAGTTAAATCCATTTTCAAAAGAAAGGGGAGATGGCTCAGCATTACAGTACTCTGGAACTGTTCTTAGTAGAAGTGGTAATTCATTAAATTGCTTCATTAAGACTTTAACGTCTTTCTTTTCAAGTCGCGCTCTGTTTCCAGTTCACCTGTGATGGTGGCTCAACCCGTTTATCAGTCTCCTACATACCAGTATCAGGTACCTATATGAAAGTTGTCTTCTAACCATCAGTATTCCTTCCAGTCATGGAGTTTTATTTGCAGCACTGTCTTGGCTCTGTTTATTCTTAGGAAATAAAAAGATTGTTCAAAATAGTCATATAAAAGAGATTTTAATTTCACTTAAGATCTTTTAACTATAATATAATTTATTCTGCCTATGTAACTGTGAGGAAATGTAATAATTAAAATTTTGTTTGGTGTTGCTAGACAACTGGGTTAGTATAGTATCATCCTTAATTTTTATAATCTAAGCCAAACTCCTGCTCAAAGCAGGGCTTGGTAGATCAAGTTTCTTGGGAACTTGTCCAATTGAATTTTAAATATTTGCAGGGATGGAGTTTGCACAACTTTCTGGACAGCGTTTTCTGATACTTGATACTTTTACTGTGAGAAGTATTTTCTTTTCAACTAGTTAAAATATTCAGTGTTCCAACCTGTGTCTGTTGACTCGTGCTCTGAACACCACAGGCCAGAATCTGGCTTAGTCATATTTATGCTGTCATCCCTTAGCAGCACCCCTCCTGCCCTTATCCTTCTCAAGGCTGAACAAACCCAATCCTCTCAGCATCCAGATACATCTGTTCTCTAGTCCCTCCATCATCTTGGTGGCCCACTACTGGATTTATGCAGTATGTCTGTATTTTTAATGTGTATTGGCAAGTTAAGTGCTTTCTGTATCTTCTGTTTTTTTTTAATTAGCCATGCTTCTTAAGATGCTTCAGTATTTTAGAAGTTAATGAAATGCTAGAGTCAGAAGCTGAGTGGATGTAGGTGAAACCAAGTTCCTGAATTACTTGGGGGCTTAATGAAAATCATATTTTGTTTAAGTATTGATTATAGATTAAAGATGGTTTTGACTCTAGCATGTTGGGAATTACAATAGGTGTATGCATATGTTCTTAATCACGTAAGTAATACTGGTTTTTTTTTTGAGTTTAGGCACCAGCCACCTGTGTTCCAAGTCAGTGGCAGTGGCCTGTTCCACAGGTAAATACAGTTTCAGTATTTTAACATTAGTTTGCATCCAGTTTAAAAGTCTGGTGCACTTACAGTGAACTTTACCAGTATTCACAACACTTAAATGTTACCAAAACCTGAAATAACATTATTATAGCATTTATTGAAACATCAGATACAAATCTGACATAAAGGAAGCATCTTCCCCTCCTTTCTCCCTCTGGCAAAAAGTCTGTATGAAATTATCTAGTAAGTTCTCAGAAGCAGGTAAAAACTGCCATATTTTGCCTGATAGGAGAAATGAGTATCAGCTAGCTTAATAACTAACTGTGATGTTTGATTGGAGTATTACTAGTAGAAGCATGTAGACATACAAGTAGGGTGAAACTAGACCCAGACCCTTGAAATATGAGGAAGAACTTGAAATTGCTAGCCTGGTAATTCTGGGGGGGGAGACTGTTGGTTTTGTGATCTCTGTAGCAGAGGAGCTTAATATGGAAATCTTGACACTCAAGGAACTTGAAGAGTTTGAAGCTGAAAGGACTAAGTCGCTGAAGATTGAACTGTTACAAAGCATCCTCATTACTTCAGTAGCAAGCAGCCTTGTCCAGTTATGGCCATGTCATCTCTATTAATAGATGTCATCTGCTGCTTTGAAATCTGGGCGCTGAATTACAGAAATACTGCGGGGTTTATTTTAAAACAGAATGCTTATTATTTCAATGTAACATTTTTACAAGGTTATACTTGTTATGTTTCTGTGATCTTGAGAGTGTCAGTTCTATGTATTTTAGGATTTATCTAACAATACTCTCCAAAATCTGAAAAATGTGTAAAAGCTACAGGACATTTTTGTTTTATCCTACCAACTTCCCCTTCATTTGGTCTCTTTAGGTTATCAAAGGTTGATTTGACACTTTATTTGACTGTTCTCTTTGCTAAATATTCATGAAGATAAAACTTTAAAAGAATCTTTGGTGTTCATAGTGCATAAATCATATTATTTATGAAAGTAATGTGGTTTATTTCAGTCTGCTGTCTCTTCACCTTCATTCTTGTATGTGCAACCATCTGAAGTCATTTATCAGCCGATAGGGATTACCCAGGAAAGTGGATGTGTACCTCCACCTCTCCTTGTAGAAGCTGCAGCTCCAGAGGTATTTTTATAAAAACTTTACTTACAGTTCAAGCTTTTATGTGCAATTGAAAAACATTCTTTTGGTTGAAGCACAGGTAGTTCAGAGCACTTAACATCAACTATTCCCTGTACTTACCCCCACAGTTAATGCTCCTGCTGTTAAATCATTTCAGTTGTCCTCAAGAATATCTCTTCAATTTTCTAGGAGGATGCTTTAATTTGAAATATTACAGAGGGGTCACAAGTGTATGATAGATAGCAGTATAAAAACTAGTTGGGTTGTTTTGTTCTGTTTGAAAATAACAAGTAAAATGGGAGTCAGACTCTTCAGAATGCTGGATTAGTATATCCAAGCCGTAACAGTTTCCTGAAGTTACTCTTTTTCTCTGTGAGCAGAAGCTCAGTTTTAAATACTCTGAAGATCACAGTATCGCAGTATCACAGTATGCTAGAGATTGGAAGGGACCTCGAAAGATCATCTAGTCCAATCCCCCTGCCGGAGCAGGAACACCTAGATAATGTTACACAGGAATGTGTCCAGGCGGGTTTTGAATGTCTCCAGGGAAGGAGACTCCACAACCTCCCTGGGCAGCCTGTTCCAGTGTTCCGTCACCCTGAGAAGAAGTTTCTTCTCAAGTTTAAGTGGAACCTCTTGTGTTCCAGTTTGTACCCATTACCCCTTGTCCTATCATTGTTTGCCACTGAGTAGAGCCTGGCTCCATCCTCGTGACACTCCCCCTTTATATATTTATAGACACTTATAAGGTCACCCCTCAGTCTCCTCCAAACTATAGAGACCCAGCTCCCTCAGTCTTTCCTCATAAGGGAGATGCTCCACTCCCTTAATCATCTTTGTTGCCCTTCGCTGGACTCTCTCCAGCAGCTCCCTGTCCTTCTTGAACTGAGGGGCCCAGAACTGGACACAATATTCCAGATGGGGTCTCACCAGGGCAGAGTAGAGGGGAAGGAGGACCTCTCTCGACCTACTAACCACCCCCCTTCTAATACACCCCAGGATGCCATTGGCCTTCTTGGCCACAAGGGCACAGTGTTGGCTCATGGTCATCCTGTCGTCCACTAGGACCCCCAGGTCCCTCTCCCCTACACTGCTCTCTAACAGGTCGTTCCCCAACCTATACTGGAACCTGGGGTTGTTCCTGCCCACATGCAGGACTCTACACTTTCCCTTGTTATATTTCATCAAGTTCCTCCCTGCCCAACTCTCCAGCCTGTCCAGGTCTTGCTGGATGGCAGCACAGCCTTCTGGCGTGTCAGCCACTCCTCCCAGCTTAGTGTCATCAGCAAACTTGCTGATCAGAATAAATGAAGTAGTTGAATGGTTAAATATTTTTCTTTTCCTTTTTTTTTTTTTTGCTTTTATATCAGTAGCATTTCTAATGTTTCTTAAGAGATATTTAATATACAATAAAGCCATTTCTTTATAATTAGGTATTAAAAATGAAAGTAAATAATTTGCTACAGAAAAACTCAATATAAAATTTTAAGTGTATTATGATTGGTACTTTTCCTCTTTGATAATTCATTTCTCATTAACAGGGATGTCAAAATAAATGATAAATTAGGACAGTAATCGAGTATTTTTACAAAAGTTGAAGAGTATTTTTATTGCTACAAGAGAAGTTCCAAAACTGGTATTTCAAACATCTTAAGTGGCAAATCCTGACATATTTTAATTTAATTTCCCTATAAAGGTATTGAATAATACAAGACTTTGGTTGTTGGAGTTTTTCTTATTTTTTGTTTAAATGCATGTAACTCAGTGTTTATAAAATCATAAATATTACCAGTGCTATTATTTTACTTTTTGTATTTCATAAATTGGATATCAGAGAAATTTTGCAGCCTGTGAGCACTTAAGAAAATAATCAAATAGGTTAAGGAATATTTGGATGTAACATGCTCTCAGTTCACAGGTACACATTTTGTTGATGTTAAAGGAAGCAGTATGGAAATTAAGAAGCTGGTATAAAATTCAAAGAAAAGCCTGTGTCTTATTTGTATGTAAATGTGATAATGCTAGGAACTGTATTTCAGTGTGCTAATCTACACATTTAAACACTGCTCCAATCAGAGGTGAGTGAAATGGATTTATGGTAGTGTGATACATCTGTCAAAGACAGTGATTTTTGACACTGCTCTAGATAAACTGATTTTACCAAACTTTAGTACAGTGGGGAAAGTAGTTTTTTTTAAATACTGAAACTTTGTTTTTTATGAAGTCAGTATTTTAAATGTTGTTTGAAGTTCTAAGGAATCTAAATTCATGTGAAAAGTTTGTAAAAACATACAATTGTGAAACAAGTTTTTCTGCTTTTTTTTTATTTTTCTGTAATACCAGGTGTATTCTGATCACGGAGTTCAAGCGTCACATCACCAGCCTATTGTTCAGAATGCTATAGCCATGCCTGCGCCTGTGAGTATCAAAGCTAGTTAAAGCGGACATTTTACTACCACTGTCCCCATTCTTGAAGGGGAGCAGTAAAAGAAGAGGGGAAGGTGACAAAACAGTGAACCTCATTAAGTTCTTTGAAGTGATAGTTACAAATCCTTGTCTCTGGGTCTTGGGAAGTTGAATTCATTACTTGCAGCCTTACATAAGCACCTCATATTGTGGAGAGGTAGGTTTTTGGATCATGGAGCATGAAAAACAATGCCGGTTGGTCACCCATGGGTATTTTTTTGTGTAATTCTGATTCTTGAATGGCCATTCTAAAATGTGATTCTTCCATGTCACTTAATACAAGTTGCTGGGGGTTTTGGGGTTCCAGTTTAAGATCCTTTTGCGTTAATCAGTAAGGTTGTTGACACAACATGAAATAATGTCTAAACTACATTTAGCCTAGATTTGCTTGACAAGAAAGGTGTCTGTAGTTTTACTTGATATTACAGCACTTAGTCGTCTGTGAAAGATGCTTATTCAACTACAAATGGCAGACTGGATATGAATGAATCAAAACCATGTTATAGGCATTTTAGTTTGTTTTTAAATATTTTTACATTTTCTTTTGAGAAAAATCTTTTTTTTCCAGATTGTTGTGTAACAATAGCTACTAAATACTTCCAGTAGAGGGGGCTGTAACATTAAGTGGTGTCTTGGAATAAAATGCAAGTACTCTAATAAAAAAAAAAAAAGCTGAATATGAATTTGAGACATGAATATCTGAGTGATTCATATTTTTAAGGAATACTTAAAAGGGAGTTGGTGTAACACAGTGATCATAATATCCAGTTTATATTCTAACAGTGTATGAAAACACTTTAAAAAGCAATAGTAATTTCAGAATGAAAAATGAGTGAATACTTACTGTATCATAAAGAAGCTTTTTCACCTTGAAACTTGACTTTTATTATCTTTCCTAGGGCCAGGGCTATACGAGCAAGATAGCATGAAGTAAGTTACAAGGTAGATCTAGAGCACAGCAGCTCTTCCTCTTCTACAGTAATTGCCATAGTACCATGCTTTGCCTTATAGCAAAGGCAAAGAAGTTTACCTTGTGATAATGTGATAAGTTACATGTATATATGCATGCATAGTCAAAGCATGTTTGGTTACTGTGGTATAGGAAATGAGCTGCAAATTCATATTCTTACTTATCTCCTGATACAGTATTTTCTATGTTTATTCATAGCTTTAGAAGTGATTTCACTTAACAGCCAAAGCTGGCATAACCCAGGAATTCATTCAATTTTCCACACCACCCATTTCCTTGTGCTGGTAGAGGTTTTTGTTAGCCGCTGTGGTATACCAGGTCAGGGAACTGATGTAGTTGAAGATGAAGCTCTACTCCCTCCAACCAAAAAGGGTTAACTTACACTTGGTTCCTGAGACGGGTTTATCAAGCAACTACATGAGCTCTTGTATGTATACAAGACATTTGGGATAGGGTAGAGGAAGTAAGATTTGTATTAGCAGTGCAGATTTAAACTTGAGGAAAGTGAGTATGAAATTGCTGATCCTGTCTATTCCTTCACTGTATTTCTTGCTCATTCTTACCCATTCTCTTAAAGTTTGTTACCTGTAATTGAAACTCTGGTCTGCTCACGTCTCGAGTAGATTGACAGATACAGTTAAACCCTTAAAATTGTCAGAATTCAGCAAGTCTTTCATTAATTACAGGATGATGCCAAGTTGGTTTTTACAGGTTTTAGTTTTTAATTAGTTATTTAGCTTCATTTAGTAGTAACTAGTAGTTCTGGAATATAATTCTTCCTTTTCAAATTTCACCTTACCTTTTCACATACCCGCTCAAAGCTTTGAATATATCCTACATATAACAAGCAGGATCAGCTTGCATTGTGTCTGTTACTGTAGCTGAGCACTCAACAATGGTTGGGTTAAAAAACAAGGAGCAAATGTTGACAGCAGCCTGCCATGTATTAACAACTGGTTGTGTCATTACCACCTGCTCCCCAGCTTCACAAAAATGCTGGTCTTGTTAAAAATACCCGAACAGATGTGTCTGCTGCTTCAAAATTGCCAAATAGTGGCCATGTGAGAGAGAGCAGATGCCTAAAGTAACAACCTTATATGTGCGAATTGCCTCCAGTACATTAGGAATTGTGTTAGGAATAAACATACACTTTGTTCTAGGAGCTCTAAGTCATGAGAGCAGGATGGGTACAGCTAGTAGCCAGATACTGTTGGCAGTTGTAGACTTCTTTGAGGTTTCAAATGCAACTTAAAACAGAGTGTGCATTACAGTTTTATTTTAATGACGTCACAAGGTTAAGTGAACAAAATGGATGAAATCTTTGCTGAGGAAGAAAATAATTCTAAGTTTGTTCCATTGCTGTTGTGGATGTATAAAAAGAGAAGTTGGTTCACTAATGGTATAGCAGCTAACAAAGGAGGCTTCAGTTCTGGCAATTCCCTAACTTATATTTCATTCTCTATTCTACCACTTATATAGCTTTTTGGTGATGTGACTTTTAGTACAAAATCTGTAATAGCCTTAAATGAAAAGTAGAAAAACACATTCACCAACTTCCAGCTATAGTTTATTTTTTAGATCCAAATTTTGATATTTCAGATCAGGCTTGAGTCAAAAATAGTAATCCCCTCCCCTTGCTCACGTGTTTGCTAATGATCCTGTGTATTTACTTGAAGATGCCTTCTTTTGGTGATTATTGTGTGTTTTGTTCATGAGTTTGTGGAAGTAATTTCATTTTAACATCTGTACAAATGGCTAGGGTTGACATTTGTTTTTAAAGGCTGCCAGGTAACACTTCTTTTTTTAGGAAGCCGGGATGTGGGGTTCATCTCTGCTGGATCTTGTGCAGTGTTTCAGAATCTTGGAGATTAATGTTTGGATGCTCCTAGAGGTCATCTATGAGATTCTGTTCAGTAGCAAGGTCTGTGTGGTCTACAGTAACAGCAGAAACTTGAGGGAAGATTGAAATTCACATGCTTTGGTTTCAGGTCTGGGAGAAATACCTGTGAGTTAAATTTTTGTTTTGGTGGTTGAGTTCTGAGGCACTGGCCTGGTAAATACCTACTGGATAGTGTGTGTGTATGAGGGAGATCCATGAGCAACACAGGCCTGGGGGAGCTGAGCAACATAACTGCAGTCTGCATAAACTGAGCAAAGGTATAAAAGGTGGACATGGAGGTGGGGAGGGTTTGTTCTGTTGTCTCATACTTTTTGTGTCTTTCTATTCTCAGTCATCGTTTCCAGGTACAGTATATGTGTCAGAGGTAGGCATGGTTCCAGGCTGTCTGAGTTTTTTGCTGTTTATATGGTCTGTGTCCAACAGAATGTTTTGGCTGACATACAGGATTATACAGTGTCTTTTCCTATAGGAGACTTTTTAGGTCCCTGGAGGAGGTGTTCTCTTTATTTGAGCTTGGACATTTAGCTTTGTTGGGGAGAATCAGAATTTCTAAACTCTTCACTCCTGTCACCACAATAGACCAGTTTTAGTTGACAAAGTCTGACGATCTTCCTTATTGCAAATCTAAAAGTACTGTACACTAAATTGGAGTGCACAGCTATAGTATTTCTTTAAAGCTTACTCTTTAAATGTAATAAGTATTTTCATGTGTTTTCCTGAAAACCTGATTGAGTCCTCTAACAATAAGAACCTATCAGTGACAGAAACATACCCTGGTTTTCCGATTTGTTTGCATGTTTGGTTCATTTCACTACTTTGTTCTCTATTCCCCGCAATTTTTTTTTTTTTTTGATAGCATTAAAGTTGGGGGTTTTTGTTGTTTTTTTTTTGTGTGGTTTGGGTTTTGGGATTTTTTGGAGGGAGGAGGGGGGTGTTGGGGTTTTTTTGGCTGTTCTTTTTTTTTTGTTCTTTTTTTTTTTTTTTGAAAAGTCTGACATATTTTTTTGTTGTTGTTTGATGAGCAATTCCAGTCTACAGTATATTGTCCATAATTACATTGCTTCTAACTGAAAAGGCAGAGGGGAATCTTCCTATGTCAGAATTAAGGGTATTGGTAGTATAGTTCATGTATATGTGCATTCAGATCTTAATGGTGCATGATGCTAAAACTTTGGCCTTTTGATAGTGAATGTCCTGTGAATTTAGCTGAACTTGGAGCACTCCTTTTTTCTCTATAATGAGAGTAATAAGGTAAAATTTAGGTTCTCTGTGTGTATAATACACTTAAATATACATGTGTTTATATGTGTTCGTATATATACACATGCATCTGTATATACATAAATTGTCTTTTTTTTGTAAGAGGAAGTCTTGGTGTAATCATTTTGGGAAGAGCATAGTAATTTTATGCTAGTACTTGTACAATAAGTAGTGTGTTATTGTATGATACTCCATCTGGAGCAAAAAAATAAAATCTTACAAAATATTTTCTGTATAGGTAAGTTGTTTTGGATTTTTTTTCCACTTGCAGTGAAACGAAGAGAGAGAATAAAACCTTTGTTCAAAGTTACCTTAGTCTCAGACACATGAATCCAAACTTTAAGGTTGGAACTAGATGATCGTAAGGTCCTTTCCAACACTAACCATTCTATGATTCTATGACATATTTTAACAAGACATTTGTCACCAGCTGCAGTAAAGTCCATTGCCTGTAAAGCAGGTATTTTAAACACCACCAAAACCAAATCTGTTAATTTAACATTAACATTGAAAACTGTAGATGGCATGCTTTTTCTTGCATTGTTCCATTCTGTGCTCTCTTTACAATCTTTTCTTTTTCCTTTTTTTTTAGTTCTAATAGTTTGTTCTCATTCCTGTTTAGTGGGGTGTCTTCTTTTGCTTTCTTTGATCTGTATGTTCTTTCTCTCTTTACTTGACAGACACTATGGAGCATTCAGTATTAAGCCATTTGGGCAGCTCTCGTCTGCCTGCACTGATTTTTCTTGTCCTGTCCTTCCTATGTGGCTGAGATCCATCATCACCATAGCAGCTCGCAGCTGCCTGCTGTGGAACTTGCGGTCAGTTGTTTCATTACAATTTGTGTCCATTTCGTATCTGATAGGCTTTGAACAGCTCAGTGGTTTGTAACAGGGGCTTGCTATTGGTTAAGGTGTGATTCACTGTCTGTCTATGTGTCTGTGTGATTTATCTCTAGATGTAGCTTTGAAAAAATATTAGAAGCTTGCTGAGGTGAAATTGAGCATAGTTCTTTTCTTCTGGGACCAGGCAATAGAGAGGAGAAAATGTATTTGTTTCCTCAATATTCTCATAGGAGTCAGCTGAAAGAAGAGTAAGAGAAATAGATTGGGACTGTAAGGTTGATGTAATGAAAGCTAAAGTGAGCAGGGAGACTGGCACTAGATGGTCCTGGAAGCTAGATACTTAAGAAAGCAGCACACAGCATGATGCAGAGCTAGTAGATGGTGGAAAGAAACTGAAATCCTGAGATTCAAGTGGCTTGAATATCCTGATAGCAACATAGGAGTTACAGCTGGTTGCATTAGGAAACTGTCAGAGCCAGAAAGGAGGTTAAAAAGGTGGGTAAGGTTAGCAAAACAAAAAAGTTAATACTGAAAAGGCTTGAGCTTGGAGAATGAGGTTAGAAAACAGGGCTAGTTAGTCTGTCATATGGCATAATAGGACTGAGAAGAAAGGACTCAGATTGGTTAAGAAGGGAATAGAACAGATGGGAGTTCCACAAGTGGGATACAGAGCAGCTGAGATAGAAAGGGAGACTGTAAGAGAATTTGATCATAAGAAATAAAAACAGAATACCATTCTAGAAGCTGTTCTTGTCAGCACCTAAAATGGTAACCCTGTTTCCTGAATCTTGCCATGTCTTTATCAGCAACTAGTGGCGTCCACTGACATATTACTTAATCACAGCCAGTTGCCTTTCTGTTGGTTTACAAATAGGACAGCTATCAGTTATTCAGCTCAAGTCTTACAAGTCTTGAGTTTTAGCTACTAAAAGAAAATATGTTAGCATTATTATATTCCCATAGTAACATTACAGAGAATGCAAAAGTAAAAAAAACAAAACAAACATACAATTCATTATAATAGTTTTGCACTGTAGCATATTATAAAAGTACATTTTCCCTGTTCAATTATAAAGAGAGTACAGTTGCTTTAATAACTTGGTACTTTTACTGAGGCTATATGATCAATGAACAGAACTTGATTATTTTTGTAAGTAAATTAATTCTTAACTCATTCTAAGATTCCATACTTGTAAATAAAGGAAGATATTTCTTACCACTGTTGACTTCACCTATGTGAATGGAAATCCGCTTTTCCTTTTTGAGCTAAGTCTGTCTAGCTGACGCAGTATCAAACTGGACTGTAAGTTTTTATTGAAGCATTATTAATGAAGTAAATAGGACACCCTTTGAAACAGAAGAAGCAACACAGTATTTCTATTTCTCTTTAGGAACTGAAGCTGCATTCTGTGAGAAGAAATTTTTCACATCATTCCTCTGAGTCTGAAACCTCAATGCACATGAAGTCCCCATTTCATCCTAGACACGATTACAGAATGGAAGATAAAATTCTCATACCACCTTCTACAGACTGTAAACCAAATTTTATTTTCTTTTAGCTATCTACTACCTATCACACGGAGCAGATATTCTTCCTAACTCCTAACGTTTGCCTGAAAGTGCCAAAGTTAAATAGTACTCCTTTTTGTAAAGTAATCAAATGAAATATTGTAGTTTGGACAGGTAAAAACATGTGAAACCATAATTTTTATCCTGCATTTCCTTTCTTAGTAAAAATACTGTTACAGGACAAAATGGGGATTTCTGATACACAGCCTACTGTATAAACTTTGTTTACTAACATAGATTGAAAATCAGCATATTTTTTATTAAAAGGGAAAGTTAACATTTAATTTCTGGATTACATGAACTTTAAAGATACGTTAGTTACATAGTAAATGCCATTTTCCCACATACTGACAGCATTTATGTGCTGCTGATTGAAGTCTGGTTATTTAAATCTGTGCATTTTAATTCCAAAAGAGTTTGCCTACTTTTTTTTTTTTTTAACAATTGGTATTCTTCACTTTTTTAAGGTGTATAACTTATGTATCATTTTAGTACTTGAGAATAATAACTTTTTATGATAAATTTGGATGTCTAGTTTATTCTCATATGAAGCTGACATGTTTCTTGTGTATGATAAGCAATAAATTTGGATTTATGGTATGTTTTTAGATGTAGAAAAAGGCAAGATTTAACTTATTGCTATTACAACACCGTTGAAAACTTCTCCTTGCTTCTTTTACTTTTTTCTGTTGTCTGTGCCCAACTTAGGTACTCCCTGGCAGTATCACAAGTTGAGATTAAATACTGCTTCCTCTTCAGCTGCAGGGAGATAGCTTTCTCTTTTTTGACTTGCTTCTCCTCTCACCCACTAGAATTGCATCTGTTTTATAAAAGGCTGATTCCTCAAAGATTAAAATACAGCCTCTATTTAATAGGAGTGCAGGCTATAGCTTATCACTTCTGTAACACTGAGGTCTTTATGTAAATATCCTTCAGCTTTTCAATTTTATCTACTCTATAGTAATATGGGAGTTATCTTTTTGTGGGGCTTTTTTTTGCTTGAGCTTTTTTAATTATTTAGGCATCTTATAGAGTGGGCACTGCAGTCAGTAAATATCTGTGTATAATATGTAAATATATTTAAAGATTTATAGCAGTTACTAGCATTTTTTCATATTGTGCAGGAAGAGAGGTGGACTCCAGTTCTGTTCTTATGCTGTTTGCAAATTGTTGTGAAAGGAGATGCCATGTACCATGACTTGGTTGCAAGTTTCTTCAAGTGACTTTCTGCCTTTTGTTAGGTAGAAAAATCTGCACAAATATAACTTAATAGCTTCTATTTTAAAATACTTGTTACTATAGCAGCTGTGGGGGGTTGTTTTACCAATTCATATAAAAAAAAGATACACAGTTTATTGGATACATGGGGATTTCAGCCCATTCTTGAGGGGGGAAATAATCATCTGCTGTAGATTGTTGTGTTTCTGAGCCATTCTGTACAACTAAAAACACCTGTCCAGTTGTTCTTCCATTCGATACGCAGATTTTAGAATTCATCAACATAAATATATTACAGGCATCTTGGCACATTATGACAGTAATAGATTTCCATGGAGAAATTTTTATATAGTCAATTATTATATTTTTTTAACGAGGTGATGTCTCTGAAGGTGCAAAAGAATGGTTCTTAGAGCCTTATTTATTGTATCATGAAACAAATGCGCATTGACCCAGAGTTCATAATACTTAATCCCAGGTCCTTGCAGGAAACTCCTTTCAGCTGAGGAACTAGCTTGCAAGTTTACAAATATTGTGCAGTCACATGCTATCAGATTGTGGCTCTAGTCCAGATACTCACAGAATGTAGTTTATTTCCATTAATTGCTGCAGATGTTAAATTGTTGATAATGAGTTGATCCCATGGCCCTTGTTTCAGAGAACATTTACTTTGGTTTTACTTGCATATGCACTTGATCATTTGGGAAGGATACTCAGTGTTAGGCACATAACTGTACCTGCAGCATTCTGCTGTGGGTCCTGTAACATCGCTGTGGAGGTACTGTTGGATTTGTATCACCAGGTCTTAACAATGCTTCATGTTGACTTGAGAAACCTATAAGACACCAAGATGATGCTCTTCATGGTGGCTTTCCTCCAGGAGCCATAGGTCACTGTAGAAATACTGAGAGCTCTCTGTTGATATTGTAGCTTATTTTTCTTCAGAATGCTCGCCAAGAATGATGGCATAACATCAAACCAGTCATAACTGAACCTTTACGTTTCCAGTGGTTGCGTTTTTCTGCCGACGAAATTGAGGCACAATAACTGACTTCTGGAATTCCATTATAGGGACACACAAATGGTATATGGTGTGAGAGAACTACATTGTTTCCTCAGGTAGAGCCTACAGTTGCATTATCTTGATGTTCTAGCATTCATGGCTTTTTTAATTCTCTTCAACTACACAGTTTTATTCTACTGACACTGAAAATTTCCGTAATGTGGGAGATTCTCGTCTTATATGCAAGTCATTTAGTTAACTGCAGCTGCTAAGTGCCCGGTCCCTCGCCATTTTTTTGGGGGCTGGCGAAGGGTAACATTCTCTTGGGTCTTCTGCATTTTCCTGTTGATAGTTACAAGGCTTTACACTTGCACATCAGATTAGAACTGTGCCCTATGGGCATTCAGTAACTAACAGCAAATAACTGTCTTTGTGCACTACTTGTTACATTCATGCGTTAGCAAACTAGATCAGTTTTCTGGCTTTCACCCCTTAGAATTTAGAGACCTGGCTAGTATTGTTATCTACAGAACTAGTTGTTACAGTATTTCTACCAACCGTTGTCTATTTCATGTTATGTTTATATGGCAAAATGCTAATGCTAACATTGTCTATAAGATAATTCTGAATAAAAACCTGTAGGCAGAAAAGTTCCTGAAGTTACCTCTCTCCTCTATTTTGTTTGATCGAGGACTATTTTTCATGCATTAAGTAGAATTCTCTAGTTCACTAATATCTTTGGTTCCTGCTGCTTCTAGTGTAAGCATCAGAAGTGCATTCATCGTCCTTGAAAATCTATTTACTTTTTTAATTGGGAATTCTTTGTATTGTGAAATTAATTTTAAAAATAGCTGATACTAAGTAAATGGCTAAACTGCATTCTAGCAGTAACTGAGCAGAAAGTAGTAGAACACATGGCTCCCTTGAATCGTTTTTCTCTGTTTAACATAGTTCTGAAGTGTAGGCTTGTAAATAGTTTTTTATAGCAAAAGTCACTGTAAAATAGGTTTGTAATGTTGGAAGTACTACAGTAGTTTTGATTCACCTGTATAAAAGTTTCTTCTGTTTCCTATTTAAGTAAAAAACATACACATTCTAAATCAATATTTTAAGAATCAAAAATACAATGCTAGTGTGTTGATACATGTGTGTGATCCTATATGTAATCCTTGTACACTGTTATGCAGAAAATCCAAATAGCTATATAGAAAGCAGAACAGTAATGCTTTTAACAATATTTAATAATGTAGCCAAGATGTAATGGGAAACTGTAGGTCTTATAAGGCCTTCTTTGACTTTTGGGTCACAAACAATTTAAAGAAGTATTGAAACTAATTTTAAGGGCCCGATACGATCATATTGTACCTCTGTCAGTGGTGCTGTAGTCTACATAAAGTGTGTATATTAAAGGCAAACTGAATGCTGTCCATAATACTTCCAGTTGTTTTTAATTGGATAAACCAGAACATCCAATTTCATTCTCAAATGTGTGACTTTTAGTTGATCATATGCCTGGGTTATTTGAAACTATGTGGCAGATGCAGATGATCTAGCTACTGCAGCTTTGGTAAGCGAGATACTGTTGATATGTAAAATAATAAATTTAAGAGAACTGTTAGTAATCTTAAATCTAAAGCTCTTTATGTTGATGATACTTGTAATATAGCAATAATAAACAAGTTTTTGAAGTTTAACTTCTAGTAAAGTTGTGGGTTGGTAACTAAAAGTTTTAATTCACATTGGTCAGTGTTTACCGTTTGGATTGTAACTTTTGCTTAATGGTAGTATTGATGAGTATGGGTTTAGAAAAATATGGAAAAATGACATTGAACTTTTATCATTAAACTGTGCTTATGCAGTCATTGAAACAAACTGTTGTCATCTCTCTTAATTATTTTTAGAACATTAAGTTAAATGCTATTGCAGAAAAGTCAGCTTTTTCGGCTCAAGTCAGCGTGTTTAACAAGACTGGTCCTGGTACATTCACAAAATTATTCCTTTAAAGGAAAAAAAAAAACCTTTAAAGGCTACCAAGTAGCATTCAGAATGAAACACCACTGCTTTCTTAATATATTTAAACTATGGATGAAACAGCTTTAATCAGATCATTCTACACGAAGAAGAACTAAATACCAGTGTTATGTTGAAGCAATAGTTCTTGAGGATGGGGATATGAAAAATATTTGACAATTGAATTGCAGAATTTTTTTTATGGAATTTTTTTATGTTATTATCCTGTCCCAAGCAAAAACTTTACATTTGCCTTGAGTCATAAAGTAAAGGAAGTAAGCCTGAAAGGAACTGTGAAGGTCAAAAGTGTTGTAATTTGAGATGATTAATATTTGGGGGGAGGGGGGTAATGCATTGGTTTTGAGTCCTGTAGCTGTTCACATAGCCACAGTTTCTGAAGAAATCTGAGTAATTTAACTTGGGTTTGTGATTTGTCCCCTTGTGTCTTACTGTGTCTATGTTCTGTTTAAAAATATTCTGTCAGTGGTAACTGGTCTACAACCAGTGATAATGGTGACTTTTTGAATTTCCTTTTTAAGAGGTGCTCAGATGTGCTTTTTCTAAGCTGCAGACATGGTAGGTTATCACCCCAAGTGAGAAACATGTTTGGTCCAAATACTGTTTTACATTTTGACTATTGATTGAGTCACATGCTCTTTCGGTGGGGGTTGCTGTGATTACCACACTTTGGTGAATCACAAGGTAGTTTTAGAGATTTGTTTTTCTCTGATACCAGTTCTCAGAGCCTTTACATTTTGGGTCACTTAATCAGCTCTTGAATCCAGAAACTGTAGGATCCTGTTCTTCTCTGGAATCATTTGAGTGCTTTAATGCAGTTTGACCTCCTGTGAGGGATGTTGCTAGTTCTTGGTTGGTGTTGGCTTGGGTTTGGTTTTCTTAATTCTGACACATTCGATTTTTGATTTAATTGGTTCAGTCTAATGGCTTTTGAGTCACATCTGCAATGGTAGCTGTTGACTGACTTCCACTTGGAAGTTTGTATCTACTTAACTAATGTAGGGTTACCCAAATGAAGGACCATTGTTTTTATTTGTAATAGTGTTTCTGTGTAGGTGTCTGAAGAGCTCATTTTATACTATGAAAAATCCTATCTTGGTGAGAGGGTTGAAATGTGGTTTAAACCTTATCACAAAGAGTTCAAAACACAATATTCTGGCCTCATTATAAATGTAGCTATCTTTAGTTAAATTAAAAAAAAAAAAAAAAACAACAAAAGGAAAACCAGCTGGCAATTGGACTAGTGCTGCAAAAAGTTTTTACTTACAGCTATCTCAGTCGTGCCATGGCTTTATACAAGTGATTACAGTGGATCTTACAGACTGTATGGAATGGAGCAGTAGGATTCTCAAGGTTGAGCGGACAATTTACATGTATGTGTGCTACTGCAACAATTCAGGGATGACCTTTACTAAAAAAAGTGTTTGGGAGCAATTTCTATGCAAGCAGGCATGCAGGAAGCTGAAGAATTTTGCTTATTTGTGATGTTTTCCTAGGTTTTAATCAAGAAGACAACACTGAGGGATTTCCTCTTGGGTTTCAGCGCTTGGGAGCTTCTTTCAAGGACTGAAAGAAGTAATTATGGCTTCAGTCCTGGACTCTGCACTAAGTGATCTTAAAATTCTTCCAAACACAAGTAACTTTATAACATGGATTTCAAAGGGGGTATAGCCTGTGGACTTAACCTTATTGGTAAGCTACTTAAGTAAAAGATCACTTTGCTTGCAGTATAACAGGAAGCAAACCACAAATGGTTAATGCTTCACTTGCAGTGAATGACTTAGATCAGTGTTTTTCAGTGGGGAAAAAAAAGTAAAAAGCTTGTAAAATTCAAATGTGCAGTTCTTTTCATTCAAAATGGTGTTCTGAATCCCTGGTTTTATGTGGATGATTTTTAGTTTCTGTAGATCTAGTCTAAAAATACAAAGGTACATTTTCTAACTGCCTGTTCCAGCAGTAGAAGGCCTTAGAAAATCAGTCACTGTTGCTTCTTTCCCCATGTATTATCATGGTCTGCATCAGGTATAATGCAGTTACAAGTGACTTGCAGTATGAAAGCTCTTAAAATCATACTAAGTTTTAAGGACTTAAAGCAAAACACTTAAGAAACAGTGTTGGAAGTCCCTGGCTGTACCAGCTGAGGTCAGCCTGACAGAAGAGAAGAGGATTTTGGTTGTTCAATACCATTGAAAAAGGGGAACAAAATTTTGTAACTATAGTCATATATAACTTTGAAGAAGTTCTGATTTTAAATAAGGAATATTGCACTGTCATTTTTCAGGGTTTATCAAAACCAATCACTTAAGTTGATTTTAGCAATGTAGGTTCTGATTGTTTTTTCTTGACAAGAAAGTACTACTTTTTTATTTTTATATTATTGCAATATATTACACTCTGCTCATGTTTTTGGTTGTTTTTTTTTCTTTTTCACTCTAGAGGAAAGTTCCTGTGGAAAGGAAATAGGAACCAAACTTTGAAATCTAAAATAAGGACTAAACTGCTTTTCATTTACTTTTCTGCCCTTTGAGATGCCAGAAGCAATTTCCTCTTGAAGCTGACTTCCTTTCTGGAAATGATTTTCGTCTCCAACCATGTTGAGGCTCTTTTCTCATTCTTTCATTCTGACTAACTTGCTTTATTTCCCTCTCGCTGCAGTTGAGAACTTCTGGAGGTAAGTAGTTACAGACAAGCTTCTAACTTTCTTTTTCAGTTCTTCTGCCCCCTTCTGCCCCCCCTCAGCCAGTCTAGAAGGACAAACAAAGCACTATTGGTGTCCTCTGCAAGAGAGCCCTGATAGGGGGCTGGCTGTAAATTGACGTGGCATGGAAAATCTCTGCTAGTTTGTAGCAGCTCTAACACTGCCGCGAAATCAAGCCTACTCTTGCCAAGTTTGTAGCTTGAAATCATCACGGGTTTGCTGTTTCTGTATAAAAAAATGAATGGAAAGTACCTTCGCTTTTTGATTTGGGAACTGGACTTTGTCTGGATTTACAGCTAATAGAAAACAAAATCAAAGGGAATTACTTGGATACTTTTTCTTTTCCCCTGTAGTGAGAGCGACAGATCTTGCTGCTCCCCCCAGCCTTTTCCTGCAATTTAATCACTTGCAGATCTTGCCATGGGGTGCGGACTGAGAAAGCTGGAAGACCCAGATGATAGCAGCCCTGGAAAAATCTTTTCTACATTGAAGAGACCACAAGTTGAAACAAAGACGGATTCTGCTTATGAATATGTATTGCTGGATTTTACTTTAGAAGGTATCTTTTTATGTTATATATTTACTATTCAGAGAAAGCAAGGAATAAGATTTTAACTCTGTTCTGTCTTGTTTAATTTACAGTAAAACTTAGATACATTTTGGCTAGCTTTGATAAAAGTAAGACTTTTATTTTGAAACACAAATCATGATGAAGGTCCTCACTTATATAAAATTACAATGGAAACTGCTGAAATATTTTTAACAAGCAGACCCCCCAAATTACACAGCTGTCCTTGTCTCAAGGAAGCTGGCTAAAAAACTGTTAGAGATTTTTTGTAGTTTCCTGTGAGTCAGATGCTGCCATCCTTACTCACTTTGAATAATGGTTGTGTTGAATTCGGTGTGATGGTTCAGAAAACACACTGTGCTGAGCCTTAAGTGAGTAACAGTTTGTAAAAATGGACTCAACTTCCAAAAACAGGCTGTCATTGTCTTTGCTACTTTATGCAGAAGTAAGCCTGTTTCTTACGTGTGTATCAGGAGTAGCTTCCCCTCTTATGCCCACCCCAGCATCTCAGCATGTATTTTAGTAAGAGCCTTACAGTTTCATCTTACTGGTTTTTTCTGCTTTATTTGTAGCTGGTGAATAGTCTTTTGAGATTGTGACCGAAATAAACCAAAATTTGTATGCGTAGCTAGAGGCAGACAGTGCTCTGTGGGATACTTCCTTCCCGAGGGTGTCCTGTCTAACAGGGCAACTCCCTGTTCCACCAACTTGAAAATATAAACAAGCCCAGATGGCTGTCCTCTGAGAACAGACAGCTCAGTTTTGTGGTTACTTTGTAGTAACTTGTCTTTTGTAACGACTGGGTCTATTGGAAATGCTTAATAAGGGTTTGAAGCAAATGCAGTTGCTAAAAAGGTTGAATAAAGGGAGAAAAGTGTAAGTGCATGTTGTGTTACGTTTTAGGAACTTGTTTGTGAACAAAACTTAGCCTCTGTTTAGTTTTAACTAAAGGTCCGTAGTAACAGGTTTATTTATATCAGTCTATTCATGTATCAATCTGTATCAAAAACCTGCAAGATACTTATAGAAGCCACATTCTATTACGAAGTTACATTACTTGACATCCAACTGTATTTGTTTTTCTATTCTTCTCCACCAACAGTTTCTCATTGGCTTCTTCTTTTTGAAGAATCGAAATGTTATGTTGACTGTAGTAGTGGTAAGGTACTGGAAGTAAAGCTCGGCTGCCAAGTGCATACATAGTTTACCTACTGATAACAGAAGAGATAGCAAAACAAGTTTTTTTGATACTGAAGATCATTCACTGTTCTGGATAGTTTTCCTGTGCTTTAAAGTAGCAAGTTTCTGAAAGTGTTCTGTAAAGCCTTGTTGTAAAGGTGGTTGTGACTTTAAAGTACATCAAACAATTGCAAATAAAGGTGCATCTATTTTAATAACCTCTCAGTACAGCAGTAAAAGTTTGGCTTCTCCTGTACAGTCTGATATTCAAAAGTGCTTAGCTTCATTGACTTACTGTGGAGTTTTAAATGCTAAGTAAATGAGATCCATTTCAGATCGTTGCCTAACTTTTTAGACTTCTAACTGTAAGCAAGTTGGTTTTAACTGTTCTGTTGAATGGTTCTAACTGTGGGTCTATTTGGCCTTATAATATTTTTGTTTGGGGTCTTTACTTTTTAGAGCCAGGATAACGAATACAGAAGAAAACAGTGTTTACTGTCTTGAAGACATTTCTGAGTTTTGTTTGCTTATGAAATACAGGGATTGGCTAAAGTACTATGGGGAATATGTTGAGCTTCCTCCCCGCCCCCATTCCCCTTCAATTCACTCACATACTTGCTGCTACTTGAATATCCTTTAGCTAAATGAAACCTAAGTGAGAGCCTTTTAGCACTTTAGCCCAAAGTTTTCACTCCACTGTCAAGATGTGTATGATGTGTATTGTCTTCATGGCTCTCTGCTGAGGTCCAGAGCAATACCTTCCCCAACATCTGATATTGCCATGACTTGTTACCACCACTGTATCTTGCACCAAGTAAAACTGAAAATCTGTGATAAGTAGCTTACTGTAGTATCTTACAAAGGATATGTCCTGCATTAAGATAAAAGTATAGCAAGCATAAATGTATTACTTCAATTTAATATTCCTTATTCCCTGCTTCATCATCTGAAGTTGAAGTGAGCCTGCTGGGGAGACTTTCATGAGTGCCTCGTCTTGTCCCAGGCCATGACGCAGACTAGGTCAACTATGCTATAGTCTAAATCCACTGGTTGGAGTCCTTGTGCATCTAAACTGGTTGCCAGCAGTGTATTGTACCTTGGCTTCTTTTTTCCTGGTCCCCAGAATACTCCCATTCCTACTGTAAAAATCAGCTTTGAGTTCTGTGGAGGTTGTTCTGCATTAGGAGAATCCCTAACAAGAAAATTACAGACAGTCTTTTATTTTGGTGGGATTTAATAGTACAAAGGCAAAGGAGCAGTGGACTCTGAAGTGTAATTTTAAATGCCTGTCAAGGACTGTAAATTCTGCAGTCTCAATCATGAGGCATATCTTGGTTATGAAAACAGCTGTTGTTTTTGAGGTCAGTTTAGCCATAATGTAGAGATAGTTCCAGTGTATCTACTCAAGCAGATGTTTATGCTTTATTCACAGCCCTCCTCTTAGGGAAAAGAGGGAATATTGATGAAGCCCACTAAGATGACATGCTGTGAAGTTCTTGTCACTCTGAATAGCATTTTGAATATGTATGAAGTAGCTATTTTGTCATCATCTTCAGTGTCATGCATCTGAAGTCTACAGCTAGTGATTTAGCTGCAGTTCTGTTATTAGTGAAAGTATCTTGGCTACCTGTTGATAGCACATTAGGAAGGAAATTTTCTTAATGAAAAATGGTTAAGACATTCACAAAATGAGTGATGATCATACATTCCTGCTTTTCTGGCTTATGGGCTGTAAAGCAATTATTTCTACATTACATACTTAATGTCTTCTAGACTTTCTGTGAGTAGAATCATGGGATGGAGGCATTCCAAAGGGCAAAATATCATCCATCTATGAAAGGCAAGCTGTGATATACTGTCTGCTTAAAAAAATGAAAGGCAAGGTAGCACAAAAAGGTGGAACAGCCCATTCCTTATGACTGAAAATGTCAGAGTTTACATTAAGAGGTTGACTTTGCTAGTTATCAGCAATAAATCATTGATATATATATACTAGTGATACTCTTTGGTAGTGCATTTCTTGTGGTATACATGATTATGGTTTCTCTTGATAGTTTTTCTAAGCTGTTAAGGCTTTTATGGTGACAGGCAAAGTAGGCTTCCCTTCCTTTTTCCCTTTAGTAAAAGTTGGTATTTAAAACCACTTGAGTGTTGTAAAACATTAGTTTCTGATGTTTTGTTTTTTTTTTTGTTGTTGCTGGTTTGTGTTTCTGATTTTTAAAGCCCTCCGTAATGTATCTATACCAGTATTATCCCCATTTTATAGTGGGAAAGCAGCGTAGAGATTGATGTTTTACAGAACACATTACTCATGAGCCAACAGAATTCTTGTTCACTTTATTAGAATTAAAGATTTAAGCAGACTAAATGTTCATACATCTGGTTTGTGATACTTTAAACCAGTAGGATAGGCAGACTTTGTGACTTTGATAAAGTCCTTCAGTTCCTTGCTGTTGCCCACCTACAGTGTAGGGCAGGTAGATAAGAGAATGTAAGAACATGAAATTAACTCTTGACAAATACATTTACATATTGGTGAATGAGATTTACGTCATTGCATTTATCTCTTTTATATAAAAATTACAGAATCAAAGGTGAATTGGTGTATATAATTGTTTTCAGTTTATTGTCTAGTTTGAAAGGGGATGTTTAGAGCAGCATGTTCAAATGTTTGTATCTTAGAACAAGTGTTGTGAGGTCACTTAATTCCAGTTAGGGCATCCATTAATACAGTTGGACACTGGTCTTAATGAACTGAAAGTATTGCAAAGAAAGGGAGGGACCCATTAGAACACAAAAAAGTACACCGCTTGCTGCAGTGGTCACTGATAAAGACCATCAAATTCCAACCCAAGCTGTCATAAGAGTTTGTATCTGCAAACGATGAAGATTTTGATGATGACAAATATGCTGGCATAAGTACTCTTTAGTTACAGTCTGTGCATAAGTATTGATTTCCTGTTTTCTGGGAGCATCTGCAATTCCAGTTGGAGTTGAGGGGAACAGGAAATACTGACCTGCCACAGACTGACTGTGGCAGAATATATCATCTATTACCAGTGTGGAATCTTTCTTTTCTCTGTGTGAAAGCTGTGGATCAGACCATTCTCCAAAAAGTTTTCCCTTTATTTATGTAGTCTCCCTCAGTAGCCATGTAGTGCCTAGCTCTTACCTGTTGATTGGAAATGCTTTCACACACTCCAAGAGACCCTCTTAGAAATTATTGACACTGCATAGCTTACTTAAGTGACATGCACTTAGGTCTGCTGGAAAAGGGAGTTGGGACAGTGTACATGAATTTGGCTCACAACTAGGGTTGAAGGTTATTGCTTCAGAATGTTTGAGGCTTTAGCTAGGCAGAATAGTTGCTTTAAGTTCAGACCTATTGCGTGTTTAGATGGTGATGTAGCTCTTGAATTAGCTTGGCAAAGCTAGATCCAACAGAAAGCATTGCCAAATAGATTAAAAATAGATCAGAGTAACTAGTAAAAAATATGTACTTCAACTAGGTGAATACTGTTGCATCAGTTATGAGCCTGCTTTTCCATGTATAAATAGGTGTGTAGCTTCTTAGTAAAGCCTTGGGATAGATTTTGTGTGGTTTATATAAAAGGAGCTCACCCCAAAAGTGTATGGGCGTACACAGAATCACATGCTTCTCTTCTGCTTTCAATGCTTTTAGGTTCCTCAAATCCAGACGTCATCAAGATCAGTTCTGTGTTGGATATAGCACCTAAGGTGGAAGAATATTACAGCAAAGGATATGTTGTAGGAGCTGTTCATCCTATTATGCTGCCAATTGGACGTAGAAGGAGTTTCCCTGCAAGTCACATGTATCGAGTGGTACTTTCACGATTAAAATTAAGGTAACAGTGAAATAAGTTGAATACTTTGATCCATTAATGATGTTGCCTATAACTGGATTGCTCAACATATGCATAGTTTATTATCAACTTGAAATGAGAACCTCAGAGAATTAAATTAGTAATGTTTATTAATTAACATGAAGCACACAGTAGGCTAATGTTTACTTTGCCTCTGAATATGTCCAAGCAAAATCCAAAGTTGCATATCATCACTTGTGGGAAGATAAATTGTTAGTTTACTCTTTTACTTTTAATACATCTTTGTAGTAAAGTATGGTCTGTCTTAAAACCTGCCACAAATGCAAGATTACACAAAACACTGAGGGAGTAATAAGCTGCTTTAAATTCTCTCATGTCTATTTTTTGTTCTTAAATTTCAAAACTTTCATGTTTTCACTCTTCCCATAAGAGCATTATTTAGGGAAAATGACCTATAAAGTGTGAATTAGTTTGTCAGAGTTTATTTTTTTCCATCTTAATAAGAAGGAAATAATCATTCTGTGATTGAAGCTCATAGAAAAGCTTGGTTTTGATACTGAGGGAGAGTCAACAGTTTTTGTGTTTAAGCTCCATAGTCTTGTTTATTATACCTGTGTTCACTGCATTGCAGTCACCATGTGATCATAGAGAAAATGTACAAAGAAACTTTGCCATTAGTTTCTTTGAATGCAAAGAAGATAACCTTTTTATCTTATTTTGAATAACTAGAAAAGTGTTACTTTGTTGAAGAGCTGTCATGTTTCCCCCTTTGATCCTGAGTCGTAGTGCAAGGCACAAAGGTTCTTTCACTTTTTCTTGGAAGACTGTAAGGGTGTGAGTTGGAAGGTGCCCCTTGCCAATCCAGTAATTTTGTAAAACATGGTTCGTTTGAGGGCACTTCTCAAACACCTTGCTTAAACAAGCATAGTTTGTGGCATTTGCTGCTCATACAGCTCTCCTTTATAAATCCATCTGCAAACGAGGTGAAGGTTGTCCATGTGGGCAAATGCTTGAGTAAGAAAAGCAGAATATTTACTGTCTGGAGCTGAGGCTTCCAAGAGGCAACACTGACAGTGAACAACCCCCACAACTTGCCCTGTCCCTATGGATGTGGCATCCTTATAAATTTATGGTTTGAACCATTAGGCCCTTGAATAGGTGGCAGACAAGACCCTGCCGCCTACATGTGAAACTGCTGGGTGTAGTTTCCCAATTTCCTATGCAGGTATGCCATATGTACAGTTGAGGGTCTCTCATTGATGTTTCATTCCAAAGCAAAAAACTCTGTGAAGGAAGCATCAAATAAAATCCCATTATATTATTGATATACACCAAATACTGTTGAGTAGTAACCTAACTGGCTTTAGATACAGCATGATGAATACTGTTATTTAAACGAAAGTTAAAGCTTGTCAGATTCTCATGTCTGAGTGATTTAAGCGTTACCTAACCCAAAGTAATGTTACTGCATTGTATTTCTAGTGTTTGCCTACACTGTCTTTCATACAGTAGCTGCAACTCTGCTTTACTTACAAAAAATAGAGTAGCATGTTAACAATGTAAAAGATCCATTTCTATTCATACTGTGTTTTCTACAAAACTGAACCTGTTTTGTGCTTGCTACATTTATAGCTTAAATTTGTATTTTTTGCATTGTCAGAGATTTTGTGGTTTATTTATTACAAAAGCAGGGCTGTTTGTCAGTAAGGCTCAGTTTCCAGAAGATGTCTATTAACAGCCTTCAGCTGAAGTTCTTGTTAAATATTACTATTCTTACCCTGACATTATAATAGATAATACCTGCCACTTTGTGTAAGAAACAGAACAAAACACCAAACCCCACTGAGCTCTACATAAAAGTACGAAGAAGCATTGCCAGGGTTTCATTCATAACTATTCCAAAAGAAAAGAATTCTGTATGCAAGCATTTGCCAAAGTTAGCAGCAAACTACTGACAAAGACTGCTTTCTTTCTGTGTCCTAGCCAGAAGCATGCAGCACCCAGAGGACAAAGGCACCCCAGGCTGGTGATTGAGGAATGTCCTGTAATGTATGAAACACTGACAAATGAGGTAGTGAAAGAACTGTTAGAAAAGGTAATGGAGGGTTTTCTTCAAACTTATCTTCTGATTTTTTATTTCTACCATATATGTACATTCTGTTGAGTGGTTGATGGGGTTTTAGTTTTGAGTTTTAAACTTGGGTTATTTCATAAAAGCTAAAAAGTCTTTTTTTGAAGTTCATGGAGTTACTTTTTCTTCACTAGTTGTTTTTTCTAATTTAGGACTTGGTACTAAGCCCTGTAAAGCTTTGGGAAACTGGCAGCTTACACCACTGAAAGTAGAATGAGGCCCAGACTCAGTCAGTCTTTACAAAATGCTTGTATGATAGCTTTTTCTGGAATTAAGGAAAAAGTTCTGAAGTTTTATGTTGCTCTGGGTTAAGTTGGGTATTCCTAATGAACGTGAATATATTCAATTTTTAAGCAAGATTCTATAACAAATATAAAATATCCAGCAACTATATTAATATTTACTTGGCATAGCTTTTAAAAATACTGTGTAGTTAAAAAAAAAATGAACTTCCAGTGGCTAGTTCTTTTTGTGTTTAACTTCCTCTGCAGAACCGAAGACTTGCCGAAACGGGAAACTGTTGTTATTACAGGAGCTGCAGTGATATCTTTTACATTAGTTACCCAGGAAAGCAGTAGAGGAGAAAGCGTACTGGGGATCTTTAATGACCTTTGAAATTACCACAGAGTTGTTTAAAATTTCTAAATCCAGTATTTCCCAAGTGATTTCTTCTTTCTGGGCTGGGGTTTCTGTGTTTTCCTGGAAGGGCTTTATTGCACAGGGGAGTTTGTGGCACAAGTTAGCAGTGGGATCAGCTTCTTAAATGGCAGCACTCCTTATCCCAGGGTAAAAAAACAAACCAAAACTCTACCACCAGGAACAGACACATCTCATAGGTGGTGTATATTCTACAGTTATATTTTGAGACTTTAGTGCAGAGAAAAAGACCCACCACTGGCTGAAAGCAGAGTAAAGTGGGTTTTGTTTTGCTTCTAGCTCCCTCCTTGCTCTGTTTCTTCACTGTTCTCAGTAATAGTGAAGCTGAGTAGCCTCTGAGGAAACCTGAGGATAATGAATCATGACACATGACTAACATATTTCTATAGTATTAGTGGTCAGTAATTTTAGAATGACTTCTATCACATGTTTAGAGAAACACTACTATTCTATCACACCATTGTACTGCTTGTCACTGTGACACAGCAAGTAAAATACTTTGGATTTGTTTAAAACGAAGTACTTAGTACACTGAAGTCAGTACTAGCTTTGGCCACCTCTCTTGGCCTGAGTCCAAAGACATGCTGGAAGACTTCCATTTACTTTGAAACATAGGCAGTGTGCAAAGACAAACCACCCTACTATAGTATAGTGTAATGTCTTTATGTCCCTGAAAATCAGCAGTAGTTAAACACAGCACATATATAGAAGTTTGGTGGTGATTAGGTTTGTTGGCTTGTTTGTTTGTTTTTTTTTTGAGCTACATGCAATTCTGAAATCACTGTTGTAAATGCAGGTTAACGAAGCTGCTAAAAGAGGAAAGAAGTTTGTGGGATTTGTAACGCATTTTCCTCAACCTAAAGCCTGTAATGGAACAAGCACAGATGGAAGTGCAGAACTGGAATCAACACTAGGTAGAAGAAATAGGGAACACAGAAGAAAAAATTCTGATGAAAACTATAAAAACTGGAATGAAGGGACATTGAGTGGTCACTCATCTGAGAGCGGAATAGAGGAGGAAATGCAAGGAGATAGCAGTCTGTTACAGGATGCAGATTTCCAGTTTGGAAGAGAAGTCAGCCCTGTTAAACCACGGAAAGGAGACGGTAATAAATGCTGCTTGTTTACTGCAGAAATAAGGTGGTTTATTGAGCTGCTGTTTTAAAAAGGCGTTGGGGGAAAAAACAACAGCATGGTCTACTGTATCAAGTACTTATTTTCAAAGATGCATCTTGTTAAATCCATATGTATTTCTAAATAAGCTGCCAGCTGAAGAAACAGAAGTAGAATTTACCTTCTCTATGTGTGTGTGGACTGTGGTAATATATTAAAATATTTCACTTTTCATATAGAATATTGGAAATTCTGGTTTGTAGTTTAAAGAAAAAGTAAAAACACAAACCAATAAAAGTTGCCCGCAGTGTAATTCTGATTTTAAAAGTGATGCAAGCATAGCTTTTTTTGCTTCATATGTATATAACTAATATGTGGCAGTAAAAAACTTTTAGGATGAAGTTTTAAATCCTTTTCCTAAAGCTTACAGTTTTCACTTAAGTAATAAGTGTAGATTGCCAAGAATGTGTTATGATTATTCCAGTTCTGCATGTTTGAAACTGACAACAAAGAGAGCCCCTTCCAGCTAGAGCTGTAACTTTATGTGCTTCTAGCCACCTTGCATAATGTACATAAACAGATCTGTTCATAATGGATTCTTTCTGGTTAACATGCCTTCAAGAAGCATCCTGAAAGAGATCACTTAAAATAATGTATTGACTATGAAATCAGAGAGAATAATTGTTACAAAATGAATTTGCACCAGAGAAAAGTAAGCATTGAAAAGGAAATAGTATAGGAAGGAAAAGTGTCATTGGAAAATATTGGTGCTGTGGTGTAAAAACTTAGTTGTAGAAGACACTTTGCCTATGTCTGTGTGAGAGAGTGCCTGAAACAGTGACTTCTGATACTGAAGCACTGTAAGGCCTCTTGACTTTCTAGGAAGGAAAGGTAAAAAGGAAGAAGTAAAGCGTGAGAACTAATGCAAGATAGTATTGCGTAGAAAGTGGGCAGCATGAAACTTTCATGTCAGATTGCATTTTGATATAATAGGTTCTTCCCTGATGGGCGAGACATGTTGTAATTGCTCTCAAGAGCAACCTTTTCACTTTCCTGTTAAGAGCTAAGGCCCTTCTCCAGTCTGTAGACTGTCAGGATGATGATGACTCCAAGCAGTGAGAAAATCAATGTTCTTATTCCTTAACAATTTTATTAAAGGAGGTTTGGTGTACAGCTCAGCCTTTATAGCACAATCTGTTAAAGCTTAACTCTTTTCCTTGCAATTTGAAATACTATGTTTGTTATATGTAGCAGAATAAAAAACCTCTTAAGTAAAAAGCAGGAACTCTTTCTTCTGTTAAGGAGCTTTGTTAGTGTATTCTGGTGTGGTCAGGTAGATTACCAAGCAGTGCACTGATGTGAACTCTCAAAGGCAGTCTTACGTGCACGTAGGTATGTACTGCCACTTCAGTTAGCCATTTCTATTTAGGTCTGCTCAAAAGATGCAAAACTCATTTCTAGAGTTCTAGATTTTGAGGTCATAACATAAGAATCTTGACCACTTGCAAATGGCCAATTTCTAGAGTTCTAGATTTTGAGGTCATAACATAAGAATCTTGACCACTTGCAAATGGCCAATTTCTGATATTCATGAGCAATTGAATAGTTGTATTAGGAGACTTGGTAGTATTTTTTTCTGAATAAAAATGGCAGTGATCTCACTTTAGTATATGGGAAAGGAAATTAAGGCTTGTCAGGATTAACACATTTTGTGCTAGTGCATCCACATGTGGAGGAAGTAAAATAAAACTGTATAAAAAGGAGAGTCATCTCTTACTGATAAGAGTTCCAAGTTTTGTCCTTAGCGCACCTTATTCCAGGCACCTGATGTCACCTGCAGTGTGTGATAACGCATCTCAAAACAGAGGTTCTCCTGGAGTTTGAATCGGACTACTTACAGACCAAATCCAACTTTGGAAATCTCCCTGTATTTCTAGAGCCTAGAGAGACTAGCATCTTAACTGGTGTCAGCTAAACCAAATTCCTTTGTTTTGGCAGTCTGAATACTACTGCTTTCTAGAGATTGGTTTGTGTTGATTTAAGCTGCTCAGGTACTGAATTGTTAAGACAGTCTGAGAGCAGGTGCCAAAAATGTTGTGTGTTGTTTCTCCACAGCAGTGGCATACATGTGAGTGTATTTGTAGCATGTATTTGTATAGCTAGGACTTAACTTATCGCTGGTGATTTCCTAAAATGCTGTGAATTTTAATTTTTGATGAGTGCTTGTTTGACTCTGTAACAGCTCTGTATTAATGCCTATATATAAAAAGCATTTGAGGATATGCAGGTTTTGTGTGCTTAACTCATCATTTACTGTGTGGGAAACCCCAGTAGGCAACTAATTATATGGGTACTTAAGTAATCTTCAGAAAGCAATGGATCAAAATCAGTACTGTACAAAGCATTCCTAGTACTTACAAAAAAAAAAAAAACAAACAGAAAATTGTCTTCAGTCTTCTATTAAAGTAATTTCAAATATTTGTAGTCAGAAGTTCCATGAGTAGCAGAAATGGACCCTGTTTCCGCTGGAGTTTTCTTAGCTTCAGTATGTTTTCTCCATGCAAAACCCACCCACCTAAAAGGTCCAGTGACAACCCAAGTGAAATATGTTCAAATTTTTCTTGTACCCCAGAGTGTGCCCCCCTCACACTTCATCCTCAGTGTGTTTAGGGCTCAAGCTGAGTACAGTCACATCAGGAAACAATTCTTGAAAGTGTTGCTTAGAATTAGAAACCCGTGTTGAAATAAGAGATTAATGGTGGTTTTATTTTGGAGCACTGTATTCCAGAGGTTTATTCTCTTTTCCTTTTTTCTTAGACAAGCTGTATACAGTCTTCAATGTTTTTGATGATGATTCTACCTGCTGGACCTACCACGAGAGCATCTTGTCTATGAAAGTAACAAGAAAGGGGCCAGTTATTAGTACACTGGAAGCAGACTGGCTAGAATTAACCACATTTTATTATAAACAAGGATTGTCATTAATTGATTCATTTGTACACTGGGAAACTTCTAAAGGTGAGTAGTGTCCCCGAATAGCATGGAGCTTTTGTCTGTTTATGTAGAAATACATCATTTGTAAAAAGTAATTCATGATTTGCTGCTTGGTGTGAAGGGCAGTATGTAACCATGGTCCAATAATCATTGTAAATTTATAGAATCTGATACCTGAAGAATAATTTGGGATTTTGGGCAGTTGTAGCTCTGAATAACTGAAATTCCTGCTTCATTTTATCAAACTGAGGATTTCCAAAGCAGTAAAGTAGTGTAGTGATATAATGAAGTTAATCTTTTATGCTAGTGGGTTTTTTTGTTGTTTTTTAAGAAAAGGATAATGGGGGGAAGAAAAACAATTAGATAGATGTTTCCCTCATGCTCATATTCTGCTGGTCACTGTAGATACTGTGCTGGGCTCTGTTGAATACTTCTATAGAGACAAAAGAGCACTTTGAGTTCTCATTGTGCTTGTTGTACTGTTACCTAAGTCAGACTTCTGTACTTCCTGCTCTCTCCAGCTATTTGCTGGGCTTAAAAATTCTTTCCAAAACACCAAGTTGCATTAAAATTCAGCTGTTGAACCTGAAGATTCAGGATGTTTCTGCAGGTCGTTCTAGTCAGATGTAGACATACACAGAATAGAGAAATCTGGGTTTCTCCTTGCCCTCAACTGTAGGCAAGATCCTCCAAGACCATTTTAGACAGCTGGGGGAGAGGTCTTCCCTGGTCCCTCCTTTACTCTCCTGCAAGAATGTACCAGCTCAGTTAACACTCAAATTGTTACAATGGTAGAGCTTCAGGCCACAGGATTTTCACATTTTCATCTTTATTCTGCCAGTTTGAGTTCTATCTCAGTTTTTATTCTGGCAGATCATACTAGCTCCTTCAGGGTTCCTAGCCTTCATCCTCCCAGTGAACAAACACAGGCCTGATGTCAGGAGTGCCCATTGCTACACACCCAAAATCCCGCGCTTTGGCAGAGCTGTGAGATGGTGCTGTGTCACTGCTGCTAACAGGAGCAGCTCTTCATTGACTGAAGTATTTTGAACTCTAAAACTCTGTTGTTGGTAAAATATGTAATTAAAAGATTAATTTCCATTTGAACAATTTGTCTGAGAGCCAGAAATTAGAAGTGCTGAAAAAAAAAATAGGATGAAGCTACTGTTGTGCAATTACTTGAAAAGAATAGTACCGAAGTGTTAGGGGAATAGACCAAGAGAGTCTGACGTAGTTAATTGTTTCAGAATTTATTAATTATTGTAATAAATGTTGTTTGATAGCAAACTTGGAATTTGTACTTCAGTTATGTGATACTTTGATTGGATTTGTTAGTGTCTTGTATTAAGTTCTAAGCTGTTGGTGCCCCTTTAGAATCACTTACGGCAGTTCGCTGTAGGCAAGCAAAACACAGGGCTGCAGTGGAGAAGAGTCTTGCAAAAAGGTGTCAGGGGCCTTAAACAGTTTTTGCAGTACGCACGCTGATAATCAAGTGTAGTACTTTATTTAATGTATTAAAGTGGCTTTCATAACTCCTTTTACTCATCTGCTTCTTGCAGGAAATACACAAGGAGGATAGAATCACTGGGGTTTTGAATAATTGTAATACTGTGTGTCTAATGCTTTTTTTCTGATATTCTGATTTAAAATAAAATGCATTCAGCATCCCCTTTGCAAGCTTTGAGTTAGCAAAGGGCTTTAAAAAAAGAAAGGAAATGGAAAATCTCTGGAAGTTAGATGATGTAGATTCTTCAAAATTCAAACAAATAATGAGAACTACTCAGTTTTCATTGTTCTCAGTAGTCAGTTTTCGGTATGAATCACAGCATTTCTGGAGCTCTGCAATACAGTACATTTAGTGATTGTCAGAGGAACAAATCAACATCACAATATGTACCACAGATTGAATTTGGCAGCTTGTCTCTCTCAAACTGACTATTCTGTGCACTTAAACTGTCTAATCATGCAGTCTGTATTAGTCATCTTTTTTTGCTCTTAAATTATAATTCCTATCTATTGAAGTCAGTGGAAGAACAAAGTTTCCTTTGGGGGAGGAGAGGTGAGAAATCAAACTCCTAGTTTTCAATGCAGATATTTTAGAGCTGGAAAAACACTCTCTGGAGGTGTGGTATAATTCACTGAGGGCTGGTTTTGGCAGCTGTTGATACTAATCTTTGCAGCTGTTGTCCAACAACAGTTTTACAGTCTTCTCATTCCCCTGTAGCTGTCTGCCTTTCTCTATGTGAATAACTTTAATACCCAGGTTATGACTTATTTAGGGATTTCATGCTGCCTCTTTGCAGCAGTTGGTGCTTCTGCTTCAGCCCCACTTGACTGGTATGTATTTCAGTTAGACTCATGGGTGGGATGCTGCTGAATTAAACTGGCTTTATTCAGTTGCACAGGTCACTATGTAAATGGAATTCTGCAGCTGGTAAGTTTCTGTAACCACAGTAAGAAATTAATTTAGCTACTGAGTTCTTAAGTTAAAACATTTGTTCTTGAGGTGAATATTGAAGAGCTTTATAACCAGATTTTGGAATGCAACTAAGGGAAACCTAGAATGCTTTTTTGGAAAGGAAAAGCATTTAAGCACTTGGACTCATTACTAGAATTACTTCTTGTATGTCTGCATATACATCTAATTGTCAGCTTCACCTCACTTCTGTTTGATTGCTTTTAAACGGTGAGATATATGTAGCAGTAGTTGTTCTTTTATATAGCTTTAATGAAATGAGCAAATTTTATCTATCATTTAAATAAAAACAAAAACACCAATCCAAGTCAAGCAGCTGCAGAAATCCTCCTTTGGTTTGGACTCTACAGATGTTCTGTAGGGTCAGCAGAATTCTGTTGTTACCAGGATCAAAGTGCAATACCCAATTTAAGGTAGGAGGAAGTTTTAACATTAAAATAATTAAAAAATCATTGTCAAATCCTAATAATCACTAATTTCTGTGTTCTGCTGCCAAAAGAGGATGCAGTCATAAAAGCAATCCAGGTAAGTCGTTTTAGCAGGCATTTGGATCACTGTAGTGTTTCTGCCGTTTGTAACTGCCTTGGAGGCTCTCATTATCATAGAAGTACCTAAGATTAGTCAAAGTGCCATGGCAATGGCAATATTTTTGCTTTTTCTGCTTTGTTATTTATCATGCAGCATTTTTTTATTTTTATTAATGTTTAAGTACTGATATTAACAAAGATAAACTATTGTAATTGACAGAATGGGCAGGTGAACCCGTTAGCCACATATAGCTTCTTCAGTAGTGGTGAATTTGATATTCTACACTTTATGAATTATCACTTTGTGTCAAAATATCACTGAGTGGAGTTACCTTGTGTCAATACTGTTTAAAATGTAGTTATTCTACCATATTTGAAAAAAATGGGAATATTCAACCATGTTGTAGGTGGGCTGCTGATTTTAAGTATGTGCCTGAAGCCAAAGAAAGGTAAAAGTCCATGAGTTTCTATGAATTGCTAGGAGTTGTGCAGATATTCATATGTTTGTGCCTGCAGCTGTATATTTGGTTCCATGTACAGTCACATTATAGTTGTGCATTCTAAAAATAACATGTCCAATATATCTACAAATACATTGAAGAGATATTTATATATGCAAGTATCTAATCATAACTTAAACTACATAAATCTGCTACATGCAATATAGTAAAAAATGGTATGAAGAAATAGTTGGCATTTTATGGTACATTAACATGTGCGCTCAAAAAAATGGGAATTCCTGGTTTACATAGCACAACTTCTGTGCCAATCTTATCAGTTTTTAAAACCAGACCAGCTGTGTTATAGAAGTTTTCTTTGTTTGCTAGGTGTTTGGGGTTTTTTTTCTTTAAATCTGTCTGCCTTCCTTGAGTCTGTGGCAAAAGCAATCAGATAATTTTACTGTTCAAATTTAGTTCAAGATAGTCAGCAGTCAAGGTACAAAAGGCTTCCAGTGGCTCTTAGGAGAAGCAAAACCATAAAATGAACCAGTATCTGATGCTCAGCTTCAGTTTGGGCTAACCGGATACTGTGAGGCTTCAACAAGTGAGTCAGGGATTTGTGCTCTGAAAATTCCTTCCCAGCAGGAATTACTTCTGTTTGAGGCTCTTCCTGTGGCCATTTATGTTTTTATTTAAGTAACAGTAGCTAGGCACTTCATGCTTCACTTATATTTATCATCTCTCCCACCACACTAAATGCCACACTTACTGTCAGCGTACAATGTCGAAGTTGAGTAAAGAAGGTTTATGCCCATCTGGTGCAGGGGTATGTTGAATACAGGAAACTGGAATTCATATCCAAGCATGGAAGTGGCTAATGCTTTTGAGAAAATAAAATGGTCCATAGTTCAATTTGTATAGTAAAAACGGGTTTGAATAGTAATTGGACTCACATATTTCATCAGGTTGTAACCAGACACAGAAATAACAAGAAATTTGTTCACTGTCTTGGTTTATTTTATTTTAAAGGACTGTTCAATGAGAAAAAACAAGTCCATGTATGTATCTCAGCAAGATACCAACCTAAAACTTTACATTTCAGTTTATATTTGCCTTTATGTTCACAGGGGACTATTTGCCTAAATCTGTAGAAGGATTATTTATCTATGAAGAAGAAGGTGCTGGGGTTCCAGGTTCTAACAGGAAAGGAAATGATGCTATAGTTGTTGAACAATGGACAGTCATTGAGGTAAGCTGGTGATTATTTAGCAATGCTATTTCCCACTTTTTCTTTTGTTTTTTTGTTTTTTTTTTTTTCCTTAGAATGTTTGTACTAGTGATAGATGAACATTCACAGTGGTTTCTTGAAGCCACGTGCATAAGCCGAAGTGTTGAATCATCCAAATGAAGTCAGACCTGTGGCCATTGATCAGTGTGCCTAAAAAATATGCTGCAGGGATTGTGGCCTGATACTTGCAAGCATTCATACCAGCAAATTCAGTCACCAAAGAAAATGTTTGGTTTTGTTGGATTTTTTTATATATTTGTTTCAGACCAATTCAGACATAATTTCAGCAAATGCAGTCCCACTGACAATTTGCTGAAGTAATCTTCAATAAAAAGGGGAAGAAAGTAGCCAAAACTAGAAACAGCACAAGAAAAAATTGATTGCAAATTACTAGAGCATGCTTTTCACATGTAAATTCTTAGTAAAATGTTACTGCTAAGTATGAAAGATTTCATGTTTCCTAATAAATTTACATGTACTACTGTAGTATGCTACAGCAATAAAATTATCTAATCTTTTTTAATACTCTAACATTATAAGATTTTTTTGGCATTAATGAGATCTGAAAGTAATCATTGTTGAAGGATACAAAGGGCTTACTTTTCAAATATTCAATGGTAAATACACTTACCAATGTGACAACAAATAAAATAAAACTAAGACTTTTCAAATTAAAAAAGGAAAATATGGAAAAAAATAGCCAAAAGACCTCCCATACAAACCACTAACCACCAAAACTTACATATCTAGTATATACTTCATATGTATGAAATATCTAGCTATATGAGATGCTTATTATTCATATATGAAGTAAAAACCTGAATACATGGAGACGTCTTTTATAGTGTTGAGAAAGCTTTAGGTGTTAATTTAGCAACGTGACAAACTTTAACAAGTGGGATGTGGTTTGAATGTCATCCTGAATCAGGGTTCATACCCTAAAGTTAGTGTGTTTTGTCTGATTTCCTAGTTTTCTGTTTGAAATAGTGAATCTACAGCAAACAGCACAGTTTAGTGTCCTCTCAAAGGGTTATGGCATGATAAATTAGGAGAGTCATTGTAACTTGTGTAGAAATGCAACTAAAACCTGTACAGAGTCACTTTACTACTTTTTATGATTATTAATGTAGGGGTGTGAAATTAAAACAGATTATGGACCCTTATTGCACACGCTGGCTGAATTTGGATGGCTTCTGACCTGTGTGCTGCCTACACCTATCGTACGACATGACAGGTACCCAATCTATTACAGCATTTTGATGTTTACATCCCAGAATTATCAAATGATTACTTGGGTATTTAAATGTAAAAGGAATTAAAAATGCTAATAATGCTAACCGCATATAAAACTTGAGATGTAGGGAGCATTACAGTGGAATTCTTTTTATGATACTGTTTTAGCACTGCTGGCTTCAGTGAGTTTCAAATGAAACTGATAGTCCTGAATTTAAATACATTGTTTATATCTAACCTGAAAGATTTTATTTAGGAAACTTTTCAGCACATAGCCAGTCCCCAGCAATGGGATTACTCGTATGCTTCAAGTTTAAACAAGTGTTGAAATGTTTCACTAATTTAGGACCTTGGTGAATGACTGGTTTAAACTGTTAAAAGTCATGTTGTCACAGGACAGTCATGTTGTGCTTATTGCAAATTAGGGAGGAGAATGTGCTAATCCAGCAAGTTACTGGGCTGTTACTCGTCTTTGATGTAGACAATATGTTTTGATTCAAATACAGTACCAAACTATTGGCTTTCAGTTCTTTTACTGTAATATTTATTTAGATGAATGAGGAGCTTTATAAACATAAGAAGAGCTCAATAGAAGACCTGGATTCCTTATAAGGTTCCGGGGGGGGGGTGTTTGTTTTTTGTTGTTTTTTGTTTTTTTTAACAGCAGCAACAAAAAAATTCCTGTGCTTTTCTTTATGGCATCAAGCTAAAAACTGTCAAATGAAATGCTGGATTAAGCATACACCTCTTCATTTTCTCTCCTTTTTGCTTTCTTTTTTTCCTTGTTTTTAATTCCCCTCCCATTAGATTAGGATTGCCAAGGTTTGAAAACAAACAAATGTACTGAAGCATGGTTTAAGGCTCATTAAGGACAATGGAAAAGAGTGGGTGACTTGAGTAATCTTTGGATCCAGACCTCACTGTATTAAATCAAGACAGCATGAAAAAGGATGTGAATGAAAGGTTCTAAGAGAGCTGCTCCAAGAAAGTGGAGTTTTGTTCAAGTGATTTGGCATAATTAAATCAACTCACCCATGTGAGAAGGAGGTTTTTCTGGTCAGGCAGAAGGTGCTGGGGTTTCTTGGGGGCTGTGTTTTTCATAGTTTAACCAACTGATTAAATGCAAAGACAGAAGAAATTGTGGTAAAACAGTATGGCGTGTTCTGCTAGTATGTTTTTAAGGGTCTTTGTTCTGTTTTTCTCTGTAATGTATTAAAATTCTGAACTTTTAAAGCTTCTGCTCCAAAAAGAAGCTGTTTCCAGAATATAAAAAAAAATGGTTATCCATTCAGTTCTTCAAACAAAACTTCATAGCCTAAATGTTTCAGCTTTGAACATGGGTTTGGACAGCAGGGTCAAGATTGTCCTGGGCAGCTGCTGGTCAGTCACTCTGTGAGTATCAGTCAGTGCTTGCAACAGGCAAAATTGTAGATGATCTTTAAAGTCCCTTCCAATCCAAAGCAATCTGGGATTATATGCCTGTACAGAGCAGTGCTATTAAGTTTTCTTGAGAAAGAGTTAAAAAGCCCATGAATAGGAACTCCTAATTAGGTATTAATAATTCTTTGGAGTCCAAAAAAGAATGTATCCATCCTGATAGGCTAAGTAATGATTGATAAATACTATTTTGAGGCATTGATGTTGGTTATTTGTAGAGAAGAAATTCCTGCATGGTTACTATGTGTCTGATATGAAAGATGCCATTACTGTGGTGGTGGATTATCCTAGGAATGCAAGTTAAATGTCTTGATAAAGAAGGACACTTTATGCTGCCGAACAGCTGGTCTGTTCCCAGACTTGGAGCTCTGACCTCAAAACCCATCTTGAATACTAGTGGGCTTCAGAAACACTGGAAAAAAACAAAATGAGCATCGTTTTGGGACGATCTGGCAAATTCATATTTTCATATTTATTTAAAAATATAATTGTACGAAGTACATAAATTCTTATCCAAGAATAAAATGTTAGGAGGGCAGCCTGCTCCCCATTTCTAGTCACCATATTGTTTTGCTCTATTGTCTGTCTTCCTCTAATTCATTGCAAAACTATCCCACGTCTGCGATCTGTTCCTAGCCATTATGCCCACTGTCTGAAAATGAAGAGTGTGACCATCAGGCTAACACAAGTTCTGGGGTGTGACAGTGTTGTCATGCACTGTGGTGCTGCTTCTTTGGTTTTCACATGGTTAGGATGTGAAGCAGTTTGGAAACCACCAGCTGTCACGTCTGTTCCTGTGTGGTTTTGTTGTTTGAAGTTTTTCTCTTTTACAGATGTTCCTCTCCATAAAATAAAATGTCCCGTTGTGTGAAGTGTCATGCATGTGACAGCTGAGTGTCATGGATCACTGGCCTGTTTCAGGCAGGGGCAGCAGTCTGTAGGCCTACTTAGTCCTTTAACTCCTACCTCAGTGGCTAAGGCATGCTGGATGCAGGAAACTTATTCTTGAGAAATGTAATCTTTGCTGTTACAAACAGAGCAATGGTAAATGTCATATATTGAGAAACCTGCTGAGTTGCTGTTTTGTGCAATGCTGTTTAAAATAAGCACCGTGGGGCTTTGGTTTTTTTTTATTTTGGTCAGCATGCTCTAAAACCCACAGACGTTCCCATCTTCTGTCAGTGTTTCTCTTTTTGCAGGAATATGAGAAAATAGAGCATGATTAAACAGAAAAGTACATATGATGGAATATTTGTTGTGTCCATCCATATATTGGGAATTATATTGTGTCAGCAGTCAATAAAGGATTTTTGACCTAAAAGAGTGGAAAAGAATCCAAGACGGATCCACAATAATATTGGTGACCTGAAGAGCTCCCTGCATTATATACAGCTCTTACTAGTTAAGTGTCTTCAGTCAATAGATTGACAGTAATTATGCCAGGTTCAGAAGTTGTATATCAAGCATAAAATTAATAGTCCTCTTAGGAGTTAAATCTGGTGAGTGGGGAAAAATATGTTAGAAGATACTTCTCTGATAACTTAGTACTGCTGCAGTTACTAATATGATATTATCACGAGTTTATAGAATTTCATGCATGTTTCTGATCTAAAATTAGAGTTATTTCTAAGGTGTTTTAATTTTTTTCATTGAATGGATCCCTTAAGACAGGAGTCTGTCCCAAGCTGGTGTCTCTCTTGTAACTGAAAGTCTAGATTCTGTGCAGTTCCAAAGGGTATTATTTTGGGAAATTCAAAACACCTGAATGGGTTAAAAGAATTCATCATCTTGGTCCTTTTGCTCATTTTTCAGAAAACATTGTTTAACCTCAGAATGAAGTGCTTAACCTTAGAGTGAAGTGTATGTGAAATGTTTGTGCATTATAAAAATAGCTAAAAAAATCACAGCCATTGGCAGGACTACTTGGCTTCCAGCTTGATGATTGTTTTGGAGTACTTATTTAATAAATACGTGTAAAAAGACAAATATATTGCCAGTGCAGCATAAGCAGACAAGCAAATTGCTGATGTTTTAACAAAGGAGTTTCTGTTGCTCTTCATCCCTCTTAGAAGAAGAGACAGGAAAAGGCTTCAGCAGCCTTACTCTGCAGTGACCTTTATTTCCCTTCACCGGTTACTGCAGTCCCTGAAAAGGGGCAGTGAGACTGTCCTTGAGTGCTGGAAAGCAGGCAAGCAAACACAGTGCAAAACACTGACTCTGGTTATTAATTTATTATGACAAACTATTGAATGCAAGTTCTCAAAATGCGCTGACTGATGAGGCAAAGAGTGAATGTGGAAATGCAAGGGAAGCTATGGAGTGGCTTGCTCTAAGGTCTTTTTCTCATTTAAATTCAGTGGAAATCCCACTGTCATTGAGTTCTTTGTGAATTAAGCTCATAGCTGCTTTGTCGTGTGTGGCATTTTAATAAGGTCAGACTTAGAAAATTGTTAATTTACTTATTGTCTACTCACCATCGTGTCTTTTCTCTGTTCTAGTAGAATTTGTACAAGCTGTAGCTTAAAGTTTGGGGATTTTTTCTTTTCTCTGAAGGAATGCAGACACTGTTACAGAATAAGCTGTAGGCTCTTCCCCATGCCAGGGACTGCATTCAGCCTTCTCATTTAGAAGAGAGGTTTCCCAATTGATGTTATCAAAACAGACATAACTGGGAAGGGAGAGATGCCTAGCCAACTGGAATGAGATTGCAGGATTGCTGGTCTCCTTATCATGACATAAAATTGTAACACATTTCCTCTTAATGAATGCAAATGGCAGGGTAGGAGCTCTCAGAGCAGGAAACTGATGAGTTCATTCTTTTGCCTCCTTGTTTTCCCCACAAGCTGGAGTTTAAGATAGTTCTCTATTCTTATCCAAGGAAGATGTGCAAACATACGCCATGACCTGATTTCACAATCTTCCTTTCAGTCCAGCTGAAAGACTAAACACAGTCACAAAACCATCACCACTGAAGTATTGATTAGATGCAGCTGAGTGTGCTGGGAATAGTGCTGGATTGTGTACTTTCAGAGTTTACTTCCAGAAGCTCTGCTGGGGCAGGCTGTTAACAAGCTCTTCCTGATGTCATAGGAGCAGTTTTAATCCCTGATTTTTCTTGGAGTAAGTCCCTAATTGTATTATAAATGAATTCTATCAGTCCTAGCCATGGCATGAAACCTGAACCAGTTATCTCAACTTTGTGTGTGGTACTTAAGATTGTGACATACCCGTACTAAAGTACAAGCTTACGTTATTTTAGTAGTTATTTCCATCAGGTTATGCATAATAATAATACTGTTTTAGGATTGATAGACTAGATAGAATCAAAATCCTTCAAATGACCTCACTACATGTCTCTTTTACGTTGTTTTTTTTTTGCTAATTTTCTTTATCATGCTGTTAAATCTGTAGTCACTCTTCTGCTGAAGTATTTCAGTGACTTTCCTTCATATGCCTGAAGATCTCATTGAATACTGCAGAAGTTGAGGGGAGAAGAGTCTGTCAAAATGTAGTATCTTGTATTTAGAGAAGCAGAGGAATTCTTTAAACCCTTCCATCCTAGACCTCTGGTCTTGAAATTATTGCACTCTTGCAGTGCCACAGACTCAGGCTTTGTAGCACATAAGCAATCAGTGTGCCGACCCAAATTTCTGATGGAAAGATGATGAAAATGAATACATTAAAACTTGAAAGGAATCTATCGTGAGTACGAAAAGAGTGCAACAGTAGTGAAACATCCTGTCAGTAACATCTATTTGGTTTGAGGAACAAATTTGTCCTTTTATGTTTATTTTATCTAAAAGCATTTCTTTGCGGGCAGAAAATAAAAAACATGTTTCTTTAAATTATATTTACCACAACAGTATCAACATTTCTGAAAGTTCCAGCACTGAAAACTGAAGTTCCTCTTTCTTTTTTTTCTTTCCCCCCTTTATTTGTCTTCCTACTATGTTATCTTGTCTTTCCTGTGCATGTATTTCCCATATACAAAACCACCAGTGTCATTTATCTCATGCATGTGGAGCTGAGACCGTAGGTGGTGAAACAGCAAGCTTATTCCAGCTGCATCAGTAAGATGTCATATTACAACTGGAAGACACCTACTTAGCAGTAAAGAATGTTACTTCCAAGTTTTGTACCAGAAAGTATTGAGAGGTTTATTGAAGCTGTGGATCTATTGAGGTGGGGCCTGTTTGTTGTGGTGTCAATAGGTAGCAATATGTTGCTGTATTTGTGAAAGTGAAGATTAGGTTTACTGCAGACGTAAAGGTGCAGGCTTTGATTTAAAGTAGGAGCTCTGGTACTTAAACTTTCCAGATCAAACGTGTTCAATGACTAATCATAGCAATACAGATTTTTTTCTTCTGTATCTGTTTCCATGTTTAACACCTTAACCCAGCTCTGTACTTCTTACGCTTTATTTTTTTTAAGTGATTACTGAAGTGTTCAGGAATTAATAAAGCAGCTAATGCTGGGTAGTCTGTCTCTTTCTCACCATGGACTTAAGTCCAACTTAATAGCTGACTCTGAAACATATGAACTTGTTACAGTGACTATTACTGCCTTTACAATACTGAAATTATTTTCTTTAAATTTTAGTGAAGGAAATCTGGCCACAAAGCAAGTCATTTTTCTTCAGAGACCTGTTATGTGGAATTCTGCTGTCCAGACACCAGAGGTGAGTAACATCTTTATGGTATTAATGTAAAAAAATGAGTAATTCACTTAATGGTTAGATGCAGAAACAAGCTAGGCTTCAAAATTAAGGGGAAAAGGTGGCAGAAGAGGGTTTCCCTTGAAACAAGGTCAAAATTGCAGAGGCCTTTGCATCTTAACTTGTATATTATTTTTTCCTTAGCCATATAGCTCTTAAATTAACCCACAGAGAAAAGTATGAGCATGCTAAAAACCTGTTTTGTGCAAAGAAACTGCTGTGTCTCAGGTGGATAAGGTTGGCTATGCGTAACTATTTCTTTAGAAGTCTTCAGGAACTCTTAAATGTTCTGATTGAAATCTGTTTTACATGAAAAGAAAACATTTTCTTTTGACTTCCAAAACCTCTACTTTTCACACTTGTAGAAGAAAACAAGTGTCAAGCTGTGCAAAGGATACTATAATCTGGAGGGTAACAGGATAAAGGGATGTTAGCTGCTGTTGCATGAAAATGTGTGACAGAAGTAGAGGATTTAAGATTCCTGCAGCTGGACCTCAACAACTCCTTGCCTCTTTTGAGTGAGGCTCCTGTTACAGTGGTTTATAAAAGTGCTTTGGGGATTAAGTAATTGACACTTAACTGTGTTCTACTCAGAGTCAAGGTCACAACAGTTGTTGCACCTATATAGTGCTGTAGTAGATCCTACTGTGGCCACAGAAGGATGAGCTACTGGTGGGCTGCTCTTTGTCAAGTCTTCCAACATCCTGTGATGGATTTTAATTCTTGTTATTTCTGTTTTTCAATGGCCATTCAACCCTTCTCTAATCAGCGCGCCTTAAGCAGCTGTGAAAATTAAGTATGTTCTCACTCATGTCAAGCACCACAGTAAAACTTTACAAACTGTCATTCACAGTATTGTACATTATTATAAGGCAGTGTTACCCAGTCTCTTTTTCCTCCATCTGTATCAATAGTTTCACGGGTCTCTAAATTTCTTGCATCCATATTTGATCTTTCTCTGTGCTTTCTACCTTCTATCCAGTCTGTTACCGTAACTTTTATTTCCCTCTGCTTAGTGTTTCTAAAGTACACTCTTAACTTCTCTTGTTCTTCTCCAGGCTTTTGCTTTTCTCCAGCCTAACTTCCTTCTCACGGTGTCCCCTGATAATTGTTAACTTCCATGCCTGGAAGAACTGCATTCAGCATGCACAATTAAAGTCCTGTTTTTCTCTCCACTGCCATCTCAATTCCCAGCTAGTTCTTGGACACTATCTATAATGTATTTCTTAATTCAAAAACCTTGAGCTTCTGGGTGTTTTCCACTTCAGTGTTCTGTGTAGTCTCCCTTGCCAATGTCTTAATCTCTTTCATTCATACCACCTTTTCTCCCAGTTCCTCATATATTTGTTCTTTCCTTCAATTTCCCCCTATGTCCAAGTATCTTCAGCTTTCAAAGCTTCTGATGCCTGCTCTCATGCTTGACTTAGTTGTCTTTACATGCTTTCCTAATACATTCCTGAAAGTATTTTTTTGAGTATAATTTTCATATCAGTATTGTAACTATATAAAAATCTAATTGTGTCAGTCATTATGAAATAATCATCCTTTTCCTGATACTTCCCTACTTTTTTTAATACACTGTATAATAAGGGCATGGACTCTTGATACATATACTCTTTCCTTGGTAAGGCATATTATTTCTACCTATAAGCATTTCTTAAAAGGCAGCATAGCTGCATGCCACGAGTTAGAATGATTGACTGGATTCTGCCCAGAGATGCAATACAAGCCAGCTCTGTGAAAGCATTCAGTCTGAGCAACTGATGAATCTTTGAGATGTGGTTTAAATTAAAAATAGGAAGCATTATGCTCACAGTTTAAATTCTATCACCCAGTTGTGCGTTGATCAGCAGCTTCAGTTTATACAAATAAAATGGTGTGGTTTGTAGTTACTGTTTTACTTTGTTGTAATGAGAAGCCTTTGACTTAAGCATTAGCATACTGAAAATAAACAAGAAATAGCTGATCTGTAGCCGTTTACATCAAGATTACTGTGTTTAAAGACTGAAAAAACTTAGTATCTAAATGTACCAGTACCAGTGATTATTTTACTTTTCCACCAGGAAATTTCAGTGCGCCGAGGTTATTTTAACATGGGATAAATAGGTGGTGCATGCTGAAGCTGAAACGTTCAGCAGAGTAACATTTTCCTTCTGTTTTTCCTGTTACATTGGTTTTCCCCACAATTTTCGTCTTTTTACTTCATTGCTTTTTTACCAAAATGTCTGAATTGGCAAACAATTTAAATTCATAGATTTGTTATTAATACCTAACTAGTACAGGATGTTGTGCTAGCTCTCCAGTGAATAAATAGATTTCAGGTGCAGAACAGCTACTGAAATCTGAAAGCATTAACTTTCGCTCTGAAAACTTTAATATACTTATTGCAGATGTCTCTGGACATGGATAGACACAGCTATATGACTTTATCAAACCCTTGCAAACGTTTTAGTAAAAAACATTTAATTATTGTGAGTCTGTATTGCTGGGCATTGTTGGTTTTTTAATCATTGGATCGAAGTTATCATTTCCATTTCAAAAGGAAATTCTGCTTCAGTAAGAATTGGGGAGAAAAACCCTATTACTTGGGCTCTTATTCCCACAGGGTCTCTTTTCTGAGGAGGGTATGTTTTATGTCCTCACAGCTCATCGCTCTATGCTGTATATTGATGGGATAGTGCATTATGACCTGGCTTCTGATTTATGTAATGGTTTAAAGGCTTCTTGGATTAGGAGCTGTACTGCCTCAGTGGGCTCTTTGTTTATCACAGACCATTTGCTTTTCTACAAGAATAGTTCAGAGAAGGAGGTCCAAGATAGAAACATACAGTGCTTGAGGTTATTTTTTTTTTCTTTTCTCTTTTTTTTCCTTTATTTCCCTTCAGCAGAATTCTCCATCCTCTTACTGTGGCATCCAGGCAAAGCTTATTTCCTTCTGTTTCTCCTGAGGCAACGTTATTTCCCCTTAGTGTAATTTCCCAATGTCTCCTGTAACAGCTTCCCTAAATACATTTCCGTTAGCCACAAGGACCATTGTTTTTACTGTTTCAAAAGGGTTTCGGAAAAAAAAAATAGCAATGTATAGAAGGGAGGCACAGAAATTGCCAGAGCATGGCAAAAACATTTGTGGGCTGGTTTTCTTTTTAAAGGCTTTGTATTTGTGCATATTCCCCTATGAGAGTGCTTGTGTCCTGCGTGCTGAGGCTGGATTCCTTCTCACTTAGATGTCCTCCTCCTCTGGACAGGGCTGTGTGCCCTGGCGAAGCGCCTCCTCGTTTAGTAGTGCTTGTGCTGACAGCAAGGCTCCAGGCAAATGGCCAGGGCACTTCTGCCTTGCTGACCATGCTCTTCTGCTGTGACTCAAGGCACTGACATTGCCTCTGGAGATGCTGCATCATCACTGATCTGAGTGCCATGGGTAGCTCCTGGTGCTAAAATGAAATAAAGCTTTTATTTATGTGATGCCTCAGAGGACCCTTAGCACAGTCTGATAGGTCTGTTTGCGTAATTCACAACCTGCTTTCTTTGACTTTGGCAGCCATCACTTCCAAGAAGCATGTCAGGAGATCCCTGTACTAATGTCAAGCTGTATTTACACCAAGTTCTTCACAGAATCATATCATGGTTTGGGTTGGAAGGGACCATAAAGATTTTTTTTCTCCTGAGTTCATAGTTGGAAACAGTGTTAAATGCTGCCTTATGTTAAAATACCTCCAAGTGAGCTAACATTAAACATCTTCTTGTATTTCAGAAGAAATCCTTAAGACAAGTTATTGGGGAGGAAAGAGGCAAAGTCTCTAGCAGAAGTGTTGGATTAGATACAGCTACTTCTCGCCCTGTAGAAACTGGACAAGCACCCGATGAGTTTCACTTATCTCCTTCTAAGCAGTGTTGGATCAAGGAGGGATCCTCCCAGTATGGAGGCTTTCCAGGGTTCAGTAGCAGTGATGGAGTATTGAGGGAACTGGATGATGGACAATTTGACCAGGAAGATGGAGTCACTCAGGTCACATGCATGTGATAAGTAACTGCATCAGATGGACATGTACATAATTCACACAAATGTGTCTGATGTTTTCTTTGGTTGGTTTTTTTTTAAGTCATACTACTTTAAATGCATTGGTATAACCTTTTCCCAGATTCATTTTGTATTTTGTCTGTTTCTTCACTGTGTTAATCCTACTGTAGAATTACTTCTACTGCAAAATAATTTGGTTTTCTGTCTCTCTTTAATAGAAGAATTACATGACTGGGTGCTCTGCTAACTTGTTAATGCTTTTGACAAGCAAGGAAGCAAATGCTGCAAAACAGTGACAGTTTGAACTGTGTGAGTGAGAAAGGAATGAGGATGTTTAGTGTTTTCCACAAGCTGGAAGAATGTTATGTTTTTAAAGGGTGTTGTAAATATTGGTAGGGAAAACGAACTGACTGTTGTTACATTTTAATGTAATTTTCACTTGACTTGCCTTGCATTAATGCAAAAGCCTAGAGAAATGTTGTCTCACACTAGAGTTTTAACAGTTTAAGCTATATTTGTACAGAAAACATCTGGAGACTGTAGGCAAACACTTGCTCCTGTAGTATAATTTCACCTATGCAGGATTTTAATACATCTAAGCCAAAAGCTATCTGAGCATGTAGCTTGTATAATGATGTGTCAGTAATCTACTCAGTGGAAATTTAGAACCACTCACCCCCTGAAAGATAACTTGCAGTCTACGAAAAAGCAGTTTGAGAAACTCACTAAGAAGCACTGACACCAAGGTGCATGATGCTGCTGATAATACATAGGAGGAAGAAGTAGGCTAAACTTAACAGGCCATGTTAGATAACAGACTACACAAAAATGCTGCTGTATATATATATAAAGTTTCTCAGCTAAGTGTATCTCACACTGGGTAAAGTGTATTCAACTGCATCAAATAGCAGAAAGAATGTTCAAAGGATGAAGTCGCTGTGCTTCCATCCTCACCATGGGGAGGAGCTGCATGCATGAAGGGAGGTTAACACTGGCAGGGCTTTGTAGGGAGACATGAACAGGAAGTATTTTAATGCTGCTGTCTTGAAAGTACGTCTTACAGTGGAGAAGATGAATAAAATGCATCTCCAGGTGGTAAATGTGACTGTAACTAAAAACTGTGCTTTTTTTCAGGCAGTTTTAGAAGCAAAAACTATCAATGCTTATCACAGTGAAGCCAATGCAAAATAATGTGGTGAAAATGAGAACTGGAACAAGACTGAGCAGATGTATTCACAACACTCCTCTCTGTGGGCAGTACAGCTCTTGCATTACTCAGGGATTCTGATACCTGTCCATGTGTGCCATGCTGTGATCACTGAGAGGAGTGTTGTGGATGCATTAACTGCAGCACCCTGCTCCAATGGGGTGACATCCACCACCTGCTCTGGGAATCTCCCTTTCCCGGGGTAGATGGTGGCACTAAACACAGTGGGCAAATAGATGTCTGGAGTCAGCAGTGCTCCTGTCACTACAAGCACCCCAGGAGATGGCCGGGATGGGGGAAGTCAGATTGGAATAGTCCAAGTTAAAGCTTTGATAGTATATCAAAGAAATTACCTTTTATAAAGCAGTATCCCTGCTCAGGGTGGCTGGGTAGTGAATCCTAAAACTGAACTGCAACTATTTAAATGATACAATGTATAAAGTAATAAACTGAGTGCAGTTAATCTTCCTACAATATATTCATTGGATAAAAAGATTAATTGAATCTTTAACTGAGATCTTTTCACATCAGCTGTTGAGAATGCAAAAAAAATCAGATAAATTAGTATCTTTTAATTAATGGGATGCCCACAAGGGAGATTCTGGTTTGGAACAAGGGTAGAAATTGAGCATGCGCTGGATGTCCACAGGTACACTCTAGAATATCCCCACTTAAATTTAGCCAAGAAGGTTTTTGTTCTTGAAATGACATAAAGCCACGTTCCTTTTCAGTAGCCAACAGTTTTAACTGCGCTTTAGTCCTCACTCTTGAGTCTCACAGGTGTTGACAGTGCTGCAAACCTCTGAATTTCTTTATAGTATTTTTAATTCCATGCAAATGCATTGAATTCTCTTCTCTGAACCCACTCATCAATTCCTGTAGTCAAGGACAGCTGGGGTTTTTTAGTGCCATTTGTCTCTCAGTATCTAAAGTTGCCGCTGCTGTAGAAACACGAATCTGGATTGTTTTCCTAGCTCTGTTGTCTTTCACCTCACAGGACTACATTTAGGCTCTGTTTTAGAAAAAAATAAAGGACAGTTCTTCCTCTAGAAAAAACCTCAACCTGACAAGAGCCAAGGTAGGTAACTGTGGAGTGAGTGGCATGGAGAGGGTAGCACAGGAATAAATTCCTCAGCAGTCTTTTTTTGCAACAAGAACTCAAGGGAATCATGGGAACGGTAAGTAGCAGGTTTGAAACAAATCATGGTATCTCTTCAGCTGACTGTAGAACTCCTGGCTGCAGCACACTGTGTATGAAACTGCATGGATTTAAAAGGGGACTGAAAAATCCCTAAAAGGGAAAACATCCCCCTGTTCTCTCTGAGCCACTGAGCCAGGAACTCTTGGGACACTGTGAAAGCTGCTCTAGCTGAGTGCATGTTCATCCTGTCCTCCAGATTACTGTAAGCACCAGTGCTTCATCCCTGGTGGGCATGTAGCTGAAAGCAGGGTCCTGCTGGCAAGGCTTGCTTTCAGAATCAGGGAGCTTGTGCTGGGTGTGCTCAGCCTGTATGAAGGGTATGCAAGGATTAGCTGACTTTATGCACCAGTTGAAGAGCACAGAACAAACCACCCGTGTTCCTTCAGCATGGATGCTGAAACAGAAATCATTGAAAATGCTTGAAAATTTTCGATTTAGTACTTTATAGTTAAGATTCTGAAGGCCAACTGTGTCTTAGCCTGAAGGGTGAAGAGGGCAGGGTACATTTTGGGTGTATGGTGTTACAACTAAAGCTGCTTGTTTGGTCACCTGGTCTTACAGCAACTAGGGCATTAAGGTGTGCCTTTGTTAGTGTTGTGACCAGCACCAGCCATTAATTAAACACAGCTTGTCAATCAGAAGAGCTGTCACTATAAGTCTGGCAAATGGAGTTTTTGTATGTTCCTATTTATAGAGAGATATATGTATGCACACACGCTGTTCAGTTTTCATTTTACCAGAATGTATTTTACATGCTCATCTTTTTACTGAAAGAACTGCAAATCAAACTTAAAGCACAGCCACAAAAAACAAAGTACGCTTACTTATTCAGTAACAGGGCTTCAGTTAGGAGCCTGTGTGCCTGAAATGTAATGGAGAAGTCCCTTACCTGTTATGTGACAACAGCTATTAGAAGAACAGAGATACAGGCAACTGTTCATGAACCCCTGCAAAAGTCTGTTTATACTTTAAATTGTTTGGAGAGGAAATACTTTCCTAGTGTTTACAAGCAGGAAGAAACTGTCCACTGATACTGTGCCCTGCTCCTGATTGTCAGAACAGTTTATGTTCCTGGTCAGCTGCAATAAACTGCTGCTTAACCTCAGTGTTTCTGGTCTGTAGAATACTGGTTTTTGCTTGTAATGCGAAGATCTGGTCTATAGTTCTGATAGGAAGCTTCTCGCCATTAAAAGCACTTACTAAATCAGCTGCCAGTTTCTTCATTACGTTTGCCTCGTGCTGACAAGACCCTAAATGTGTTAGATCGATGTATGCCTTTCCTCAAGCTAAAGCTCCTTTTTTGCAGTTTCAACTATAGCTCCATGCAGCTCCCAAAGCACAGCCATCTATTGAAAGCTGATCTGCCTTGTTCTTAATATGTTAATCTTCTGAAGGTAGAATGGCCAGGTTGCTGTCTTGACAATTCCCTATGGCTTGATTCTGAGAACAGCATTAGCTAAGATTTACTTTCTGAAGCCAAATTCCTGCATCAGAATTTAGACAACTGGAATGAATATAAGTGAACGTTCTGGACTTCAGGTTAGTGTGATTTGGAAGAGACAAAGTGATTTAGAGGAACTGGTCTGGTGACATGTTCTGATGTGTTTAAGCTGCTAAACTTTAACAACCTCCAATATAACTGAAATAAGGAAAGTAGCAAAATCACTGTAACTGCCTTCTTGCAAGCTGTGTTAAACCAAACATCAGGAAAAACCTCAGTGATTAAGGAGAAAGCTTGTTGCAAGTTATGCTTTGCTTGCAATGCTCCCTTGCATCTGTGACATGCCGTCATACTGTGCTTATTGGGGCATCCAGAAGGTCCTCTTTGAGATCTTCCCTGTTAATTATAGAACCATCATTTTGTGATTTGAGAGGTATAAATTTGAGATCTGACTTCAGGATGCCGATGAGTATTACATATCTCTACTTTCGAAAGAAGAAATAAGACTTCACTCCAGCTTATCCTGTAGCAGAGATGGGAAAGCACCAGCCTTTCTCCTGGAAGCACTCTGCTGCTTGTGTTCTTGGACGACATGAAGAACGAGAATAACTTGCCAAAATATAGCAGTATGGATAAAGAAACAGTTTAATTTTATCCTTTTTTTTTTTTACAATATAATTCAAAGACAGTCTCAGTTCCCCTATTATGTAGAGTCTAAATTAAGTCTGTTAATATTTATTAGACAAATCAATGGTTTGCTTAGGCTAACTGAAGTTCTATGGTACCGTCAGGCACATGTGTGTACACAGTACTCATGTAAACAACAGCAAGGGAAAATACAAGCAGTGTTTCACTTAGGCCTTCTATAAAATCAGATTAGTAGAGCAAGTTAACTTTACAGTGCAAATCCCAATGAGAATAAACAGGACCAAAACTTCCCAAGTTTTGTTTTGAAGTGAAACTCTTTAAAGCATAAGAGGACAAAAAGAGGTTTTAAACTTTTAATGCAGTCCTGAGCACCACATCGTTCTCTTCAATTTTGTAGAGGAAATGTCATTAGCAACACCAGTGACATGGGCTTACCCACCACAGTCACCATGGCCAACAGCAGCATGCAGTGTCTGCACTGCAGAACCACCCTGGATGGTCCTGCAGCGGACTGTTAACCAAGCTAAATACATCGTACTCCGTCTAGAACACAGTTCTCCTACCTGCAGCACCAACTTCACCATAGCTATCACAATCGAGTAACCTGGTCCATACACGGCAAGTTACAGCTACGTGTACAGACAGTAACTAAAGCTACTTTCACTCAGACAACATCTCATGCGATTACCCTGCTGACAATTAAATACAGTGATAATCATGAGACAAAAAGAGCTGTTGAAGTACTTAAGTTTAGTCTCTCCATTTTCTCATCGTTTAAATTCCCTTTACATCCAGGTGGTACAGTTGCTTGAGGTGTGCTTGATTCATAGAAAGAAAAACAGAATTTAAGGCATGTTTAGTAGTATTAATGAAAAATGACTTATTAAAAATAGGTGGATTCCCTTCTTTCCAAGTAAGTATAATGTAGAAAACAAAGTGTAGATTACCAAAACCAGCAGTGTTCACCCATTCTGACCTGCTTATAGAAATAAAACAAGGGCCCTTGGCAACCTCAGAGAGAAACAACCAGCTAACTTCTTAAACAGCTAAGTAAAATTCATATAAGAACACTGCTAGTGCTTTTAGACCCTGCATTCATGTAGGCTTAGCAGTATGTCTGCTGTATGCATCTCAAACATTTAATTCTATCATTCTAGACAAAACACAATTAAGCAGCACTCATGGAAATTGTCAGTTATTGCAAATCTGCAAACACAACTTGAAATAAACACCAGATAGGGAACAGAAGCATGAATCCAAATCTTTCTGTCAAAGAATATAATTGTGGTGAATGAAGAAAAACAAAAATTCTTGCAAAGAATCAGGGTCAGTATTTCAGATACTTAGAAGGTTTATACTAGGAATACAAGCAAAGACTGATCTAGTGTGTTATGTAGTGTAACACAAGTATTGATGAGGTATAATCTGTAAGCAGTTCCCATAAATACACTCAGGCATGAGCCATTGACTTCTCTGCCACAGTTACTCTGTAGAGAAGTTGTGGACTGGAGATCAGCAGAAGTCTGCCTTAGCAGGACGGAACCTGTCCCCTGCTGTACACAAACCTCTTCTGCTTACAAAAGTCCACAGAGTATGTTAGACGTATAGCAAGAATATATATGTTCAATAGCATAGTGAAATTGTCCTTTTGGTATTACTAGTACTATAGATCCTATTAGTATTTGGATATACACATACAGGAATATGCACATCCAAAAAGTAAATCTTCAAAGCCATTTTAAAAAAATAGAAGCTAAATTAGGAATAAGCTACATTGCAAGAAGCTTCCTGCAGAATTATATATTTAAGGTAATAATCTTTGAACTAAGACTTAATATAGCTACTGCATTAAAAATGGCTTGCTGTGAAATCTTAATCTCACTTTATTCCCACCCAATCAGACACATCTTCAGGATTGTGATTCAATGATTGTTTAGCAGCAGTTTTAGAGAACTGTAAATTCTTTTATTAACAGGCATTATAAACAGATACTACTACTTTTATTTAAAAACCATGAGTGCCACATTGATGAATATACAGCTCATGAATAACTTAAAGTATTTCCCATATTAAAAGGCAATGCACACAGCATACAAAAAGTATACTAAACAAAGCTATGAGGATACGTGATTGAAGTGTCTAAAATGATATATACAGTACATAATTAATGTTTGCTTTATATTCAGTACAGGCTCTGTACTGCCATTCCCATCATGCCTCACTTTCCCCTGACACTGAGTTTTGCACTTCTTCTTCCAAAATGGGTACAATCAGGTTATCCTTGGACATCAGGTTGTACTTCATCACAAACTTAGTGAACCGGTGACACAAGAACGTTTCATTCTGGAGGTGAAAAAAGGGGAAAAACAATATATACAGAAGGAATATTTTAAACAATTGAGCAGAACATACTAAAAGAAATCTGCTTATATGTGAGTATTAGATTTACAAGTCTTAGTAATGCTGAAATGGTAGATTTATATTACTTCTTTTAAGTCTTTCCTTTACTGCTTTGCTTATAGTTACTGCAATTAACAAAAAACCCTGCTGAAGTTCAGGCTGAAGTCACAGCTCCATTCCGCAGCACTTGGACAAGAATATATTCAAATTTCAGTGTAGTCCTGATCACTCTCCAAAAGAGAATGTTAAGGTATTGTGGAACCCCTCTTACATATGCTATCCCCAACAGACCAGGGCACAGCCCTCCCATAGCTATTCCAGCAGCCTTAAGTGAGATTGGCAAAGGTTTCTTCTTCCTCCAGCTATACTCAATACATCCTTTCTATCTGGAAGTTTCTACTTTTCCATAAAAAAACAAGTTGGCAGTTCCTGGAGGTGCACAAGCTGACACCAGTTACTCTGTTTCTTTGGAGTTTTACAGTTCCTTAACTGTTGTGTGACATACATACACAAACAGGAACCATACACCTATAAGCAGTACTAACTACACCAAGCGCTGGCATACATTCAGGAATCTTCAAACCAAGGTGAATTCGAGTTGTTTCTAGAAAAACTCTCAAATTCTGACCTTTCATCCAAATGAAACCATAACTGGGTAACTAATTCTACAAATTAATTTTCATTGTTATATATAGGTATAACATAGCAATTCAGTTCTTGTAAAACTGTCATCTACTATAATCAATGCTTCACTTGAACGCAGATCTTCTGCTAGGACTATCAGAAAGCATGTAATACAGTTACATCACAGTTATTACTTCAGTAAATGCCCTTCCTCCGGGATGTAATTTAAAACTACTTACTTCATATTCATCAAATATCTGCCGGTGATGAAAATAAGCATGTGAAAATATTCTGTAAATCCTTCGGCACACCGATCCTAATTTGGCTACAGAGGATTCCTTTATGCTAACCCTGTAAGCACCAGGACAGAGGTTACAAAACAGCTCTACCAAAAAGACGACTGAGATAAGATACATGTCGACACGAATTCTGATTGTTAAACTATACTAGAAAATTTCATTTGTAATTTAGACTTAAGTGTTACAGATACCTGTGTCTGCAGTTGCTTCTTTTTGGAAGGAAAATAGAAATGTCAGTATGTACTGCATATTTAAAAGTCATACTCTGCAAGGTTTTGCCTCTAGTTAAACACCACTCGTTATTCTGCTAAAGGCTGTACTACTGGTTTCTAGCACTGATGGGCAAAGGGAAGAAGACTTCCTATTGTATCTCCTTTGCAATACTGGATTCCTAGATAAGCACAATTTTGACTTCTCCAGTTAGGTTTCTATGAGACAACATGTGGGCTGCCCATCAAGTACACTCCATCTCTGTATTCTGTGGTCACTGATGTCCCACAGTGGATTGGTGTTGGCTTCTGGAGGCTTTCGGTGCCGTAGCATCCTCTGAGTCATTGTGTCTCTAAAAGCCATCCTGTTCTTTAGGTTGGCACTACACCACTGGAAGCCCCCTAACACTGGTATTAGTGAAGCAGTTCCCACCTAAGAAGGACCCATCAGCTCCAGTAAACGGCAAGGAATTCCTCCTTGGCTTAAATGTGACAACAGGCCTACCACCAAGTGACACATGCAGGACCTGACATGCTTTCAGTAGCAGTCCATGAAAAATGCCTTTCAATATACTTCCTAAGTGGCTAGGTACCACCTATTCCCTCCCTCTCTCCCTCCTCCCAAGAGAAAGCATTTTTACCTGCTGGGGAAATATTTATTGCTATTCAGGAGACATGCAGCTCCATCAAGTGTGTGTCTGGTGTAGTCTATAGCAGGACACTACAAAAAGAGACAGTAAGTGAACACATGTATGAGTGTGTGCATGATGCTGTAATATAGCTTGTTGAAAGAGAAGCATTTTAATTATGTTTCCTGATGCTTTTATTCCCAGAAGTTTCACATAGCTTCTCTGAAGGTCTAACTCCACTTCTTCCTTAGGCGAGCCATTTCTTTTCTCTCTTTCACAACCCGTGTGAATCAATCAAGAAAAAAGTTACTATGGAAATGTGACTGTGCATGAGCAGTGAATTTCATGCATCTCATGAAGTAAAGCTGTATAATAATACATACACCCCCTGAAAGGAAAGATGATCATTACCTCGCCAGTCCATTTGTTTCCCACACAGAGTCAGTCTTTTACAGGCTATATTAACACCTTATAAAAAAAACTTAACCAAAACCACCCAAAACAAAGCCAACCAACCAACCAAACCTGAACCTAAGTATATCAATGCTTTTTGCCTCGGCAAAGAAAACCAAAATTAACAGATAACCAAAAAGCATAGCAAGAGTTCAAGTCCTGGCTCTGCAATAAAGTACATGTAGAGAAGGAAGAAAGTAACAATCTGAGCCAGGCTGAGAGCACAGGAATGAATGTCTGTACATTTTGCCATTCCCCAGTTTCAGGAAGGACTTCTCAGTTGCAGATTTTTGTCAGCAGGTTGCATCACCCACTATCTGACCATTAGTTGATAGCTATTATTGATATGGAAAACAGCAGGTGACTGGTGCATGTTGAGAGAGAAAAAGCTGCCTGAAATTCTCCAGTCTAGCTGAATAAAACAGACTGAGTGCATGCCAATACACTCGGTAGCAAAGAGCGTTAGAGGAAGGAGTGGAAAAGAAGTTGGCCTTCAGAGCTAAATAAGTCATCTCAGGAAACTACAAAACAAAAACAAAGCAAAAGGCTAAGGTTAAAAAAAACCAATACCTTATTCTGGAAGGGGAAATACAAAGATAAATATGTCAGACTGCCCTGCCACCATAACCAACAGCGACAGAGACAGACCTTCTGAAGGACAAGGAAAAATAAAGCTGTATCAAGTGCTTCAACAGGAGATCAGAACAAAATTAAAGTAACTGGACAAGCTACTGCCACGCTGATACCCCAACTGACATACACGATTTTTACGACTCCACTACCTTCTAGGAGTAACTCCCCCAACAATGTGCACATGCAGCCACTCTCAGAGTGTCAGGCTCACGTGCCTAGTGCTATGGATTGAGGCCAAAGTCTGAAGAGGACACCCTATTCTCAGCATGTACTCTTCTTTCTGTTGAACAAAGACCTTTTCCCACTCAGTTCCAGGCTATCTCAACACCAGTTAAAGGACAAAAGAGGGGAATATGCAAAGTCTCTAATACTGTGTTAAAAACAGTTTTTTCCTACCTCATCCCGTTCTTTCATAACCACTACAGAATGGGAAAGAAGAAAACCTTAAGTGATATTCTTAGCCCACATAAACTGTCAGTTTGACTAAGGAGCTACTATAATTGTCTCCACATGAACAAAAGAACTGTAACAGACAATCCTACATCAATAGGGTCAGTTTTCCAGAATACATCCATACCTCTTTGGGAGTTTTATGAGCTGCACAAAGAAAAATCCATTGTTCAGTTGCTGTCATCTGAGTACATGTGTCTGGGTGACATTCACTCTGTTAAAACAATTTTTCAGTCATGAAAACCACCCAACAGCAAAAAACGGGCTGATCTTTTCAAATCACTTTCTTGTCCTGTCCCCCACCAAAAAGGGAGTTTTGCCCCTTTAAAGCCCTAAAAGACTCTTACCTCAAACCACTGCTTAAGTCAGTGTGTATAAATTTAGATGAAAGCTCTGCAAACTCCACATCTTACAATACAAAAACACAGTCTCCTCCCTCATACAACATAGAAACATCAAGAAAAGAATTACCTGCAGCTTGACAGCTAGTCCATTGAGCTCAAGGCAGAATTGCCTAAAAAATAATGAACGTAGCAGCATCAAAATCAATTTGGTTTTCTACTTGAAACATCTAATAAAAACCAAGGTGATACATTCTGATTGTCACAGATACCTTAACAGTTTGGGATTCTTGTGAAGTGGAAGAAATACAACAGCACATGAAAAATATACTTAATGGATACTATCAAATAATATCAGCTGTCACACCTGACCAGGCAATAGGCTAGGAATTGACACGCTATAAAAGGACTAGAGGTTGAGAGAAACAGAATTCATGCCAGCAATTTGTACTCAGCAAAACTATTACAGTTTAATTCTTACCTGAGAGTAGAGGCTGAGCTTAACAAATAATTTAGTGGAAGTGTTTCAGATCCCAACTTTGTTAGGGAAGAAAGCACTACCTCAGGCTAAAATGAGGAACACTTCAAGAAAATGTTAGCGTAATTTTTAGCGTAAGGTGTCCCTGCCCACGGCAAGGGGGTTGGAACTAGATGATCTTAAGGTCCTTTCCAACCCTAATTATTCTATGATTCTAAAATCAGTTTCTTAAGAATGTTTTAAATTCAGACAGCTGGAGCATTTCATCTTTGTAGGATATTCTTCCTCCAGGTCAATCAAGTGGCTAAAGCCCCACCACAGGTCATTAATAGAGTGGGCTTTGAGAAACCCTGCCTTCACTAGAATGTACCTGAAAGTGCATTCTTCAACTTTAGAGAATCCACCCCTCCATCCTGCAGGAAAATCTGCATGAATTTTCCAAAAGCAACAAATATTTAGGGACCAGTCACTCCTGTGAATCTACAGTGATTTTAAGTGGTGTATGTGAAGGACGGAGGAAATCATACATATACACCTTTTACACTTTTGAGGATTCTCTGCATCTACTGCAACTATTCCAGAGCAGAGGAGAGAAAAACAAAACAGGAGGCAAAAAGACAAGATATTTAAATATAGGGGTAGCTTAGAACTATTCCTATTCCTGAAAGTGTATTTGGCAATTTGTATTTATCAAAAAAGAATCAGGACACAAGGATACTAAAGTAATGCCAGGAAAAAAGGATTACTACACACGTACTAATAAGGTGTAAACCTACACTACAACTGAAAAAGACTTTCAGGCACAAACTATCAAGGCTGAACGTCTTTGTTACACTGCATAAAACAAACTGAAGAAAGACAAAAAGTTTTGGGTTTCCTTACAACTAGGTAAAGAACCGTGAGACACAGGTACTCCCGCTTTCCCACCTAACGCAAGTTTCAGAAGCACTGGGAGCATCTGGAAATCACATTCCCAGTTACTGAAGATGAAAAACTGATGATACTATGAGAAAGTGCCATGGAAATTCATGACTGTATTTTCACATTCAAAACACGCTAATACAACTTCTGAAGTGAGGTACAAACATTTTCTTCAAAACCTTAAAAAAAAAAACTAGATCACAGCACATCATAAACCTTAATAACAAGGAATTCAGAAAATAATCAATACCAAAGTATAATAATGTTTAATAGTAGGAATATCAAGGTTCATTTAAGTTTCTTTTGATTTGTCATATTCAAAAAGACTCAGTATCTATGAACAAAACTTAGAATCAGGACACTTATGTTGACAAAAGATAGATTCTCACCTTAAATGTTCATACTTCCATACACCTTCATCCTGGCCTTCAGGAGGTTCAAGGATCTTATCAATGTTGGAGCAGTCTGCCCTTATGTTTTGCTGAATATACTAGGAAAGGGGAGGAGAAAAAGTGGCGATCTTGTGGTAATTATAGTAATACAGTATATTTAGGGCATTACATCTTTCAGGGTCTTACTTTTTCTCTTTACTTAAGGAGTGACTGACAGGTTAAAAATTAAGGAGTAGACAGGCAGGGTAAAAAAACTGGTATAAAAAAAAAAAAAGCCAGATCTGCAAAATGCCTTTGCTCAATTAGAAAAGGTAAAAGAATGGGTGAATTATACAGCTTTTTGCGACATCCATCCCAAAACAAAGGAACCCCCACTATTTTCTTTAACCTGCTTTGTTTAAACCAGACATGGGAATTAAGAGTTATTTATGCATACACAATTGATAACTACTTCTTTTAAAATCTATGTAGGGTGCTTATGAAATTCACTTCCGTTCAACACAATTCTGAGCAGACACAGCGCATACCCTGTTCTATGGGTTTTCACCAAGATACGAAACTTGGGAAACTGAACTTAATAACAACATTCCACAAAAGGAAGAATACCTGCTGAACAGCTAATGTGCTATCCATTTCTTCAAAGGATTCATCAGGCCAATTGTAGAAATCCTGTTAAAAGGAAAAGTTTAACCTAATTTAACAAACATGGAGGCAGAAGAAGGAAAGCACACAGCCTACAGTAAGCTTGGACATGCAGGAAAATAGATGTAGTTCATACAATTCCAGGAAGCTACATCTGAACAGAAGCAGCACAGAGTCTTGGCGAGAACAGGGACTTATGTTCCTAATGTTACAATACTGGAACATCTTGAAGTTAAAGTCTTGGCATATTGTCTTCATCATCTGTCCCCTGCATCTTCCTGTAGCACCTTTATGGCCTGTATTCTTTAATGCATGCAGTGCCCGTTTCACATGTTAGACCATGTAAGACTGGGGAAGAAAAGAGGTCTGCAGAGAGCAGCATTGTACAATGGTTATGAAACTAAAAATCCCAGTATGTTCTAGTAGTAACACACCACTAAAAACACCTCTGAACTCAGGTAATGTAACGCAGCATTGGTCTAACTTGGTACTACCCCTCTTGCTACAGTCAGTAGCTGCATAACTGGATGGCTATCAGCTGTGCTAACCCACAGTGTTTAATACTGTTAATTATAAAACCCTCCTGAAGTTTCACCTCAGATCCATCAGTGTTCTGCAGCAATTCACATCTACCTGCAGCTACCATCATCCCAGATGGTGTATTTGTTACTCGGCCACAGCCATCCTAGCAGCCACAGTGACTGGATGGAAATGCTCGAGCTGTGAAGCTTAGCAATCTGTTCTTGAGACAATAGTCTCATGTCCAGAGAACATATCTAGAGTGAACACATTCTGCTGAAATACCACTAACTGTATTTGCATACAGAATAGCCATACCACAGTGCCATCCAAAATTAACAATTTAAATACAGCCATATAGCTTTTTTACCTATATGATTGCATCACTATACACAAAATTCTTCAACCTACATGAACTCTTAACAGAATACAGACCAGACCTAGGTCTATGTCCAGTTTACCAGCTTATTTTTCAGAATACCCCAGATTTATCAAAGGCACACAATGTTCTGTTTCCTTCACAGATTAAACATGTACAGAGTGAACCCATGTACAAGGCTGTGTATTTATTTTACCTCCGTACCATACGACAAAGCATAGAAGAGATGCATTTTTTCAAAAGCATTGTGTCATACGCTGCTGTTTCTGACCATGAGCTCTCCTCACCAGAGTGTGAGCATAAAGGCCTCACAGAGGATTACACCTCTGACACTATCTAAAACCCGCAGGTTATGATGTGTTTGAGATGCACCTTTTCACGACGGCCTTGAAAGCACAGAAATACCTTAATTTCTACGAACAGAAGCGCTCTCTCGCCGGCCGGGAGCGCAGGTTACGCAAGGGAAGGATGACTTGTCTCTCCTGATGCGCAGGCCAGGTATCTATCGCCTGTGTGACGGTGCAGAACTCCCAGCCCACACTCCCAGATCACACAGGGGCCTCGCTCAGCTCGATCCGGACCCAGCATTTGAACAGCAACAGCAGTCACACACGGTGGCTGTCAGAACAACACCCTGCCTGCAGGAAGCCCCGGGCCCCAGGAGCAGCGCTTCGCCTCAGCCAACACCCGGTCATTCCACAAGAGCTCTCACGCTACCGCGGCTACCGGCGTCCCGCGCCCAACGCCAGCCACCGCGCTCCGGAACGCCGCACGGCTCTGCCTGCCGAGCCGGAGCCTGGAAACCCGAGGGAAGCACGGCGACCGAAACCTGCGGGCTGGGGGCAGGGGAGGCGGTGGTGCCGCAGCGACCGCTCCCCCCGCGCCCGGCAGAGAAAGCAGCGCCACGACCCCCGGCCCGCTCCCCTGCCGCCGGAGCTCGCCCAGGCCGCGGCCCGGCTGCGCGGAACAAAGCGATCCCGCGGAGCGGCGCCCGCCGCCCCAGCCCGCCCCACCGGCCAGCGCTGGGCCGCGGTAGGCCCGGCGAGACCCGCGGCGACACCCCGACCGCCAGCCGGGCCCGGCGCCTCTGCGGCGGAGCTGCCCGTCCCCGCGCACCGGCCTGGCGGCGGCGGCAACATCTCACCTGGGCCTTGGTGCCCGGCCTGTTCCTCCTCAGCACTGCCGTCCCCTCCGCCATGACCATAGTGACAGCGGCGCCAGGACCCGGATGCGGCAGCGCCGGGCGGGGCGGCGGAACAGGGGGAGGAAGCGGAACAGCCACAGGCGGGCAACGCGGGGAGCGGGAACTGCCGCGGGGCGGGGCCTCTCGCGAGAGGAGCCGGCCCTGGGCAGGGGCGGGCGGGCGAGCGGGACCCGGGCACTTCCCTCCCTCGGCCTTCGGAGCGGTCCGTTCGGGTGTTGTTCCCGCTCCTGCCGCGGGGCGGCGCCGGACAGCCGTGCGGGAAGCTCGCCGGTTGCCCGGGACGGCTCCTTGGAAAGCAGATCTGTGAGCGCTGTACTGGTGAGGAACAACCTCCCCTCCTTTTCCCCCTTTCCCCTGCCCCGGGAGATGGGGACAGCTTTAACGGTGGTTCCTGTCGCTTTGTGTCCTGCGGTGCCTCGCCCGGGTGAGCGTGAGGCCGGCTCCACGCTGGGCTGCAGGGCAGCGAGCGGAGCTGTTGGGTTGGTGAGATGAAGTCCCTGAGGTGAACGAGCTGAGTGGTTGGTGAGGAAATGCGTTCTTCAGGTTTCAGCCCGTTTCATCAGTACCGCACTGTCGGCATCTGACTCTGTGCGCTCCCACAAGGTCAGTCCTCCATCTGCACGACGCAACTGAGGCTGTGGCATTTCGTACAGTGTAAACCATAAGGCTGGGATTTTTACAAAATATCTTAAGCCCTAGATTAAAGATACGTATTTGCTAATGCTAAGAATAACGAATTTGAAAAACTCGCCCAACAACAGTGATTTGGGACAAAATACTTCAAACAAAGCAGGCCTGAAATCTTCCAAGGTCTTCAAAGGCGGGATTGACAGCCTTGTGACTGGTGTGCAGAGGTCACAGGCTGCTGTGGTAATGGAAAACAGCTTAAGTTTCAAGGTTTCCTATGTCAGGTGTTGACTGTATTTGGGAAGAAAACATAAAAAGGCACTGTTAGCTGAGAGATGTCTGATAAATTGGGCACTGTTAGAAGCAAGCAGAGACTTTGGAAGGCTCGAGTCACTTGTTAGTTCTGTAGGATAAGTGAGAAGAAAATGTTTTGGAAGCTGTTCTGTTCCCAAGGGATAAGCAGTAGGAATAAGGACAAATGTAATACAATGTAGGAGTACAGAATAAGTAAGGAAGGGTGAACTAATTCTATGAGCAAGAATGATGCAGCACCAAGGTAGAGATGTGAGATACAATCAGCAAGTAAATAGCTGCAGTTCAATGTTGATTCCTGAGCAGTGGAGAGTGCTGGTACCTGATGCTGATCCTACTTCCACTGCATTACAGGATGCACTCTGGGTGTTTCCCCCCACTGGGTCCATTTGCTTGCCCACATTAAAACCTCTCCCTTCTACCCAATGAGAGCTAGAGTGTGCACAACGTATCTGTATTGGAAACATTGGAAAATCCCTAATTAGGTTTTCTCATCAGAAAGAAAGTGCATCTTGAATATGTATTTCACTGAGGCAGTGCCGTGAGCAGGATGTCTCCTTATTCAGGAGGTCAGGTTAGAGCTGAAAGCTGGGCAATGTGCGAGAGACCAGAAATAGGTAACGGGGTCACTTCCTGCATGGGTGCCTGCACCCAGCTAAGGGGCTCCATTCACGTTATACTGTAACACAAAGGGGGCAGTTCAGCTGCAGGCACCCAGTTGGGTTTGCACTAGTTACATTTTTACTGCTGGTCAGCATTCCTGCCCCAGGATGTTAGCTGTTTGACCTGTGGTGAAACTCTACTCAGCAGTTTGTGTAAGAAACCATGGAAAGGTGAATAACCTCGGGAGAAATTGGGGCAAAGAAAACAGAGGGTACAAATGGCCTATTACTTCTCTGCCCATGGCAGGGGGTTGGCACTAGAGGATCTGAAGGCCCTTTTCCAACCAAAACCATTCTATGATTCATGAGAATTTATGAGATTGCTATTAGCCAGCTCTAAAATAAAAGCAATTCCAGCAGTCTTTAAGATTTAAGTCCTTTAAAATTCAGCAGCTTGTTTGGATTTGCTTTTTTGTTGTTTTGGCTTTACTTTTTCTGTCACCAAACTCAAGGTTTAACTGTAATCTAAACAACAGAGGAGTTGAGAATTTGACATTTCCATTTGTCCCTGACTTTAATTTCATGGACATCTTGCTTCTAAAATAGAAATAAATCTGGCTGTGAAGAAATACCCCCCAGAGATAAATATCTGTTAGCTCAATCTGCAGCTGCTTTGCAGAAAAGGGAAAGAAATGTGCAGTGCTTGTTAATGAAGATGTTAAAGTCTGTTGATCTGTTGAGTTGTCCCTTGATATTTAACCCGGTATTTCTGGAAGCTTCTCATTGTTTCTGTTTTATTGGATGTCAAGTTGGCTTTAAACAAAACGTGATCAACTTTGTTTGGTTTTCACCTGGTCCTCATTGCCTCAAGACCTTTGAGGGTGAAAAATGGAATATTTAGCCAAAATCTTACTGCCTATTCCTGTGCTGTTAGGGATCTGACCTTCCCTTCTCCTCTACTGGTGTGTAAAGGTTTCAACCTTTTCTTAGTATAGCAAGATAACAATGAGGATGATAAAGGTTTTATGGAAACAGTATAGCTGCTGCTAATGGTGGTTCTGAAATGTTAAGAAAGAAAATGAATGGAGGTAGATGGAGTTCATCTTGTTTCCTTGTGATTCAGACAGCCTGAGGAGAGGCTGGGAAGGGCTGTATCCACCCCGAGAAGGAGGTAGGGCAATATGTAACATTTTAACCAAAATTGAAGCTTTGGAGTAGAAAACAGGGAATAAAGAAGTCTAAATTCCTCCAGGAATGACACAGCAAAGAGCATTTATGATTGATATACAGAACCAGAGGGGTCTAGAGTTTGGCATTCCCTCATGGACTAGGGCACAGTAGAAGCAGATGGACCACCTTGGCTGTGTAACAGTTACCTTGTCCTTGCAGTGATAGCCTTGTGGTGCAAGAATGAAATGTTCTGTTTACCATTCCAGCAAATGTTCATGTATGTCCTTCATTGGGTTAGGCCGAGGAATACTCTGGGTTTGCTTTTTATCTACATCCATAAATTACTTATTCCCATGAAAGCTTTCAGGAAAATGTGACTTTTGTGCTTAATCAATTATGTGAACAGTAGTGGATATAGCCACACAAAACAGTTTATTGAATAAACATACCAAGCTGCTGCAAGCATGGCTAGGGTAGACCTGGGGGGAGACAAGCTTGTGTGGTGGGCACTTGGCAGCCCTGCTGCATGGATTTGGAGTTTGCTGTGATCCTGCTGGGGAGAGGGCTGGTACAGGGGGGTGCTACCTCGGCTGAGGAACAGCAAGTGGAGGTAAGGGAGGAAGTGCTGCCTCAGGTGGCACCCTGACAGCTTGTAGTGCCTCCTCTTCAAGAACTGCAAATGTCATGAGACCATTTGCTGAGTGGGGATCCCATGTAATTCGTATTTCTGGAAGACACCATTGAAAGAAATGCTGAAAGGACTAAATGTTTCTCTGTTGGGAGTTGATTCTCATTGGGATGGGGTCTAGTTTCCATTTGTAAGTATGTTAAACATCTTCCCCCTCTTTGGTATGTGACTACAGCCGCATACCTCCCTTATCATGCAAGATAATGCTTCCCAATCAGTTTGCATTTCATTACACAATCAATTGTCTTTCAGGATGCTGGTAGTGTGGTAAGGTTCAGCTGTGCATTGCTGCAGCTAAAGTAAAGGTGCAGCAGGGCAGGTTTGAAGAGGTAGGCCTTTTATGCTAAAACATGTATTTTAATATAACAACTTCCCTGGTAGTTACATCAAATTATTTGATTTGGAAAGGACCTTAAGTTCATCCAGTTCCAACCCCCCTGCCATTGGCAGGGACACCTCACACTAGACCATGTCACCCAAGGCTCTGTCCAACCTGTGATCGTTCAGTGGTTTTTAACAACCTGAACTGTGTGACCTTTGCCTACAGCTCTGCAGTAGGTAGGTGGTAACCAGCAGCACACCCCAGTTTTGGGAAGCAAAAGACATGATAGCCAAGACTGTCAAACACAGTAGCTCCTAAGGGAGTGGGTGGGTGATTAACTGGATTATCTAAGTACAAAAGTGGCTCTAGCTCACCTCCGTGCTGTTTATTACTGCTGTGGGGAAGAGCCCAAAACTGCCCTGGCAGAAAATACCTTGTTTCAGAATGTCAAAGCTGCAGCCCCCCACTGCAGCTACTCAAGCTCTGAAAAATGTATTTCATTACAGTCCTTTCCGGCTACCTCCCAAGTAGGGCTTTTACTGTATCTAGCAATGTTAATTTTGTAGCACCTTCAATGGAAAGGAGAAAGAATTACCACTTAACTCCTGCTATTGAAGTTTCAGGAGCAGTAAGTCATATGCTCATTTATTTCACCTAAGATGGGATCAAGATCTCAATGCAGAGTACATTCTTAGAATGCACTAGATCAATGTATACATACCAACTCTGAAAGCATCACTAGGAACACAGGGTATAAAGTCTAGATTTGTGTATTCCTACACAAGCAACCTTGAATCCTTTTCCAAGGCAAGATAAGGGGGTTGCAAGTAAGCAAATGTGATTGCTTCAACATTACTTAAATAAATGTCTTGATATTTAGAAATGTTGTTGCATTAAGGATAAAGGAAATCAGTTTGTCAGCTGAAGTTTTGGGAAAGTTGGAGACCTGGCCTGAGATAGCAATTAGTGAAGAAGCACGCTTTGAAAAACCAGCATCAGCAGCCCAGTGCTTGACAGAAGTTACTGGCTTTCTAGTGGCAAAATTCAGTGAGAACGATGTAAAAAAACCCATGGGTATGAATAGTACCAAGCTGCTTTCAGATGGCTGTGAGACAACCTGTTCATGGCAGGGCTCTTTGTGGGTATACAGCCTCTCAGCTGTATCTGAAACAGGAGTTAAACATGTTATCTTAAGCTAAAGCTCAATGTACAAGGGAGGGCAGCTGGAGGTCCCTTCACCACTGCATCTGTATGTTAACCATTTTAAACTCATCTCCCAATTCCATGCAAGTTTAGGGAAAACAATGCATCACTCCAATTGAAGTGTTTCAGAGAGATGAGTGCATTGAACAACTGAGACTCAGTTTCACTGAGCAACAGCAGAAACTGAGACAGAAGCAGAATAGTTTTAGAAGTTTATTGTAAAGACCTTTACACTCTCAGTACAGAGATAAGGATATAAAATGATGTTGTTTGGAATAATTAAGGCTGGTTGGTGGTCATCTGACCTTCACTGTCCAGTGGAACTCAAGCAAGAGCAACTGATTTCTGACTGTACACGTTTTTATTTGCGTTCCATCATTACAGTGAGATCACAAGCTATTTCAGAGACTCAATGCCTGTTTACTATAAAATAAAGGACATTATTTACATGATGAAAGAAAAATTTCAGCATTTTAGTGGAATGGATGACTGATGCTGCAGCAGGTTTAGTCCACGTATTTCCCAAGAATATCACCATCTCTGAACAGGTAGTAGTCCTGCAAGGAAAAGGAACATTAGTGCCTGTTGTATGGATTGGTTTGCTTGTCTTGTTCTGAAGTCAGGGCTACCACAGTCATGAAGTGCAAAATCAAAAGTGAGCTAACCAAGATTAGCTCCACACATTGACTTCTTGAACAGGTGTTTCTGCTCCTTCTGTCTCTTCTCCTTTGGGAAAGCTACCATGTTACTGGTTTTAGTAGTAGGAAGTACAAGAACTGTTAGAAGACAGTTACATAAACTTTCTCTGGCAAAAGCTAGGATACCCTCAGCAATTTCAAAGCCTTTCTGGGCTCCTTCTAATACATGCTTGGCATGAGGAGCCACTTCATCTACTCAGCAAAGGTCAGGCCAGAAGTTTCCTTGGTTACTTCCTTTTAAGCTAGGGTGGAAATAGTCAGTACTACAAGTACCAGAGGCTGGCTGAATCAAGCTGCTCCCATTCAAATACCAACCACTGCATTTCTTGGATGCTGCTGACACTATGAAGTAACTACAGGATTTATCACCAGCAGTGCGACATTTTGGAAACCAGCTTACACTGCATTCACGAAGCTGGGATACTCACCTTATCTTCTAGTACAATCTTAGTACCACCATATTCCGGTAGCAAAACCTTTTCACCAACTTTTACACTCACTGGCTGAATCTCACCATTCTGAAAGAAAAAAAGAAAGCCTTAGTTTTACGCTATACAGACAGATGTAACAGAATTCCTCCAAACAGCGAACCATCCACATATAAAGCACTCAGGAGATCACAACTCTATTTTCATTGTGCAATGAAACTAGCATACCCAGGTGTACTAGGAAACCAAGCCACCAGTCAGTTATCAAGCATGGGAGTCCTGCAATATTTAGGCAGCAGAACCACAGTGATTTTGGGTATATAACTGGTTTTCATTTATTTTTGAGTACAAATACAACTGTGAGGTCTTTCCTTGACAAACAAAGTAGGATTTCACTTAAAGAAAACCACCCAAGAAACCTCAGAAATTAAGTGACAGACCAAGAAACCCACTTCTCAAATAAACGGAGAGTCCATGTCCATACTCTGTAGCCAAGGCTAATTTTTCCCAAATGCCAGTCAGACAAACCTTCCCATCTCTTACCGCGATCAACTTGTCACTGTTGCTAATGAATCGTTTAGAAACACCTGATTAAATCTAACTGTATTTGTGCAGTATAAAGGAATCATTAGCATATTAGTTAAATATTAGCACTATTTCATAATACAAAGGTTTAGAATCAGATATGACACAAACCAGCATGACATGTATGGAAGAACCCAGAGTAAAGACAAAGGCTGAGTCAACATAGCCAAGTTGAAATTTAACCTGTTTTACACTATCACTTCTAACTGAACACTGCTTTGCTGGGGAAACACCTTCTGATGCTGAGGCCCACAGCCACTGGTGGCTTTGTGAAGTGAAAACAGTGTCTTTTTATGATCACAGATGCATATTCAACATGCAAAATTAGCAAAAAATAGTATCTGACACATTTATTTTGATTTCTGATTTTATTTTGTCCAGTAAACCTGATCCTTACAGACACAGCACCAGACAGTGAATGCTGCACTGTGGAATTCCACCCTGCTCGCAACTCACAGGAATTCAGGCATGTAATTGTTTTAACACAGAAGGCTGCTGGTGCTTCAAGGTTTTGGCTGAGAAGTGGTGCAGTTTAAAAAGCAGGTATTTTCCATTTTACAAACAATCAAAGGAATGCTGAAATTCAAGGCCAGAGCCAGTCAGGAGAATTTGAGGTTTCTACCTCCTCCCTGAATCTGTACTTCCAACTTCAGTCATCAGTCATCCATTTCAGTGAGCCATCGCTACACTTACACTGCAGCCATTCCTTCCTTATGATGATATTCCAGCTACCACCACACCATTACTACTCCAACCCAAATGTAATGCCTCAGGATATTTACCTTTCCTCTGGCTCCCGATCCAACTGCTACTACTGTTGCTTGTAGCACCTTCCCTTGAGCTTTTTCTGGAATCATGATGCCTCCTTTGGTTACTGTCTCAGCCGCACATCGTTCAACCAGAACACGATCAAAGAGGGGAAGGAATTTCCTAAAGGCTTTTCCTGCCTGTGGGAGTAATTTACAGTGAAACAAGAGGAACATTACAACAGAACAAACTGATGTCTCTTTTTCAGTTTAAGAAAACTTTATTAATAGTAGCATGCAAAGGCCACCTTTGATTGCATCAGAAATTGCTGCAGACACAAGCAGATGCTGGGCAATCCTGACAGTTCCCAGGAAGATGTACTGCAGCTGGGAAATGAACCAGCACCACATGGAGCAGCTGCCTCCTCCTCTGCCTGAAAAGCTCCATGGGTTTTAATCCCAAGACCTCAGTCACTACAGGTTGGTGAACATAATTATCAATTATACAAGCTGTATTTACTCAATTGACAACCAGATTTAGGACCCTTTGGGACAGTTGTGTTTTTAAAGTCTAGCCAGGTACCTCATGTCAGTCTTCTCTGGGTACTTTCAAGCCTCAGCATTTCACACAGCCCCAAGTTTGCAGTGAGAGTGGCGTCACTTGTACTGACTGCTACAAACAGACTGCAGTTTTACAAGGACCTTTAGCTTTGGCCCCTAAAAAGAGGAATGTAGGCATATTTCTGTCTTCATTGCTTCAGTGTCTGCCTCCGCTGAAGCAGAGATGGGGGGGGGGGTTGGTGGTGCTTGTTGAGTTGCTGGTTTTGGTGTTTGAGGTTTTTGGGTTGATTTTGAGGTTTTTTTTGTAACTACTTACTGCCACTTGTCTGTATTTCAGGAAGAACAGCCTAACTCCCATGCACCAGCTAAATGCAAGCACTGAATCCCAACAAGCAGGGGTTAGGAAGAAGGAACCTGCTTTGATTTAGGCAGGTTGCCAAGTCACACGGAGACAGGGCTCCATTGGACAGGTACCCAGAGCGAACACGCACAGAAACAAGGGCATGGCATCCACGTGCCCTTTACTGATGGCTCATCAGCGCACACAGACATGCTTTAAAATTGGGACAAGACAAACTGACAGGCAGAGCATGAAGATGCTACATGAGAGAGGAGTGTTCTGCCAAATAAGGTTATACCACAGCAATAACATTACACAGAATGACTGCTTTCATCCTGTGCCAATGGCATCTCTGATTCTGGGTGTTCTTTTTAGGTGTTTTGTATTTAACAGAAACGAGCAGCCAGGCTCATGACCGTAAGCATTCTACACTAAGAAATGCTATTTTCTCACGCTAGCAAGACTACAGAATTAAGTATTACTGCAATAGCGACCGCAACTCTGCCCTCACCCCATTCCCCTGCAAGGTCTCTATAAAAGATTACGAAAACCACATTGAGCGCCCAAGCCCGCAGCACTGACGGGTTCCTTTCTGTCCCCAGGCTCTGCGCCCCGCTCCCTTCCCGCCAGATGCGGCCCCCGCCCGCAGCCTCGCGCTTGCGGAGTAACCGCTCACCCCCCGCGGGCTGCACGACCTTGCGGCGCCTCAGACCCCGCGGGGCGCAGCCCCTGCTAACGCACGGCCGCCGAGCCGCCGTCTCCTTCCCTCCCTCCCTCCCTCACTCCCGCGGCTCAGCTCGGCGCGACTAGGCCGCCACCGACCCCCGTCAGCCTGAAGAAACTCCCGGGCCTGGCGGCGGGGCCGCGGCCCACTCAAGGACCCCGGGCAGCGACTTGCCCACAGCCACAAAGCGGTGCTGCCGGCGGGTCCCGCCACCCCTTATAGCGGAACCGAGCCAGGGAGCGGGCCTAGGGACAGTAGTGAGCACTTACCATGGCAGCTCCTCCACAGTCCACGCTAAGTGACCGCACCGCCGCAGGCACACGTGAGGAAGGTCACGGCCTGCGCATGCGCGTCCGGTGCCCCGCCCCAGGGCGGAGCCCCCCCCCCACGGCCCGGCTGCGGCCTGCTCTGGTTCCGCCGTTAACTTTGGGCCGCCGGGGCCGCGCCCTGCTCCCGCAGGCAGCCGGTACCGCGGTGGTGCCGTGACGGGCGCAGTGCAGCGCCCGCCGGGGTCAGGGGCCGGGCGGTAGCCCGGAAGTGAGCGCGGTTCAACTTTGACCTTCAGCGAGCATGACCGTTCCAGAAGGTTCTGGAAGTGGTGGGCCCCAGAACATGGGTAGTTCATGCGTGAGCTCTCCGCGCATGCGCCTAGCGGCGCTGGCGCTGCGGCTCTGCAGGGGTCCTTGGCGCGGTGGCGGCCGCGCTCCTCCCGGCGGGGCGGGGCTTGCACGGCTATGCTGGTTCCCGGGCCGGGCGGTGCGGAGCCCCACATGGGCCGGCGGCTGGCGCGGGGCGGGGCAGAGCAGAGGTAGTGAGTGCTTGGCGCGTTCCCGTTCCTGCGCGTAGATCCGCTCGCTCGGCTCCCGGTCCGGTCGGTGGAGGTGCCCGCTGCTTCTCCCCGCGCTGCCCCCAGGTGAGTGCGGTGGCTGGCGCGGTCCGGCCCTGCCCGGAGAGGGGGAGCTGCCCCCGGCCCGTTCCCCTTGCGGTACGGGTTAGCGTTCGGGGACGGGCTGCCCGCGTGGTGAGTGGCTGGGCCTGCTCCGGGTGCGCGGCGGCGTGGCTGCGGGCCGAGGCGCTGGTGTGGGGCGGTGCGGCGGGGCCTAGCGCTGCAGCGCGGCCGCGCTGGCGGCAGGGGGCGGGCGGCTCTTGACCTTGCTGCTCGTGTCCTGACGGAGCAGACCATGTGGTCGGGGGCCCGCGGGGCCCGGTCCCGCTCCCGCCGCCCTTTACATTTACTCGGGAGCCCGCGCGGGACGTAGGCCTCGCCGCGGGGCCCTCCTGCTGTTTTGTGCTGCCGGTGGGCAAGGCCTGGGGGGGGCAGCTGGGGCTGCTGCAAGCTGCTCGGTGGGTGCATCGGGGCTCCCCAGCCCTGTTAACTTAGTTACTTATACATGGCTCCACTTGAACCAGCAGGAGCGCTAAAAGCGCGTGGTCACTTGTTTTACCTCGTGAATGCTTTTTCCTCGTTTTTATGCCAGAAGTAGATGTGCAGAAATATAACGGGCACATTTTGTTCTGTATTTGTTTTAATCTTCTAGACATGCTCCGTTTACCGACAGTCCTCCGTCAGATAAGACCAGTGTCCAGAGCACTCGCCCCCCATCTAACACGAGCATATGCGAAAGATGTTAAGTTTGGAGCAGATGCTAGAGCTCTTATGCTTCAGGGTGTAGATCTTCTAGCGGATGCTGTAGCAGTCACCATGGGGCCAAAGGTAAGGGAAGAATTTACTGTATGTTAACGCTGTGACTTGGTTGAAGGCACCACAGTAGAAAGCAGTTGTTTTAGCTTGATAGAGCCGCATTATTACCACCCGCAGGTGCGTACCACGAGGTGTGGGGTATGGGCACACTGCTGCAAGCAGCCATGTTCTCCTTTTTGTCACCTGAGCAATGACAGTGGCGCCTGTGCTTTTCAAGGCTACCAAGTAAAATTAACTGGATCACTGAGAGAGAGGCAGCTTATTTGTTAAAGCAGTGTGAAGGTTATGAGGATGTGCACTGTAGGTTGCCCTGGCTCAGCTGATAGCATGTGGCAAGGCAGTGGGTAACTGTGTCTTGACATGGGTGAAATAGCATGTGATTTTATAAATATCCATTATGGGTTTATATCACTTTCAATAGTACTTTCACCTTGTTAGGTGAAAGGTAATGCTGAGTTCTCAGTTGGCTGGTAAATGTTACCAGCTTAAGTGAAGTTCCATGGCAGTGGCATTAGTTCCTGTGCCTTCCAGGAGAGGACACGGTGTCTGATCCCTGTAAGATCTAGGTCTTTGGAAGCCTGGCTGCTGTATTCTGCACCGTCATGCAATGTGCAGTAAGGCTTGAAATGAAATCCCTTTAGAAGGGAAAGACACCAGTTTTCTTTGGGCTCACAGGGATCTCTGTACACGTAACAGTGTATGTATGTTAGCTCTTTGTAGGGCTGCTTGGCATCTATAAAACTCATTCATGTATTTGTTGCACTTTTTTGGTGCTCTGTTATCTTTATTCAAAGCAAAGATGCCAGAAGCTGAGCAGATGAAGGTTAAGGGACTGTGATGTCAGCAGGCTGTGACTGATTTCCATAAAGGACCAAAGTTTAGCCACAGTGGGCTAATTTAACTCTTTTTTTTTGTGGATCAGATGGCTTGGAATGCCTCAGCATCACTCCAGTGGTTACAGGGCAGTTCCTGATGCAACTTACTGCAACCTTGTGGGGGTTTTGTTCCTGTGTTCTCACTTGGCTGTTCTCATGCATGTGTGAGATGTAGGGATTGCGCTGAGGTGGCTGATTCTGCTTCCAGCGTTTTTAGGAAATATCACTGTGGTGAGGAAAATTCCCTCTGGCACTGTTCTGTAGTGAAACAAATGTGGTTTGCAGTCTCACACAGCCTTTGGTATTGCAGCTGATACGGAGTTCCTTATCAGGACTAGTTTATGTAAATGCTTGGATTCATGAGCTGCAAGACCATGCAGGACGTGTGTTTACTGGTGGGGCTTCTTGCTTCAGAAGCACAGATAAAAGGTGTCTGTTGAGTGTAAGTCACTTAATACGATAGGATACGAGAAGATTTGTTGTACTGTTCTCCACATCAAGCAAACATGTGGAATGAGACCGTGTCAAAATACAGAATAAAATTAAGCAAAATAAATTCAGAGCTTACCCACAGCAGGATCCTCTGGAGAGAGTTTTCTTCCTCTCGAACCGCTCTGACCTGCACCTCCTGAATCTCAGATAAAACGACCGCAAGGAGTCAGGTGGTGCATTACTTTGGCGTAAGTGTTGTAACAGTTAGAATTAGGTAAAGCTTTCACAGGTTCAAGGCCTGAAGCTTATCATTTCTTCAGCCGCTTCTGGGGCTAGCTGTACCTCAGAAGCAGCGCGGCCTCGTGCATGGCAGGAGTCCAGAGCTGGTTCAGTCCGTGAGGCAGCTGTGGGTGGGCTCTGTGCTAGGGAGGAGCCGAGGGCACACACACAGCGGCAGCGGCACTGCGCGGAGGCTTTAGCTGGCTGGCTCAGCACGTGACGCGCGCTGTGCTTGGGGCCCGAGGCGCGCTGGTGTGTGATGGGCTGTGGCAGTTCCTGGGCACGAGCCAGCACAGTCAGCTCCGAGGCAGGGCTGTGAGAGGGAACTTGTGCTGCAGGATCATCGGGGAGCCGTGGTGCTGAGCGAGGGCAGTTGCTCTTCCCCTCTGCTGACAGCTCCGGGTGTCAGGGTTGCTGGATAGTCTCAGGGCAGTGCTGGATAAAGGGGTGGCTCCTCCATTGCTGCCCCTCCAGCTCAGAGTGGAATGCGGTTGATCGGGGCAGCTGTTGAAGCTATTGAATTCATCTGGGAACAAGCAGTCCTCTTGTGCAGATGCATCTGCCACTGTCCTGTGTTCACTGAATGGTCCATAGTTTCCTGTATTAACTGTGCCTGTAGGTGCTGCATAAGATAGTCCAGCCTTTCAGCTGAGTGCAAGTGTGGGCTGGGAGAAGAAAGGCTTGTTAGCTTGCAGTGCTTGAGAAGTTATTGCAACACACTAACAGATTTGTTAAGTGTTCTCAGTTCCCTTTGCTAATCGCTAATGAGGTTTGTAAGTGCCTGCTTCTCCCCCAACCCTGTGAATGTGCAATGAATTGAGCTTTCTATTAGTGTTTCTCAATCACGTAGACTTTTTATTGTGATGCAATGGAAATTCTGCAAATTCAGTTAATTATGTTGATATATTTTGATTTTAGGTGAAAATATCATTGTTAAAGGGAATGTCTCCAATTATTTTTTTTTCTGTAAGGCCAGGCTTAGTTTAACTGCAGACTTCCAGGCCTGTGGGCATTATGGCTGGGGAATGGAGTATAAAACCTTGGAGCTGTTTTCCAGTTCTGCAGCACCTTGTTAGTGTCTGCTTGGAAAAAAAGCTGCAGCTGAAAGCTTTGTGCTTTAGGGTGATTCTGTTCTGCTGTGGCTGTTCAGAAGGATCTTGAGCTGAACTCTTAGTCGTATGCTGTGGATCATGTGCCTTTAATTTAATACTTGTTCTTTGTGCCCCCAGGGAAGAACAGTTATTATTGAACAGAGCTGGGGAAGTCCCAAAGTGACAAAAGACGGTGTGACAGTAGCAAAAGCAATTGACTTAAAAGACAAGTACAAAAATATTGGAGCCAAGTTAGTTCAAGATGTTGCCAACAACACAAATGAAGAAGCGGGAGATGGTACCACTACTGCAACGGTACTTGCACGTGCCATTGCCAAGGAAGGCTTTGAGAAGATCAGCAAAGGTGCTAATCCAGTAGAAATCAGGAGGGGTGAGTTTCTTTCCCTTCTTTTTAGTGTTTAAGCCCTGTTTTGTTGGCTTTTCATATCCTACATTTGACTGGCCTCCTGAATAAGTCATGTTGTTTTTGGTGACCCACATGAAGCTTTATATGAAGAACAACGTGTAGAGAAGCCCCTTGTTTCTGTTAACTTACTCTGAACTGTTCTTTATTTTCCTAATCTCTTTACCATTTTATATGCAGTTGTTTAACTTGTTACAGGTAAACTCCAGGTGAAGCCATTTCTGCATTTAATTAATTTGAGAAATATATAAATTTACTGGTGCTGTGTAAATAAAGTCATCATGAATTTCAGTCATAATGGAAAGTATGTCCCACTAATTCCAAAACATCATCATTATGTGTACAAATGACAATATATACAGAACTAGAACTGCCAGCCACTTGCTTTTGAATGTGCAGACTTGATCTGTTTTGCAATGTGGACTTTGGCTTAAAAGTTAAACTGCTAGGGGGTAGGTTATGTTGGCTTGTTTCTGTGCTGTGTACCCTGGTTTATTCACTCACAAATGTTCTGTTCATCTTTAGGGGTGATGCTTGCAGTTGATGCTGTCATAGCTGAACTGAAGAAGCTGTCCAAACCTGTTACAACTCCAGAAGAAATTGCACAGGTTAAAGTCAATCAATAAAATACTTAAACCAAGTTTATATAGCTGTTCTCCAAAACATGTTTTGTGAGTTCAGGTTTAATGGAGTTAGGGTGTGCAGATCTGATGGTATTTTTCTTCATATAGCAAGGTTCAGAGTACATTTGATTGAATGGTCTTCATGGTAATGGGTTTATTTTCTTGAGTTACTTAAAATTCCCAGTGTTCTGCCTTCACTTACATTGCTAGAAGTTGGATAGCTTTCTTCAAGTTTCATTCCAGAATGTCTTTAATTGTCTTACTTGGGAAGAAGTGATGAGACCACAGATATGGTTATGGATGGGAGATGGATGTAGACTTACAGGGGGTGGCAGATCTGCTGGAGAGGCTCAGGTTGAGGTGGGTGCCCGGTGCCCAGCTGGGTCTCAGGCACTAGATGTGTTGGCCCTTGTGGCTTATTTCTTCTCCCCATGGCTGTGGATTGGGATAGCCTGTGTGAGCCCAGTGCAGGGTCAAAAGCCACAAGTTCTCATACAAGTGGTGTTGTGTCCTGTGGGGGTGTCCTGCAGCAGCAGCCTGTCCCATGCTGTCAGGAAATGGGAAAATTGAAACAGGTTGTTCTGATTTTCTTTGTAGTAGGGAAACAAACCACTTGCTTTGGGAAATGAGATGAAATGGCTTTCTGTTTCAGGTTGCCACAATATCAGCAAATGGAGATCAGGAAGTTGGGAATATAATCTCCGATGCAATGAAAAAAGTTGGTCGAAAGGGTGTGATCACTGTCAAGGTAAGAACCAGCCAACATATGGACCAAGTGCAAAGCAACTGTCTCCTTTCCACTTAGGAGACATTGTGCCATGTGATATAGTTGCTGCTGCTCAGATAGTATCCTGCTGTAGTTCCTTCCTCTCCAGATCATTTAGATCAGGATTTGATCACTGTTCATTCTTACCATTCCGGGCAGTGTTCAAGGCCGAGTTGGACAGAGCCTTTGGTGACGTGGTTTAGCGTGAGGTGTCCCTGCCCCATGGCAGGGGGTTTGGAACTAGATGATTGTAAGGTCCTATCCAACACAAACCATTTTATGATCCTAAAACTGATGTGCAGAGCCTTTCATTCTGTGGTGCATAGTATCCTAAAACTATGCTTGTGCCTGTGTTGTAAATAAAGGATCTTTAACATAGACTTTCTTGCATCTAAACAGGATGGAAAAACTCTAAATGATGAATTGGAAATCATTGAGGGTATGAAATTTGACAGAGGCTACATCTCGCCATATTTTATTAATACAACCAAAGGTAAGTTAATATTAAGGTGTCAGGTACCTTATCTTTATTTGGAACTTGCAAGAGTAACTGTTGCAAAGGCTCTGTAGTCTGTTACACTGTGTATAACAGCAAATGGAACAGGGGTCCTTCCTCATCAGAAACTCTTAACTCTTGGTAAGAGGTTGGACTCTTGAGGTGTTTTTTTTTCTCTGCTGAGTGTGGACAGTGCTGGTGCTGACATTGAGCTGGCTCTGCGACATCCCAGAGCAATGCACAATTGAAACTGGACTCCTGGATGAATCAGTGCTCTTGTGAAGTGCAACAGTTGCTCCAAAGTAACTCTTTCAGCCTAAGAGAATGCTTGATACATTTTTACAATGGGATTTTTCAGTTACTGCATGTTGTTTCTGCAGGCCAGAAATGTGAATTCCAGGATGCTTATGTTTTAATCAGTGAAAAGAAAATCTCCAGTGTACAGTCCATAGTCCCTGCTCTTGAAATTGCCAATGCTAACCGCAAACCTTTGGTCATCATTGCTGAAGATGTTGATGGAGAAGCCCTCAGCACTCTAGTGTTAAACAGGTAAGGCTTAAAATCCATTCTTTGGGACAAATAAGGGTGTTTTGTTTTTTTGCATATCCATCCTTCTAAGGGAACATGTACAAAAGCATGTCGTTTGAATTTGCTGTGGTGCAGTGCTGTGGTCTGGTCTCTTACCAGTACCAAAGGAGCAGCAGCTTTTGCCCACAGCCATACTTTGCATCAGTCCGGACACAGCTTTGCTTGTTTCCAGACCACCTTTTTGAGCAAAACCAGCTGAGTTCATGAAGGCCTCTGTTTGCTTGCTAGAGCTGTGCTGAAATCGTTTGGTTTAGTAATTAGACTTGTTCTGAACACATGTGAAGTGTTGCTCTCGGAATTCTTCTCTTCAGACTGAAGGTTGGTCTTCAGGTTGTTGCTGTAAAGGCACCGGGTTTTGGAGACAACAGGAAAAACCAGCTTAAGGATATGGCAATTGCTACTGGTGGTGCTGTAAGTAATGATGTTTTAACTGGCTTTGTGCTCAAAGAAATGCTAATGGTATTTAAGGAGGAAAGGAATGTCTATTTTTAGGTCCATGGCTTGTCTTAGAGGACACAGTGTCCTCTTCTTTCAGGAATGTAGCAGTAGCTCTAATGTTTCAATCTTTTTTTTTTAATGCAGTTACTGGTAACTGCTGTGCAGTACAGCCCTGGCCAGCCATGACCAATAGGTGTTTTTAACTGGCTGAAGTTACACACAACTTACTTGCAATGTTTACGTTGTTAAGGGGGTGGAGGAACTTCATGGAAATTGCCTAGAAATAGCAAAACTTTCTTGATATAAAACTGATGGTCTCACAATTGCCCAGACTCAAGTATGGCAAATACAGTTCTTTCACATGTGTGGGATATCTGTCTAACTTTGCAAATAGTTGATGGGCTGATTAATGTCCCTTTACACTGTATTTTCCTTATATACACTTCATAGCATGATACTGGGATCCAAAGGTAGTTGCTGAATTAAAACTTAATGTTTAAGCTTAATTGTTAATGTCAGGAAGAGGGGCACAAAGTAACAAGCCAACAAGTTGTAGTCGAGAGTCGGTTTAGTGCCAATATCCGTAACTTCTGAAAGGCAGGACTCTAACACGGCTCCACTCTCCAAGCACTTGGAATTGGTGTGTTACATGAGTCAGTCATGAATAGGATGGGGGCAGCTCCCTGTTCTGAGGGCCAGTTTGTGAGGTACCCACATGCTTGAACTCTGTTAGCAGAAGGGAAGAGTTTTGTTGCAGTGGTGTGATTGTTTTGCATTGTTAGCCTGCTGTATGTGTTTCTGAGTGAAAAATGCATGTATGGAGGAGCTGGGAATTCCAACCTTTCACATAATTTGTTTCAGGTATTTGGAGAAGAGGGTTTGACCCTAAATGTGGAAGATATTCAGCCTCATGACTTTGGTAAAGTTGGAGAGGTCATTGTGACAAAGGATGATACCATGCTCCTAAAGGGGAAGGGCGAAAAGGCTCAAATTGAAAAACGCATTCAGGAAATCATTGAACAGCTGGAAGTTACCACAAGCGAATACGAAAAAGAGAAACTGAACGAGCGGTTGGCCAAACTCTCTGATGGAGTAGCAGTATTGAAGGTGAGAAGTTAAACTCACTGGGAAAGGGCATCAGTCCTCCATTGCCAGTGCAAGTTACAACTCTGTGGGGGTCGTGCAATCTTGGCAGCTGGTTGGGATAAGCACTTTGACTACATTTACAGTGCTATGATTCTGTATTAAGAACTTGAGACACACAGCTGCAGTTGATTACTTTGGCTTTTAGGGTGCTGAGGTACAGGGGAGAGCAGGGGTTTGCTGTCTGGTCCTTTCCAGTGCCACTTAGTTCTGTGCAGCGGTACTCCCCCAGCCAGGCCAAGAGTGTGGACATTGATGTGTGGTTTGCTGCATGCAGGTTGGTGGCACCAGTGATGTTGAAGTGAATGAGAAGAAGGACAGAGTTACTGATGCCCTGAATGCGACCCGTGCAGCTGTGGAGGAAGGCATTGTTCCGGGCGGTGGCTGTGCGTTGCTTCGCTGCATTCCAGCATTAGATGCTTTAGCTCCAGCTAATGAAGATCAGAAAATTGGTAAGTGTGGTTGGAGGTGTTAAGAACAGACATTCTCCTGTCCTGAGGCATTGCAAGACTTAAGGATGGGTTGCTTTCATTGAATTTATATCTTTAGAAGCAGATAGGAAGTAGGAAGGAGCTTTGCTGCATCCTTGCTTTGGGTGTGGAGGAACCAGTAAAAACAAAGCAGCAGTAGTCCCTGCAGAGAACTGCAAACCATTAATGGAAGAATTGATTTGACTGGCACCACTGCAAGTGGATATAAAATCTAAGAACACTTAAGAGATTGCGTGGCAAAGCAGATGGGAAAGGGCTCTATGCCGTGTTCCAGGACCAAAAATACGTGTGAATATCCTGCAAAGATGCCATGTATTGATAAGTGTCAAGTAGCAGATAATAAACGGCTCATGTTCTTGCTCAGAGGGTTCTGCATGTATTGATTTTCCAGCACACGAGGGCACGCCTTGGCAGTAGGAGCAGCATACGTAGCACGTAATTGTAAACATCCTTTTTCTTACAGGCATTGAAATCATAAAGAGAACACTGAGAATCCCAGCAATGACAATTGCAAAGAATGCGGGTGTTGAAGGCTCGCTAATAGTTGAAAAAATCCTGCAGAGTCCCTCAGAAGTTGGATACGATGCAATGCTCGGGGACTTTGTAAATATGGTAGAAAAAGGAATCATAGACCCCACAAAGGTAACCTAAACCAGTCTTGATTCTCAGCTTTCCTTCCTCCCACCTCATGTGCTGGCAGCAGGGATGAAGTTATTTCTTTCCTATTTTCAGGTCGTGAGAACTGCTCTGATGGACGCTGCAGGTGTTGCGTCTCTCTTATCGACGGCAGAAGCAGTGGTCACTGAGATGCCGAAAGAAGAAAAGGAGCCGGCGATGGGAGGAATGGGTGGGATGGGTGGAGGAATGGGAGGGGGCATGTTCTAATTCCTGGGATGGGGATGCATCATGAGCTGGGCTGTCAAAGACTTGACAGTTCTGATTTCAAGAACTTGAGCTGTCAGGGCGGGAGGGTGGATAGTGACTGCAGTGAGGCTGGTGTTGAAAAGAATCACTGTAACCATCAGTTACTGGATTTCATTTAACACACATGTAATTGTTTACAGTCATTGTCCATGCCTACAGATAATTTATTTTGTATTTTTTGAATAAAGACATTTGTACATTCCTGATAACTGGGTGCAAGATCCATCTGCCATGGTCCTGATTGAAACTTAATTAAGGCACTTGATATCCTGTTTTGGAATTTATTGGTGCTTGCCAGTACTAGGAAGAACTTGGAAGCCACTGTGCGTGAGACTAGAGAATTGTGTACGAAGTAGGCAAATACACAGTTATGTGACCTTTCTGTAATAAAACAAGCTGCTCAAAAGTTACAAACTGTATCACCTTATTCATCTGCACCCAAAGCCATAGTCACAGGAGAACCGTAAACCCTTGCTGCTGCTTCTCAGATTTTACTAGAAAGCTGACAGGGCCTTTCCCTCCAGGAAACATTCCTTTGTCCAGAATGTTTCTCAGAACTACAAGCGACTTTACTTTTGGTAAGAAATATCTTACTGCAGTTCTTTGAAATATTAAACTACGCTCTGAAAATCAGGCCCGTGCACTGACTTTATTTTGCCCTGTCTGTACTGCTTGTTTGGGGTGCTGGAATGGGCGGTCCACTGCATAGCTGGGGAGGAAAAGTGCCCTGAGGATATGAAACAGGTAAGTCCTCTTTGCTAAGAAAGCGCTGTGGGTTTTTAAATACTTCTCTTGCTGAAGTGTAATACGTGGTTATCTCCTGCCTTGAGCCCTTCAGTGTCGTCTTTCAGCTTCCTGGTAATTGGCTCAAGGATTTAGTTTGAATGACTTTGCACTAGATGCTGCTTTCCCTTATGTCATGGCTTTGTTTGCCACATGCCGACCTGCCACAGCTTTTAACATGGATGTGTAAAGTCATTTCTGCTTTCCAAACTTGTTCGTCTCTCATTGTCTCGGCAACCACCATCACTTCTCAGTGCTATAAAACTGACCTCTCAGTCCAGCTTCCTACCTTCAGTAAGAGCTATCCTTCACAGATAGGATGTGTGAAATGTCAATTGCTCTTTCTGGAAAAGTGGTCTGAAACTGCTCTGGGGCTGGCTGTCCTGAAAGATACCTTCCATGTCATTTAATACACCAGTCTCTAGTAGCCACATGGATTCCAGACACTGGAGAAAGGACCAGAAGCATCACCTAATCTTCGTAAAGAAACTGGGTAATGCAAAGCAGCAGCTAGCTTTTAAAACCTGTTCAGACCTTATTCACTTACGTTTCTTCAGGGATTAAAAAGAACATCATCAGGAATGGACCTGCTAAAGATACATCTTTTTTAATCAAGACAGCTTTTACTGTTGTAATGGACTGATAATTAAATAGTATGGTACTGAAAAAAAACAGAACTAAGATTTAGGCCTGTTGTATGGTTTATAGTGACAACTGGCCTTGGGCATGCTTATCTGCAGTAAGTGGAAGACATCTTGTTCCTTCCGTGCAGGGAGGATAGCTCTGTGGTACAGACTACTGTGTATCTGCTCTAGTTCTCACAGCTGCAGTGCTCATCTAGTTGGGTTAAAGTTGGGTTGGAACAGGGAAGTGATTACATTATATGAGATGTATCTATCCCAACCCCAGTGCAGTGTGTGACAGTGAAAGTTGCAGTTCAGCAAGTTCCACCTGCCAAATGTACTGTGTTCAGTGGTGGCTGAAGCCTAGACAGCTACAACCCACTGGCTACCGCTGGAATCATTGCACTTGAGTTATGGCACCCCTCACATTACATGTACTCCTTAATGTTTAATTACTGGAAAAATCAAGAGTGTTCAGATTGTGGTGTTCTTTCTATAGCAGTTATTGTTCAGAGTTAAGCAGCAGCTGGAGACTCCTGACTTAACCCTTGTCTCTCCCTTGGCTGACAAGCACCTGCTACTCCATGGTTGACAGACTGTTTAATGATCTGCAGACCCAGAATGCGCACTTCCCTTCACTGGGGCAGAGGTGGCTGAGTTGATGCTGTTAAGTTACACGTATGCTAACAATAACTTAAATTTGAGGTCATATATTACAAAGCTGAAAAAAAAATAAATCCCCAAACAAGTATGTTACAAAGCTGAAAAAAAATCCTCCCATAACTTTAGGTAAGGCAGAACTTAGGCTGTGATTACACAAACTGTTTGACAAGTTAATAAATGGCAGCCTGTGACACCTTGTGTTATAGAAACTGCCAAGTGTCTGTTGTTGATAAGGCCTTAAGTTTGTCCTGATCGTGGCTTGAACATTCTATATACATCTGGCTGAACCAGTGTGGTTTGTACAGTATAAAATCCCACACAAAGCTCAGGTATGAAATAGATGCCCCGAAGGAGGAGCGCAGCACCTCTTGAACAAATGAAGTGTACAGACAAGTTTGTAATGGAGGTTCTTGCGGTTCCCTTTACGTCTGATGAACTTCATGGAGCATTAGCTCCCGAGGTATGCTTGTTTCTGGACCGTGGAGCTTGGATGCTCTTCTTTCAAAAGCAGCTACCATCTGCTTTATCACTTCATCAAAAAATAGCGTAGCAAGTTTTGAGTGTAGAAGTGAACGAAATTCAAAAGAAACCTGTTTAAGAAAATAGAGAATAATTGTTTTTCTATGTCTACCATTGTGGTAAAAAATGCTGTTAGAAGAAGACAACTTCATTAAAGCATCTCCAGTTAGTCTGCAAGCTGCAGGAGAAAGAACAGTTAAAACAGAGCTATATGTGAGTGTGTCTGAGAAGAAAAGCCTTATTCCTTTGTCAGAGGACAGTATCTCCCCAAGCTCTTCAGTTAGAATCCCTTCTTTCAGTTTTTTGAGGTAATCATTTCCATTTATCTAAACTCTATTTTACTTAATAAATGATGCATCACAGTCAGGATAATGAAAACTTATTGACAACAAATAAATCAGTTACTTTGCACACAGGATTCACCCGGGGGCCGTAAGTTCTCTGAAGAAAGTCCTGCATGGCATGGCATGGCAACAGCCTTACAGGTAAGCTGGTGCAAACCTAAGAGCCATTTAAACCTAGCTCGAAATAGGTACTTGTGAACTACCAGCATTTTAAATCAGTCTTTCCATCTTGGTAGCTGTAGTTACGGTATGTTCAAACGAGATACAAATTTGACTGTGTGTGCCAAAACACGCTGTCCTGACACAGGCAGGCAATGTCAGCCTATAGCCATAAAGGTTAAGCTCTGTTCTGCACCCTTGGGCCTCTTACCACAGCACTAGAGCTTCTGCATTTTCTTCTAGCTACTGAATCTTGCATTTTAACTGAAGCTAATGCAGCAGTTAACTGTTAAGGCAGGCATGCAGGGAACTGCCTTTTCTCTCCACCCTCAGAAGAAAAGGTCATTTTTATGTCTAATAGTCTTCAATTACATTTTTGTGCTGTGCTGGCCTTCAGCCTAGCTAAATACTATTCCCCTAAGGCCATGGAATGGTATTGTTTAGGAACACAAAGCTTCCCAAAATGATTACAGACTTTTCAGGAAAAGCAGGTTGCTCTTCTGCAATTTCATCAGTCCTGCTATAGCATGTCTTTTGGATTGAGATTGAAGTATTTTTGTCACTCCTGAAAAATCAGCAGATTAAATGCTATATTGAGCAAATGCAGCTGCTCTCAAATAGCTTATGAGTAATGCACATTAACTGCAACACAGGAGCACACAATTAAACCACTTGGCTTGTAAGCCAAGTGTAGCTTCACTTACAATTTGCCTAACCTCAAGCATGAGTAAAATTAACGTGCCTTTTGAAAGTATGAACGCTGTAGTTCAGAGCATGTAGAGTTGTGCAGGCCAGGGATAAGGAGTTTGGCATCATGTTCAGTTACTATGTAAAAACTTCAGGTACAGTACACACAAAGTTTGCACATGGTAAAAATGGTGGTGGACTTCAATCTATATACCAAGTCATTTAGGAGCTGAAACCAAACTAGTTCTCTGCTGCTTATATATGTCTTCTGCCATCAAGCTAGCAAAACAGGATACAGTAGCTTGTGGGAACCAGCATAACCCAAAACTCAAATTATATTTTGTAAAGCAAATGAGCATTCTTGAAATCAAAGTTTTCTCTCCAGTATCTGTAATAGCACAGTATGTTTTGAGAAGGTTGTTGTGAAATGCTTATCATCCCTAACTGCACAGGCTCAGAGGCAAGTAACACAGCAGGTCAGTAACCAGCAAGGGTTGGAGTCCGTCAGGACTAGGCTTTGTTGAAGCAGTCTGCTTCTCAGTCTGCTTCTCAGATGGCTACATTTGCTTCTGCCACCTCAAAATGGGGTAAGCAGTAAGAAGTAGAGGTAGTTTTTCCCCAAGAAAGTGAAAATGTCCACTTTAAGCCCAGTTTTGGCTCCCTTTAGCTGGAATTCTTGATCTGAAATGTCAAAAGGTGGTGTGGGGAGTTCTCCTCACAGACTCAATATTTAGATGACAGTGTTTAAACATTTACATGTACTGGTTAGTAGCAGGATTTGACACTTATTTGCCTGGAGAAATGAAAATACCACAAGCAAGTAACATGCAAATGTCATTGGCAAATCCCATGAGAAATGTATTTGTTGGAGTGCCTATAGATTAATTTTTACAGTTGAACTGTATGAATTCAATAAGCTGAAAGTTGCTAACCTGAGGAAATTAATGTGCTAGTTTACAAATACTCCAAAAGCTGGCTTTTTTTATTCACAGAAGACAATTTTTAAAGCAGAGAATCCCAGTAGAGGGCAGCAGGATCAACCCATTTCTGTGCAATTTTGCATCCCGTTCTGAACTCCAGTTTAGTTACATGCTCGATGCAACACCTACCCTTAACACTATAAAATGTGAGAAAACAATGTGATGACAGACTACACAGACAAAATGGAAAAGCAGTAACTTGAGTGAAAGACAATTTGTCTAGGAGTAACAGGCTAAATCATGTACAGATTTAAAGAAGGATAGTTTTGAGCTGCAGTGATATCCCTTCATAGAGGTGCAAGCAAAAATCTGTTATACCTTCATTATAAAAGGAAGGTGTAAGAGTAAAAATACATCAAAAAGTAAAACTAGAAGCTAGAAAATGAAATTGATCAAACTGAAGGCCAAACAGAATACCTGCTTTCTAGTACCAAGAACACTTAGGTTATAGAGCAATTAAAGGGGAAATAGCAAAGTATGTTTAGTATTTCTCCCTTTGTATTTGACTAAAAACTTCAGCATGTTTAGAATTGTAGGGTAAGAGATGCCAGTCCTTAGACTGTTTCATGATATGTGGATTCCTCACAGAAGACTGCTATCTCTACAGGACATTGTAGTGGTTTCCATATGGTAAACTTTCCAAAAGTTTTTGGCTAGTAGTAACTACAACTAACTTGCTTTCAGGGTTTCTGTTAAAAAAATAAAAACAAAAATGAATGAGTACCACACATTTAATAAAAAAAAGCACAGCTGAAGATACTGTTTCTATGCCCTGTTCTAAGCACGTCATAGTCTGAATGCCACTACTTACTGAAAAATCCAATGTACATGTCCTTGGATAACCAGGGATACCTGGGCTGAAACGCCACACTGTTTCCAAGTGATTAAATAGTTTCCCATCAGTGCAGGATGCCTAAAATAGTGAAAAAGTGAAGCTACAATTAGGCTTGTACAGATGTGACAAATTGCTATTACTGTAGTTTGCATTTTGTTAGAGAGTGAAGGTCACGAGATAGTTAAAATTATTCTCATAGTGCAGCCAGCATGAGATCCCATTTGCCCAATGTCATTTATGGCAAAATAACTAAATTCCTTTTAAGGGAGAGGAAAAACTCTTGTTGAGAGTCATAAAACAGATCTCTAGCATGATGCACGGAACATCAGAATAATGCTGTATACCAGAATTTTGAACAACACTGCTTTAAGCAAAGGATACGGATATTAACTGGGTTTGTACTTTTTTTCTTTATATACTGATATATGGACTGGTAGTCTCAGGATGCAGGAATACTTAGCATCAAAATAAACCTCACTGAAGACAAACTCCAAGCATCACCTGTCACAAGATACTATTGTGATCAAGAGCTACCATGAAGGCAGTAAGACTTTACACTCAAGTTCATAATCAGCTTATATGTTGACTTTTAGTTACCAGGAAGCCATACCTAACATTTCAGGAGTGCTTGCATACAATCCTCCTTCAAAACAACAAAGTATTCGCTGTAGTCAACTTCATAGTTTTTGTGACAATAGGATCCTTACTGTCACTGATTTTTCTTTTGGCACATACAGATGATTTTGTGAAGCTGTAATCTCAATTGGCTCTGAATTTCTAGAGAGAATTTCTCTAACTTTACTTTTTTAACTTGTTTTTACAAGTTCTTCCTGCTACCACAAGCAGCTCTGCTCCAACAAGACTACACATAATGAATAGGTATTGCTCATGCTTTGAAAGCCATAGTAAGGTAAGCCATCTCCAAGATCAATCAGCAGCACAAAAATGCCTACATTTTTCTGCCCAGGAATGAGATGCAGTACCTTGCTACTTCTTCAGCAGAAAGGGCAGGAGTGGAGGGAAGATTGGCCACAAAGAGCTGGGTTTGCTTTTCATGCAGCTGCCAGAAGGGCAGAAAGAACAGGAAAACCGCCACTGTGTCCCCCTTCCTCCCAGCCTTGTAAGCAGCAAACGCATTCCATGCTTCCCTGGTAGCTGCTGCTACCAGTGTGATTTTTCCACTGCTCATTTTGTTGTCATCCGTAGCCTGCTATGCTAGACCAGCCTGCAAGATGCCTTTGCCCAAAGTTATTTCTGAGGCCAGTGAAGCAGTCCAAACTTCACTGTCCAAGCAACAAAGTAGTTGTTTCTCTAGAAACGTTCCTATAGTTACATGAATATAATGAAAACTTCTGAGAAAAACAATCCCAGCAGAGAAAAGGCTAATAAGTCAAGGAGGAAGAATTCTAAAGAAACGGCTTTCCTCACCGCTTCTGTGGTCTTTTCTGAAACAATAATTCCCTGTTTGAGTGAATTAGAGGGGAAGAGAGTCCAGTCTTGTCAGGAAAGAGTAGAAAGGGAGAGCAGTCATCATGTAAAATGCAAATTTTTCCATTGTAGCTGCTCAACTTAGTAAAGTGAGACTTTTTTCTTTCCAGAATCAGTAAGTACCTTGAGTAAAGGCACTTAGCATATTCCTGTCTAAACTTATGTCTCTCCTGTACTTAAACCTATACCTATTTTCTGTTGTAAGCAATGTCTTTTAACAGGAAGCCTAAAAAAGAAAAGTGAACTAGGATATCTAAACAATTATCTTGAGCAGCAATTAACCGTAGTATTTTCACTAGTTAATCCAAGAAATAATCAAGATCTGCCAAATGAAGGGAGAAGCAGTTTTGCTGTAAGGAATCTGTTCTGAGCTGTTCCTTGCCGAAACAGATTTGAACACGTAAGGCAAACAAGTAGTTAGAAGATCCAGGCACCATTTAAAATTTCTCCCTTTATATTTTTGTTTTAATTATTGCCTTGAAAAGCTGAAAGGAGGAGAAATACAACTGCTTCTCTTCTGAACAGAGTAATTCTAAAACATGGTGTTTAAATCTACTCTGTCTTCTCTTCAATACACTGAATAACAAGGTCTTCAGCTCGGTTTTAGACTTCACATATTAACTAGTTAAAATTGTCAGAAGTAATGACAGATACCAATTTTGCTAAGGCATCAGAAGCTACAGTCAAAGATAACTTTTAAGTCAGTATTAATTTTGCATTTAGAGAGGAAAATTATAACAAAACCAAACAAAAATGGTATCTCTTATTAATGGTTGCAGTTTCTCCAGCAAAGGCAAATTAAAATGGAACTCACCACCACCATTTGCCCGGTTATATTATAAAAGCACATTAAAATTCTCCCCAGTTAATCTAAACTCTTAAAAGCAACACAGATTTTGAGCCACATAAAGCACTCCCCTTACAAATTTTGTTTTGAAGCAAGACATTTCTGGAATATTTGCTTTTCAAAGGTTACAGAAAGTCGCAGCTAAGAAAAAACCCACAGCAAAACAGTTACCTTAACTAAATGAGGTCTCACTAGGGTAACAATCGACGTATACGTCTCTACGACAGGAGGGAATCCGATTTCTAACTGTGCTTTGCAGTATCCAGAGCGCTTTGTTAATACATCTGATCTTTTACACCAAGGAACAAATAGTTTGTAATTCTCCACAACAGCCACAACTTCATACATTTCCTGCATAGAGTACCTGGAAACAGAAACATTAACATTTGCTACAAGGTATATTAACCTCAAATTCAGTATTTAAAAGTTTCAAAGATGGTATAAATGGCATAGGCAGTTTGAAAAGTGAACATACAAGTCACCTGCAAACACTACACCTGTTTCTGGAAATTAAAAATGCACCTTTGCTAACTAAGAGGGAAAAAAAAAAAAAGTAATAAACTGTACAAGTCTTTGCTTTAAGAAGCAAAACACCACACAACATCCAGCAGTAAAGTTAGTGAACAGTGAACCTGGTGTCTGCTACTTTCTGTATTATCAGGTAAATATGCATATGTTTCAAATGGGAAAAATATTTTTCCCAGCACAGCTGGTCTTCATTTAGGTCAATCTTAGACATTCCACATAAAGAACCCACGCTTCATGGCTACAAAGAAAAGGTGTATCAGAACTGAAGTACTATATTTCATAAGGTTTAAATAGAGGAACACTACTTCCCTTATTTTAGCCCAAATAAAAAAGCTTAATTAAAAATACATGCAATGGAAAAACTTCACAGAATAGCTGAGGTTGGAAGGAAGCTCTGGATATCATCTTGTCCAACTCCCCTGGCTCAAGTAGGATATTGAAATCACATGAAAGAATATGGTGGCAATATTTTAGTTGATTCTACTGTAATGTGGCAAAGTATTACATAGCTATGGTTTTTAGTTTTTAGTTCTGACTCAGAAAAGAATCGAAGCACATGCTTAACTCCACCTGCGTTTAAAATGAAGCGTATGTTCAACAGTACTCAACAGTAAGTACTGGACAAAGGCTCTTTTTAAATGAATATGGGAAATCTGTTGCAGTTCAACAACTGTCACATAAATGAATGTTAAGCATAGTAAAAACATTATGCCTTTAAACAAGCAGTTCATACTATTGTGGATCAAAGACTGGGGGCAGATCCCAGTCTCATTAAATGAGCTGGAATTTTCCCGCTACCTTTAAGGTAAACAGGATTTCAAAGTCTTTTTCTATATGCCTAAGTTTCTTCATCACACAACTAACTAATTTCCTGCTTTCAAAGAGAAGAAAATTTTGAGGAGTGAGAAGTACAACATAATGTAAGTGCAAACACTGGCATGGATTTGGGACAGAAGGGAACAGAGTTTTCACACTTGCTGATTTGTTCCCATTTCACCAGATTAAATCACTAGTGTATTCTTCCCTTTCAAGGTTATTTTCATTTTTTCCTGGAATAGAAGGTTTATTTCTGCAGTTTCTTTCTGTGAGGCAAGGCTTTGAGTTCCAGTTTCAGACTGGAAAAGCCCGATTTCTGTAAATTCCAAAAGTCAAAACTCCTTTCTAGTCTCCAGTTGGGCAGAGTCACTGGGGCCTGTGTGTTCAGGGATGCTCAGTCTTTAACTTCTAGCATTTTGGATTAACCACAGCAAACACAAAATCAAGAAGCACATAAATTCTCTTTCCACACTTCTATACAAACCCGATAATTCTTCTTTCAGAATATTCTTTTCTTTTGTTTACTAGCGGTGCAGCAATGTTGAAGAAGGTTCTTGAAAAGGCATGGCTCCTTACAGGCGAAGGAGAAATTCTGGTCATCAGAATACCACAAGAAGCCAAGTGTCTGAAACAGTAGAAATGTTCTTAGATGCATTTAATGTCAGCAAAATAAATAACAATATATTCAGGTGAGAAAATCTGTTGCTTAACGTTCCAGAAAACGTCAGATTCAGATGGAAAAGCAAAAACAAATGCTTGTAAGAGAACACGGATCATTAAAAACACAAGGGGGACTTTTTTTTCCTTAGGAGAAACTAAAAATAGCCCCCAGTCACGAGGAAAGTAAGTGGCAGAGTAAAATACAAAGGCCCTCATTAAACACTGCCAGCCTGAGTTCACGTACAAACCTCACAAGCACTTAGCTTGCAGAACAGGCTTCCTTAATAGCAAAAGCAACACACAGTCTGCAATACTTTACCCTTCTGGAATATGCAAAGAGAAGGTTACACCTGGAGATATGAAGCTGAACTCTGCTACAATCCCTCTGCTGCCATCCTTCTCTTAGAAGGACAATCTCATTCTGAAAGACCTGTCAGAAAGTACATCATTTACCCAGCTTTCTACATTTCCTTCAGAATATATCATGCAAAACCTCAGACACAGTGTATTTGTAAGTAAAATGTAACAAATTACCTTTAAAAATGCTAGTAATTCTGAGATTGTACCTCTGTGTTCTTTGTGAACATCTACACTAAAATCGAACAAATACCCACTGTGATTAATAGGTCTATTTTGCTAAATAACTGATTTTGCCTAGGTCAAGTCAGTTAAGACACAAAATGCTACCTCAAAGGCTCTGATTTTTGGCACAAGGAAGCTAAATATGCCACTATTTGTTGTCAGTGATTCCACAAACATAAGCTAAAGAGCAACCTAGGTCTTTCTCTGTTCTTTCTCTAATTAAACAATCAGGACCATACTTCTAGATTCACATAGTCAAAAATGGAACCAACCTTCCCCACTTAACATTACACTTGTTTGGGGGTATTTTTTAAACTCAGTGAACAGATAGATAGTATTTTTTACTAACCAGCAAAGTAGTCTAGTGAGTTAGAGTTGCCAATTGTAAACAATTTAAATTATTATTCTGTTCATTAAAAATCAATGTAACTATGAATTCTAAAGAAACACAGTAATAATCTGGGCCTGACCCCATTGGTTTATATGGCCACTGTATTAGGAGACAGGCAAATAATAGATTGGTATTGAGTTCAGAGGAAAATAATCATCAGCAGATTAGAAACAATCTGTGCAGACCTTTTACAAATAAATACGCAGCTGTGATACAGGGAGAGGTTTGACAACAGAGACTGTAATCTGTGCAGTTGAAAAGGAGTTACTTAAAATGTGACCAGTATGGTATCAAAAAGGTTAAATAATAGGTTGACTTTAAAAGTCCAGACAACAAACTCTGCAAATGTTTGCAGCTGTATCCCAAGGGATGTAGAGAACATAGTTTGGATTTTTTTTCCACACAGACTGGACAAGACTGTTAAGGAAGAGCATTGCTTTCATAGAAATGCTGGAGGGTGCCGGTAACATTGTAGCTGCCCCAACCAGGTTTATAGAAAGCGTTCAAATGCTTGGACCGGACTTCATTCTGGAGAGCTAATTTAAATTATTTTCTCCATGCAGGACTACATACAGTACACAGTACAAATTAGCTGCCGGGTTTCTATTCTTGTTTTTATTTTTACTGTAATGCTATGCCAGTATATTTTTTAATGCAGTTTTATCTAGAGCCATTTCAGTTACAAGGCTGAAAAACAATATCTACACATAATCTTTTAGCAGCCGTAAGACAACGTCCCTTTCACAATGACATTGTCGTTCAAGGAAGGCAAGGTTAAGAGAGGCTATAATGCTAACAAACATGGGGAGGCTTCATCTCTCCCACGATTTTATCTGAAGAAAAACAGATGCTGTGACAGTGTGCTAGGCTTGGTTCCAGTTCAGGAAAGCACACCTCTTTTCAAGAAATCACAAAAGCATGGATTCCAATGGACTCTCACACATGGTTTTGTGAACCTGATCAAGGCTACAGAAGAAAAGCCAAGCCCTTAGCAGCATTCAGACACAAGGACCACCTCCATATTATCCTCCAGCAGTGACACAACCATATCTGCTCACACTGCTCTGGCTGGCATGGCTCAATTCCTGCCACTCACTGCTTTCTCTGTAAACATTTGGGCACTGACCACTGTCTCACCTGAATTCCATGGCCTGAGAGAAAACATTTACTGGTCTATGGTATATGTATGTAAGTGATCTGTATTCAGTGATCATTTTTAATAGCTACAAAAATTTCTAAGCCTGAAGATTAACTTATTTTTGTAAAAAGGGATCTTGAACTCCTGACTATAAAAACTGAAATTAGCTGTAAGAGCAAATTGTTATCATAACCGTTAGTTCCATCCGGTTAGTGGTCCCTGATGGCCATTTTATGGTCTGTGAGACGAGTTGATTCAAATTCTCTGTCAACAGCTGTTCCCATCCCCCAAAAATGAGTGTTGCCAACAAGTGTCATCTCAGTCTGAATGAGCCTAACTTACCACCTGAGTTCTTGAAGTCTCAGGACCCCATCACAGTATCACAGTATCACAGTATGCTGGAGATTGGAAGGGACCTCAAAAGATCATCTAGTCCAATCCCCCTGCCGGAGCAGGAACACCTAGATAACGTTACACAGGAATGTGTCCAGGCGGGCTTTGAATGTCTCCAGGGAAGGAGACTCCACAACCTCCCTGGGCAGCCTGTTCCAGTGTTCCGTCACCCTCACTGAGAAGAAGTTCCTTCTCAAGTTTAAGTGGAACCTCTTGTGTTCCAGTTTGCACCCATTACCCCTTGTCCTATCATTGTTTGCCACTGAGTAGAGCCTGGCTCCATCCTCGTGACACTCCCCCTTTATATATTTATAGACACTTATAAGGTCACCCCTCAGTCTCCTCTTCTCTAAACTATAAAGACCCAGCTCCCTCAGTCTTTCCTCATAAGGGAGATGCTCCACTCCCTTAATCATCTTGGTTGCCCTGCACTGGACTCTCTCCAGCAGCTCCCTGTCCTTCTTGAACTGAGGGGCCCAGAACTGGACACAATATTCCAGATGGGGTCTCACCAGGGCAGAGTAGAGGGGAAGGAGGACCTCTCTCGACCTACTAACCACCGCCCTTCTAATACATCCCAGGATGCCATTGGCCTTCTTAGCCACAAGGGCACAGTGTTGGCTCATTGTCATCCTGTCGTCCACTAGGACCCCCAGGTCCCTCTCCCCTACACTGCTCTCTAGCAGGTCGTTCCCCAACCTATACTGGAACCTGGGGTTGTTCCTGCCCAGATGCAGGACTCTACACTTTCCCTTGTTATATTTCATCCCGTTATTCCCTGCCCAACTCTCCAGCCTGTCCAGGTCTCGCTGGATGGCAGCACAGCCTTCTGGCGTGTCAGCCACTCCTCCCAGCTTAGTGTCATCAGCAAACTTGCTGATAGTACACTCAATTCCCTCATCTAAATCATTGATGAATATATTAAATAATACCGGTCCCAGTACTGACCCTTGAGGCACTCCACTAGTTACAGGCCTCCAACTAGAGCCCCATAGAAAACTCTCTGGCTTCTCTCCTTCAGCCAGTTCGCAGTCCACCTCACTACCTGGTCATCCAGTGCCGTGAGGATGCTGTGGGAGACTGTGTCAAAGGCTTTGCTGAAGTCAAGGTAGACCACATCCACCGCTCTGCCATCATCCATCCACCGTGTTATTTCCTCATAAAAGGCTAAGAGATTGGTCAAACATGATTTCCCCCTGGTGAAGCCATGTTGACTGCCCCTCATAACCCTCTTATCCTTGATATGCTTTAAGATGGCACCAAGGATAAGGTGTTCCATCACTTTCCCAGGGATGGAGGTGAGGCTGAATAGTTACCCGGGTCCTCCTTCTTGCCCTTTTTGAAGACCGGAGTGACATTTGCCTTCCTCCAGTCCTCAGGCACCTCTCCCGTTTCCCAGGACTTGGTAAAGATGATGGCGAGTGGTCTAGCAATGACTTCCGCCAGTTCCCTCAGCACCCGCGGGTGCATCCCATCTGGACCCATGGATTTATGGACGTCCAGATTGCTCAACTGATCTCTAACCCATTCCTCATCGACTAAGGCAAGTCGCTCCGTCGACCTGACTTCATCTAAGGTCTCAGGGGTATAGGGCTCTTCAGGACTGCCTGCAGCAGAGTAGACAGAGACAAAGAAGGCATTCAGTAACTCTGCCATCTCTGCATCTTCTGTCACCAGGGCACCCATCCCGTTCATCAGTGGGCCTACATTGCCTCTGGTGTTAGTTTTGTCTGCCATGTACTTGAAAAAGCTCTTTTTGCTGTCCTTGACCCTTCTTGCCAGGTTTAATTCTAAGGAAGCCTTAGTCCTCCTAGCTGCCTTCCTACATCCCCTAGCAGCAGCCTTATATTCCTCCCAAGTGGCCAGCCCCTCCTTCCATGACCTGTAAACTCTCCTCTTCCACTTGAGCATACCCAGCAATTCCCTATTTAGCCACACAGGTCTCTTGGCCCTCTTCCTTGACTTCCTACGTGTCGGGATGCTCCGATCTTGAGCACGGAAAAAGCAGTCCTTGAATGTCAACCAACTATTTTGGGCCCCTTTTCCTTCAAGCAGCCTTGCCCATGGGATTTCCCCTAGCAATTGCTTGAAAAGGCCAAAGTTTGCCCTGCTAAAGTCCAGGGTTGCAATTCTACTTGGTATTCTACTAGTCCTACCACACAAGATCCTGAACTTCACCATCTCGTGGTCGCTGCAACCAAGGCAGCCCTCTACCCTTACTGCTTCAACCAGACCCTCCTTGTTAGTGAGGATGAGATCCAGCAGCGCTCCTCTCCTGGTCGGCTCATCCACCATTTGCAGGAGGAAGTTATCATCCACACACTGACCCTACTCAGGACTTCAAGGGGTCTACTGAGTTGACAACAGCATGTGAAAGCATCCCCAGCTTCAAAGCTACAAGTAATATAGTGCTGTTTTGGATTCAGCTTGTACTTGCTTAAAACCAGCTGCAAGATGGTTCTGCCTTACAAGAGAAACATTTTCAAACCCAGTTTGCAAACAGTTACTTAATGAGCTTCCCTGTACTGAATATCTTCTCAGTCATTGATTTTGCCCTCAAGACTCTAATAAATTACTTTTAAAAACAGCAAGTACGTTTACCAGGATAGAACCATTTTAATACTGCAAACACAACCTAAAGGATGAAAACACCCAGGATAATAGGTGAGAAATGGTGGTCCAAGTTGGCATTATACCGCTGCAGAGTAATAATTATGCCAAATGCTTGAAATTTGACATCATGAAGCAATCTCTATTCCACTTTTTCACTGGTTTATGAGGATGACAGTAGGACTTCGAATTTAACAAACACACTGCCACAACATTAGAACCCTTTTTTCTCCTAAGGTTTTAAAATAGCACCCTCTGCTTGTTCTTTCAGTGACAAGATCAACCCTTCCCCCAAAGCATATTTGTTTCTCAGGTAGTTCCAGCCAGCCTTACATGTGATCAGGGGATAAGGAACTTGTTGCGTTATCTGAAGTGGAAAACACCCGGGCGCTTTACTCAGTTTTTCATCTCTGTTACAGATTGCTCAAAGTTATGCAACCGCCTCGAGCAAAGAGGCAACTTCAGAATCTGGTAATCGCCTATTCTTCCAACGGCGCTGGCCGCGCTGAAAGGAGCCAACAGGTACCGCAGCTGAGGGCAGCGCCTCAGCCTCCCCCCGCGGAACGCGGACCCGGGGCTACTTTTTCTTTTCCCAAAGCCACCAGCGTCCCTCCCGCCCCGCTCCTCGGGCGGGACGAGCCGGGCAGGGGCTCGCCCGAGAGCTGCCGCTGTGGAGCGGGCTGAGGGAGTGGGCGCCTCAGGCGGCCCCACCCCGGCCTCGGCCCTGCTCGTGGCTCCCCGGGGCTACCGCGGTGCCACCCGGCTGGCGGAGGGGACCGACGCGGCGGCGGTTCCGCGGCACGGCGGTGAGAGGAGCCGCGGCGGGACCCTATCTGTCACCCCCGCGGCCACTCCGCCTCGCCCCGCGTACCTGACAGCGGCCGGGCGCGGTGGCGGCGGCGGGGCGGCAGCAAGCCCTCCTACCAGCACCCTGCCGAGCGACCGGCCGTTCCGCGCCATCTCGGGCCCCGCTCCTCAGCGGCTGCCCCGCCCACCGGCCGCGCGCTGCCTAACGGCTGCCAGCGCGGAGCCGCGCCCCCGCCGCGCGCGCCCAACCGCCTATCGCCGCTGAGGGGCCGGCCCGACATGGCGGGAGCGGCGCGCGCTCCGTCACGAGACTGCTCCCCCAGGCCCTGCTCCTGATTGGCCCGGCGGCGCGCGAGCCCCGCGCGCGGCTATAATAGGGCTTGTGCGAGCGAGCTCCCGCCCTCCCCGCGTGGCCCCGCAGTGCGCGTGACTGGGGAGGGGCGGGGCAGCGCAGCGCTGGCTGAGGGTTGGACCACCCCCCCGTCCGCAGGAAGGACTGCGGGAACAGGTAGCGGAGCGGCCGGTAAGGGCCCTCGGCGGTCCAAGTGGCTTAGAAAGGCCCCTTGGCACCCAGCCGGGCGGGTGGCGGGGCCCTTGCGAGGGTCACATCGACTTCCCTCAGCAGAGGTCTGCGCCCGCGGGTGTGCAGCGCTGTGGTGATGAGCCTGCTCCCGCTCGATGCGTGTGGGATTACCAACGTCATTAAAACATACCGCTGCCTCCGCAGACCCGGTTACAGTCGCAGAGCATCGTTTAACTACAAATAGACATGAAAAAGTCGTGTTGTTACTTACGCTTTCTCATAATTTGGTTTTCAAATACAGGCTCCCTTAACAAAAGTATGTTTTACAACTGCCCTGCAATTGAAGAGCCACTATTAAGATACTGTCCAGTCACACATTTTGTATTATATGCAATCATGCGTTACACATAAGTTGTTTAAAAGCGAGTCTACAAAACCTATTTCTATAAAACAGTATTTATTTTTTTTTTAATTCAACAGTTGGTGGACTATTCAGCTCTTGACTGGGGACCTTGAACTGCCGCGTAATACTTGAACTCAACCTTGAACGGAGGCCTTATACTTGCACTTCACAGTGTTTACCCATCCTTGATTTGCACATAGATGATGATAAGGTTGCTAGTCACAAGGTCTGCAAATTACACAGCTAGGAATTAAGGGCAGATGAACTATTTTGCATTTAACTGAATTCATCAGGAGCTACAATGTAAAATCTAGAGGATTTTCATGTATTTTGCATAGCACCACTGCACTGTTTCTGGCATAGCAATAATGAAAATATTTGTCTGTAAGCCTGTTGTGAAAAGGATTACACTTGTTACACTTTCATAAGATTTTGGTGGGCCTGAAAATCAAAAAAACATTGAAACTTCAGTGTGTACTCACTGCCAGTTTTGAAATCCAGCTGCTCTATTCGCACCCTGTCCCACTCGCAGTGCAGTACAGGCTGCATTTATTTTAACTACTCAGGGAGAAAGCGATCAGCTCCAGACACCGGCCTCAGGTTCTCTCTGCTGGAGGAAAGCTGTGGTGTTTTCTGCTTCTCCAAGGGGCTGGTACAGTCCTTACCCATCGCCCTCCTGCTGCCAGCTCTGGGGTGCTGTGCCAGTTGTGACATAGGCCTCCTGCAGGCCTGGAGCCCGGCTCCTCTTTAGATAAAGTCTAGGAAAGGATCCTCAGGCACCCCCAGGGAACACATTACCTTAGGAGCACGGATGACTGCTGCACTCCATCTTGCATTTATGTTTGTCAGGCTGCCCTTACCAGCAGTGACAGGCAAAGTGGGGATGGTTTGTGCTCAGGTCATAGACTACAAACCACAAAGCAGCTCTCATTCAAACACCTTCAAAAAGTTCATAATCAGAAGTGTGGTTTTTTAACTCATTTTGGCTTTTCTGTGAGGAGGAGGATCCTTTCTACCTTACTATTTGTTGACATCAGAAACAAGGGACTGGAAGAGATTTTATTTTGTGCTATTTTTTTCTTGCTCAAATTGTGTGAGAAGCTTTATGGAGCTGAAACGTAGATGCTGCTGTGAAATATTTCCTCTCTTTTTGTTCCCTTTAATAAACACATAAATATCAATAAACTGACCCCAGCACATGAAGCCAAGCACAGACCTGGGGTAAATCAAAGGATTGGAACTTTAGACCAGGTTTGTGGCTTTTTGCTTAATGTTAGCTCGTGCTGGGTGTGGGGAAAAAATGAATACCAATAAGAAGTTCTTCTGGGAAGAATCAGCAGGAGGGTGTAGTCATAAGCATGGCTTCTTTGAGTGAACCAGTGCCAGAAACTTCTAGGTGAATCAAGGACAGGCAGAGTAGTTGGATACTTCTTGCTGCAGCAGTGCCAGATAGCGATAGCTTAATCTGTCATGAAATTGGACCTGAAACTGTTACGTAAAGCAGGACCTCACAAGTCTAACTTGGGTATGCTTCCAGATCTACAAAGCTTATGGTCTCTTAAATCCAAGTTGTTTCCAACCCATACAGGAATGTCTGTGAAGTGTACGTACATGCCTATGAGGAGGAAAGGGATGGGAACTCGGGCAGGCAAAATAGGACTGGTACATTACTACCCTGTCAGTATTCTGTGACAGAAGGATTGTGCAGGAAGCAAAAGTACATATTCAGGGCTTTGACAGGCAGACACAAAGAAACTAGGGCAGCATACAGAATTTGGCAGTGGGGGGTGGGGGACAGTGGGAGAGACACAAGCAGAAAGCAGTTTTCTCATTGCTCATCACAGTGCAATTCCTGTTTGCTCTCATAGCACAGAACTCACTTTTATGTCGGAAATGGAATATTCTAAAACTGCTATTTTGAAGTGTTCCCTGGGGCCGCAACCCCTGAGCTCAGTTCAGTTTAATAACTGAGGAACTGTAATATTGCAACTAATATTCTGCCTCCCATAAGTTAGAAGTCAGGCTGAAGAAACAAGAGAAAGTTACTGCAAATTGATCTTCATCATGAACCCGAGCATGTGACATTTACTTAAAATAGTTACATGCATTAAATTCTTGTGGTAGGGAATTACTGTGTGCCTCAATCTAACCCTCACATGTCAGATGGACAGGCAGATGGCTAGATCAGTTGAGCGATCAAACATACATATTCACACAAATGCACAACCTTGGCTTTATTTTCTTTTAAGACAATCCTCAAAAAGCCATAATGTGAACTACCAACTTCTATAAAGGGAATGATGAGTAGTGAATATGTGTTTTGCCATCACGCATTTATCACCCTTTTTGCAAATAATTTACACATTTTACCTTATCAGAAGTTCTGAAGTTGGCTCAGCTTAGCTTGTTGCAAAGGCTTCTGAGGAGATCAGAGACTTAACAGTTTCTGATGATGAATAAAACAATAAAACTGCATAATAGTAAATAAATTATATAAGATTACATGTTACGCTGTGTTATAAAATATCATTAATGTGCTGTATGATCGAGCAGTCATGGACTTTGAACTTAAGTTGTGTCTCCAGCCTTGGTGTTTTACTTAGGTATGTGCTTACTACTACTAAAGGTTGAGGAAGTAACAAAATCACCTTATTCACAACACTTGACTTTTCACCTGGATCTTTTCCAGGGTTTTGCAAGTGGACAAAATCAATCCCATTTAGTTATGAGGTGTACTGTAGTCAGTGATGTTGAAATATGTATATATTCCATCAACAGAAGTGGGAAAAAAAGTTCGTAATTTCCAGGTGAATGCAGAAGCTGCATAAGGACAGTTACTGTAGAACAGCTAAACGATTTCTGTTTACATTCTCACCTAGCTCATATTCCATAAACCTCTCATCATTCCTCCTACTCTCTTCTAGGCTACACCAAGTTTGTGTGTGTCTTTGTTGAACTGCAGAGTCCCAAAATGAACTCCATCATCCTGTACTCCATCATCCTGTACTCCATCAGTGCTTCTGACTGTGCCAAGTAAAGTGAAATGATTGCTTTCCAGGTTTTATAGGCAATGCCACTTTCAATGGCCTAGAATTAGATTTACTTACTCTGTGGCAGCATGTTGCTACTAACAGATATTTAACTTTGATTTGCTGTCCACATGTGATCACTTTCTGATTATTTTTTTTTGGCTACTTTCAACTAATAATTGATTTCAAATTCCAATACATAGTACTTTGTGTTTGTCTGTCATTAAAGTGCACCTTGATCTTAGATTGTTTTTTATATGGATCAATATAAGATTATTCTGAATTCCTTCTTCTATCTGCCAGTGGTTTTAGCCAGTTTGGTGTCATCTACCAATTTTAGAAACCTAGCTTCCATTCTCTTTCAAGCCTTTACTAAAATACTGAATAGACTTGATTGCCTGAAGTGTTGTCTATATCTGCCCGCATCTTGTGGCAAGTATACATATATATATGCTTTATTCTTGTATCTAGCAATTCATCTGTTGGTGCGGGCCAGTTAGCCTGGTAAAACGAAACAAAGGGCAAGCAATTTGGCAAACATAGCAAAGCATCCAAATTCCAGTGGGACTGAGTATTGGAAAGAGACTGGTATCTGGAGAAACAAGTTTCCAGGAAACAGTTAACATGTTTGGTGTCTCAAGTGTGAAGAAGACTGTTTGTAGCCACATAGTGGAAGAATACTACTGATTGTCTTCTCTAGGCTGAAGATAACAAGGGAGCACTGAAGTGCTTCATACCTTCATACACACAATAGGTTCTTGCCTGAAGGCCACTAGAAAACATTGTCCCTCATCAAACGGCCTGAAAAGCACGGAGGGAGGGAACCTGGACAGTTATGCAGATAAACCCTGGTAGTGTGGAAAGATGCGCATCTGAACAGGCACAATGCTGCCTGCATCCCACCCAGATCGCCTCGCCGGCACCGGAAACGGCTCAGCTCCATTCCGAGTCCTGTCCCTCTCTGTGACATCCGGCGGCCGATCTTCCTGAGGCCAGCGCCAGCCGCCCCTTTCCCGCCGCCAGCCGGGGATGCGCCATCACCCTCCCCGCTGTCAGCCGTGCACCGGGCTGTCAGGACGGCTCTCAGCATACCGTACCCACTGCCTCAACACCCTGCCCGTGACAACCCGGTACCGGCCGTCCCAGCGCCCGCCTCAGCTCCGCTCAGCCGTGCTGTCACTCGCTGCCCGCGCCGTCCATCACGCGGCGGGCGGAGCTTGGAGCCCGGCCCGAGCGGCCGCCCTGTTAACAGTGGCGTCGGCTCGCCGCGCCATTGCGCTTGCGCATGGTGGTTGTTCCCAGCTGCACGCGGCTCAGCTTTGATCTGCGTTTGCGCACTAGGCGCCCGGCCTTCCTCCTCGTAGCGGAAGTGGCGGGGCCGCGCCAGTTCCGCCTCGGCGTTGTTCGCTGTGGACAAAATGGCGAAGATCGCCAAGACTCACGAAGGTAAGGAGCCTGAAAATCACCCGCGGCGGCGCGGCGCGCGGTTGTGCCTCTGGCTTTTTGATTGTGTTTCTCTTCGATTCTGTGCCCCGCCAAGCTCGGCTTCTCGAGCAGGACCGGCTGTGCTCTCCCAGCGGCGGTCGGGCAGGGCCTGTTTGTAATGGCGTCTGCGCCTGTGTCAGCGCCATGGCCAAGCTGCTGCTTGGCGCTCGGGGCTGAGGGGGTGGGGCTGCGGGGCCCGGCGGGGGGAGCCTGACTGAAGAGGGGCTTTCGCTGTGCATGCGTTGGGGGGGTGGCCCGTGACGGTGCTGCCAGGCTCCCAGGGGAGAGCTGTGAGCGCGATGGTGTCGGCTGGCTCCGCGGGACGGACGGGTCCTACCGGCACAGGGCGAGCCAGAGCAGCGCTTCCACTCGAGGCCGCCCGCGGGACGCTCCTCGCCTCCGCTCCTGTCGCTGCTCGCTTTCGCGCGGCCCCGGCCCCGGCCCGTTCTAGGCGCTCGCGTCGAGCCTTCGGCAGGCGCGCGGAAAAATCTCGCATCGTAAATGTCAATAACACACGGTTGTTCTCTCGGCCGAGCCCTTTGGCCTGCCTCTGCAGTAAACAGGAGGCGGAGAGGGGAGGGTGAGCCGCTGAGCGCCGGCATGACCTGGTCTATTACGGGATGCTTGAGAAAATGGCCCGAAGGAGGGAAAAAACAGCGTGATGTCTCAAGCACTTCATCTGCCAGTTTAGCACTCAGACTTCTGCCGGCTGGGTATTTACATACGAGAACTGTGTCTGAGCAGTTTAGTGAGTGAGGGCTTTCATAGGCAGTGTGTTATTCTCGGAGGTGCTATGTAGCTACGTTCGCTATTGCTTCCAGCTCCTCATGCTGGTGCATCAAAGCTTTCTTCTTGGGCACTGTCTTTGCTTTGCTCTGCTCTTAAATATCTTCAGGCAAGGGGATATGATTTTCAGAATCCTGCTGCTTCTGTGTTTTTGCTTTTGGGTTTTTGGTCGTGTTTCTGTGTATAATAGGTGATCCACTGTACTTTTTGTTAATTTGCATCCATAATTCACTAATCAAAACCTACCCTGGACTGTGGTTGTATGCTGTGAGGTAGGCAGAGCACCCGGGTGCTTTTGGGGGAGGGTGGAAAGTTTTGCAATGCAAAAACTTCTCAAACGGAGCAGTATCATCTCCCATTGACGTGGGGTTAATGTAGTCTTCAGCACTGCAGACATAATCTGGGTTTATGGATGAGGAAAGGCTTAAACGGTTGTCCTCACTTTTTTAATTTAAATTTAATTCTAGTTTTAGCATTCTAGAACTTTTTTTAGAATTACAGAAATTGTCTTTTGTTTATATGCTCTGACTTGAGGCTTGTGTGAGCTAGTACTACCCATCACAGTGCCTCTCATTACCTAAAGAGCATTTAATAACAGTAGAGAATTGTTGGGAGTTTATTGTTGTTTTAACTGAAATTCGCTGTTTATTGAAGCAAGTGGTGGTGCACTAACTTTAATGAAAACATTGGCACACTTCCAGTTGCATATGTTTTTATCAATGTTGTATCAGAGAAGGATTTAAGGGGGTGTGTAGGTAGTTGAATAAATAATTTTGTTTAACTGGGTATGATCATGTAATGCTCTTGTTTCTCCCAACATGGAGGTATTATCTGGACAGCCTGATTATTTTTCTTCTGAGTTCTCTTTATTTTTAGTGTCTGGCTGGTTCTGCAAAATGAGTTGTTACTAAATTGTCTTAGATTTTCCACATCTTTGCACTGTTTGCTAAATATCTATTGATGTGTCATAGACACAGCTTGAAAGAGGTCTCAAAATAGTGTTCAGTTACCTAGTTTAAGGGAGAAGTCTTTGTTTTAAGCTGCAAGTAAAGTTTAGAATGGCAGCTTATAAGGCCTCAATAAATGCTTGAGTTTTGAATGCTATCGAAGGTAGGTTTTAATTGCATCCTTTTTTTTTTTTCTTGCTTAGAAATGACCGAAGAAATCTCCATTTGTGAGGGAGATCTAACGTTTATGAGAGTGTTAAAGTAGCTAGAAATGAAGCTGCACAGGGCAAGCTTCATACAAAAGTATAAGGCATGAAAACAGAACTATTTACAATGTAAAATACTGCTGCAGTATAGGGTCTGCTGAATAATGTCTTAACACTCCAGATTCTGCAAGTAAAGCTACATGTATGGTAATGGAGTATATATTTTGAAAGCCTGTCGTAATCTGGCTGTGACCTAGATTTTCAGTTACTTCAAATTCAAATATGTTAACTGTAATAAGGTTCAACATTTATGGTATATTTCAAATCATCTGTGCATGTTAAAAGTTTCTTTTATTAAAATACCAAAATGTATTGCATTAAAACGCAGAAAAGGGAATGAGCAGAAGGATATTATCCCCCCCTTGTCTTAAAAAATCAAAGTAAGTCGAAGGAGTACTTTGCTTTACACGGTGTATTTTTAAGCTCTGTGATTACTCATTCTTAGTTTGGTTTGTATTTAAGTGCTTTGTTAAATAGGGTGTGAACTTTTTCAAGAAAGTGCCAGCTATATCAAGGAAGGTAAACACATCTTTAATGCCCTTATGGTCTTTTACAGCTATATATCTGTTGTGTTCTAAACTGCTGGTCAGTTAACTTTCTGTTTAAAGGGCTTTGTGGTACACCAGATGGGTGTTCTCTTCAGAGTGCCTCATTTAAACTATCACCTAGTGACTGTGTGGCCTTAATTGAAAATTTTGGTGGCTGTAAGTGGGGGGGGTTATTAACCCTATAGACCCTGTGCAGACTTTCTTTTATGGTGTAGATAACGTAGCAGGTCTTGGTGTCAGAAAATGAGAACGCTCCTTAGTCTGCAAACAGCTATGTAGTCATTGAAATTTAAAGGAGAAGACCAATAATAAATGATATCTGTACCCTCTACAGTAAATATAGCTATCTTAAAAATAAAATAATAAGGCCTTAGTATGTAAAGTGTTGATAAGAACTGTTAATAGGAAAAGATTTTTGTATTAACACTTGCTACAGAAATTCCGGTTGTTTTGGTAGACTGTTGATGGTGGTAGTGGTGGGAGCCCATGCACAAGCAATTTCCATGGCCCATCTTGCATGGCAGGGTGCTTCATGGTGCTTGATTTAGCAGAGCTACATGATTAGATTTGTTCAACAGACAGATGATGGATGATCTTGCATTGTAGGCAAGATCTGTAGTCTTTTTGGGGGTTGAAGTTGGTGACAGCTGTGGATGTGCAATCAGGACGTAATATGCCACTAAAGAGGCAGTGTGTTGTTCTGGTAGCTGCTTTTCAGAAAGAAACAATGTCATTGTTCTCTAAAATCACTACTGTGATAGTAGTATTGTCCTTGGTAGCAATTGAAGCTTCGGGTATTCCCTTTCACCCCAGTGCTGCATTGCACCAGGCTGCAGAAGGAATCAGGAACTTGATCTGCTCTTTGGAAGAAACAGAAATAACTGAAATATCTTAAGGTGTTTAATTTTTATGAAGTCATCCTGTGGTGTGCTTTTGGAACTGATACAACTCAAATACTTTTCTCAGATCTTTTTTGTGAGAACTAGTAAACAAGATACAAACTAGTATGCCTCTGAAGATCATAAGAGACTCATGTGGGTAGGACAGGGATCCCTAATTCTGCTGCTTCTCCAGAAAGTAACTAACATATTGGGATGGAGTGTGTCTCAAGTTCTGGACTCGCTGGAATCTCATGGGTTATACAGGATTTTAAGGGAAGCTGAATGTCCCTGGGGGCAGGATTTAGCATGTGATAATGGCCAGCCATATAAG